ATATATTAATAAAAAATTATATATATAATAATAATATTATTATATTATAATAACTTATAATATATATAATATATATTTTATATTATATTATATTAAGCATAATATATAAGCATAATTAATATAAAAATAAAATAAATAATTATTGCTTTTAAAATAAATATATATAGCTTTAAGATAAATATATAATAAGGGTAAATATATAATTAATATAAAATTATAAAAGCCTTAAATTTAATCCTTATTATATATAATATAAAAGTAAAAAAAGGGTTATATAATAAGCTTAAGTTATTACTTAAGCTATAATATATATTTATATTAAGCTTACATTACACTTAACCCTTTTATATAATAAAGCATATACTTAAAAAATAAATTTAAAGTTAAGCTCTTTTAAAGCTTAACTTACTTCTTAAATATTATAATTTATAACTCTTTTTAAATACCTTTTAATAAACGCTTAAAGCTAACTTATAATATTAAATAATATTATAAAAAATAAACTTTATAATAATATATAAATAACCTTTATAAATAAGTCTTATATAATATAAAATAAATAAAAAAGCTTAAATATATATAAAAAAAGAAAATTTATTTTTTTAATAACTTTATAATTATAAAAATTAAAAGGTTAAAACTTATATATTTATAATATTAATAATTAATATTAATAACGTAGTTTATTATTAAGTAACTTATATTAATAAGTAATTTAATTTTATAATATTTATTAACTTATATTAACTTTAACACTTACTTAATATAAAACATTTAATAAAATTTAACATTAATTAATGCTAATTGCTTTTAATTATTTATTTTTAATTAATTTTATTAATTTAAAGGGGTTGGCGTGATTGCAATATAATTAAGAATTATTAAGGTTTTGGTATAAAGGCTTCTTTTTAATGTTAATCGCGCCCTAGTTTTTTATATTAATTTCGCTTTAATTTACCTACTTAAATATTTAATGCATTAAAAACTAATAAATATAATATATATCTTTTATTAAAAAATAATAAAATCCTTTTAACTATTTAAGTTATTAAGAAATTTAAAAAGAATTATATAAAACTCCTTAATATAGCTTAAGCTATATAAATCTTTAATATCCTTAAAACTACTTTACTTTATAAAATAAATTAATAATAATCCTATAAAGATATATATATTAATTAGCATAAACTTAACTAAATTAAAGAGTAAATGCTTATTTAATATATTATTAATTAAAATGCTTAAGGATTCCCCTTATAACTTTTTAATATAAAAGATATATTTAATTTTTTATTAGCATTATATAATGCTAAACTTATTAATAAGCATTAAGCTTAATGCTTTATAAATGCATAATTAAGCCTTAAAATTAAGTTTAATTATCCTTATAATTATTAAAGGGCCCTTTGCAAAGATTTAAAGATTATTAAGAATTAATTTAAGCTGCTTTATAATATAATGGCTAAGTATTAAATTCTTAATAATAACCTTTATAACTTTAATAAAACCAGCTTTATAATAAGCATAATTACCTTAGTAATAATTATTATATGCATTAATAAATATAAAAAAGTTAAATTAATTTAACCTAGGAATTAAAAATAAGCAATAATTATTAAATACATTAATATAAGTAGGTTATAAATCTTATTATTTATAATTATTTAAGGCGCTTACTACCTTGTTAATTAAGCAATAAAGTTAAGTTTTTTAAATAATTAAATTATTAAGCTTACTTTTAATAAATAAATAAATAATAAAATTAATTTAAAATTAATTTAATATTTTAATAAGCATATTAAATTAAAAAAAATATTAATTATTAAATATTAATTATAAATGGCTATAAAAGCTATATATTAATTAAGTTTAATTAATATTACAAGAATAATAAGATTATTATTATTAATATGCTATTATATTTATCTTACTTACTTTAGCCATTAAATATTATATTATATTTATTTTTAAAGTATATATATAATAATAAGATTAATCTCTTTATTTAAGCCTTTATTAATTATATTATTAAATTTAAGTTTTTTCTTGCATTTAAGGTAGCTTATAATAAAAATTTTATAATAAAAGATATTAAGTTTATATTTAAAGAAGCCGGAATTTCTCCTTAAAACCTTAATTTTATAATTTTTAAGCTTAATGTTTGCCTATAAACCTTAATATAATCTCTCCTTATTTCTCCTTAAAAATGAAAGTCTTAAATATTATTAAATGCTTAATAAATTATTTAATAATTAAGTTTTATTAAGGGCAGGATTTTTACTTATTAAGGGAGCTTCCTTATATTAATTATAAAGGCTGTTAATTGGATGGTAAAGAGGGCATAGGCTATAACGTATTTAATTACTCTTATAAGCAAGCAAATTCATATACTTTAAAAAATTAATATAATACTTATTAAATGCTAATAAGCTAAAAGAATTTAAGTATAGCGTAAAGAAGCACTTATAATTAAGAAATCTTAAGTTTTTATTTAAAAGAAATAAAAGGGGAAGCAGTTAGCTAATGAAATAAGCGGTGGGATAAAGGAGGTAGTTCATGGTAAACTAAGTAAATAATGCTATAAGACTTGCAGTAAGACTAGGCATAATGCAAAAATATATAAAAAAAAGGAAAAAGGGTTTATTAAATTAAATTTTAATTATATTATAGTAAATTTAGCATAATTGGCATTAATTAATGCAAATGTATATATATTAGCAATTTGCGGCAAATTGCATTTTTAATAATAAAGTTAGCATTATTTAATATAAAGTGTATATTTCTTATTAAAAGTTAGCTTATTTAAACTAGCATTGTAATTATGCTAACCTCTTTAAATTAATAAAATTAATTAAAAATAAGCAATTAAAAGCAGTTAATATTAATTAATGTTAAATTTTATTAAATATTTTGCATTAAGTAGGTGCTAAGATTAATATAAGTTAATAAATATTATAAAATTAAATTACTTACTAATATAAACCATTTAATGATAAACTATATTATATAAGTATATATTATATGCTTTTATAATTAACTTATATAAATAAATTTTTAAAACTTTTTATAATTTAAATAAAAAAATTATATATTCTTAAGTACTTTTTTAATTACTCTTAATTTATAAGCTAGCTTTTTAACTTACTTTAATGGGATTTTATATTAATTAATTATTAATATATATTAATTAATTAATAATTTAAGAATTCTCGAATATTTTATAAGCCTTAATAAAAGATATAAATAAAAAGGCTTTTTCTTAAAAATAACTTATATTTAAAGCAAGAAATTAAGCTAATTAAAATAATAAAAATTATTATAATAATTTTTTTATATTTTTTATACCTTTATTTTATATATATTATACCAATATTAATTATATAACCTTTAATAAAGTAAAAATAATTTATGTTTAAATTAAAGTTAAAAATAACTTAAGTTAAAATTAAATTTAAAAAAAATTTAAAAAAGTAAAATTTAATAATTACATTAAAATTATTAAGTTAGCAAGGTAAATTTAATTAAATTTACTTAAAATTATACCCTTCTTAAAATTTTAAATTTTTCTTTAAAATTAAACATTAATATATTTTATATCGTTAATATTTCTTTTACCTTTTTTAAATAAGTATTAAAAAAGTTTTTAAAAAAAACCACCTTTCTTTTAATTTAAATCATTATTAAATTAAAAAGGTATTCATTATGTAAAAGATAAAAATATATGAAAAATGAAGTGCATATGAAAAAAAGGTGTAGTATGTATTATGCAGGTTATTAGCGCGAAAAATGGTACGATTGATTGCATGAGAATCTGAAGAAAGACTCAGCTCAGTTGCGTCTAATGTTGCGACAGAGCCGCATGCTAATGCGTGTTCTATGATACTACCGCGACTCAAGAAGCGTCATTAATGGTCTGGTTTATATTGTGGGCTTGATATATTCACGGACAGATATAAATAGTTAGTTCCGTACCCACTGAGCCTTTCCAGATCGGAATGGGGTTGAACCCTTCTCTCAACTCGTTGAGCAAACCCCACCCCGGCGCGTATTGTAGTCGGAGCTCCAAGTCATGTTGCTTTCAGCCGCCCAATGTGACTGAAAGAAATAGCTGAAATAGCTATCGGTGTGTATCATGTTGGCGGGCATGGCTTTCTTACACAGTCGACCACCAAGTTACCCAGTGAACAATCGGCCCAGTTCGAAGAAAGGGATCAATTTTCGGCACTTTGTACTGTCAGAACACGCCACTTACACCGCGACAGGTATCACGCGTGGTTGTCTTCCCATCACCGAGACACAGGCCGGGTTGCGAGTCTCTTTAGATGTCATGAGGCAGGCACCTTACCTCGACTATCAAATATGGACCCCGGGCTGCATCTTGAGCTTCACCGATTTCTAGAAACAAGTTCCATGCAGGAATGCGGAACACGACAAGTATCAAAACCACATGTGGGCACGAGAAACATGAACACTGAAGTCAACAGGATTCTGTGGGCGGTCTACCCACCTGGACACACAGCGAGAGACCCTGCTGGTCTGAGGACATGCTGCGCAGTGGATACAGCCGACTGGATACGCGCACAACGCAATGGTGTTTTCCTGCAGTACAGTCCTGTCTGCATGCGTGGCATTACATCGGCCATGCAGAGCCCCATATTTCCGTTCCCCGCCCGCGAACACCGCTACTTGCAACCGGCCATACTCCCCCCAAAGTCAACCAACCAACGGCGGTGTCGTCGTGTCGACGATCATGAGCTCCGGGCCGGCATGCAGCTGACTGGCCACAACCACCCAACGACGTTCCCCGACCTCACCCCGCAGCGAACGGCCACTTGGGGGGGAAAAAAAGTGTGGGTGGATATCGCAGGCCGCAGCGGTCAGGACGCGTGGGATAATTATATAACAGTTGGAAGGCGGTGCTCACGATCGAGGCCGCTCGGTCTCTCTGCCTCTTACTTGAGCAGCTCGTCAAGAAATCGATTGGGAACCCACAAGGCACCATGGCTCAGTCCGGAACTGCAACGGACCTCTACGCCTCGCCCAACACGGGCTTGGTGCATCAACTTCGGCAGAACCCGTATGTCCTGGGCCTCGCTTCGGTAAGTGCACTCCGTCACAGCAGGTATGCTCTTGACGCCTAGCTGACTTGTCTTATTCATCAAGTTCGCGTCCTTGGGGGGCTTCCTCTTCGGCTATGACCAGGGCGTCGTCTCGGGCGTCCTGACCATGGAGTCGTTCGCCGCCAAATTCCCGCGCATCTACCTCGACAGCAGCTTCAAGGGCTGGTTCGTGTCGACGCTTCTACTGTTCGCCTGGTTCGGATCACTGGTCAACGGGCCTGTCGCGGACCGGGTCGGCCGTAAAGGATCCATCCTGGTTGCTGTGGTTATCTTCACGCTGGGCTCTGCCCTGCAGGCCGCTGCAGGGTCGATTCCTATGCTCTTTGCAGGTACGTCGGAGCAGATCTTGGGTAGTCATTAGAATACCAAGCTTACTTATCGCCGCAGGACGTGCGATCGCCGGGTTTTCTGTCGGCATGCTCACCATGATTGTACCGATGTATATGTCTGAGGTGTCGACGCCGGCCATTCGTGGCACCTTGGTTGTGCTGCAGCAATGTAAGTGATTCGTTCCTCACATATTGCTTCGACTGTTCTAACAAGAAGTAGTGAGCATCACTTTGGGTATACTTGTCAGCTACTGGCTCGAGTACGGTACTCAATATATTGGCGGCACACGATGCACGCCAGACATCCCATACACTGGAGGCTCGGCATCTGCGCCGGAGTTCGACCCCATCGCCGACGTCGGAACAGACGGCTGCACCGGTCAAAGCGACGCCTCGTGGAGACTGCCGCTCGCCATGCAGATATTGCCTGCCGTTATCCTTGGTTTCGGCATGCTCTTCTATCCAGAATCGCCGAGGTACTTCCTCATGCGGCAAAAGGAAGACAAAGCACTCGAGGCTCTCGCATGTATTCGGCGAGTTGATGTCGAGTCTGAGGCCCTGTGCCGTGAGTACCTTGCCATCAAGGCTGAAGTCCTCTTCGAGGAGACGTACGGCCGCGACCGATACCCGGGCAAGACAGGTGTATCTTTGTACCTGGCAGAGTACTCGTCCTTGGTGTCGAACAAGGCGTCGCTCAAGCGTTTAACCATTGGATGTGTGGTGATGTTCTTCCAGCAGTTCATGGGTTGCAACGCCATCATCTACTGTAAGCACAAGCCTTTCCCTGTTGCAGTTCCCTATCTGTTATATTTTGGGATCGTTCAGGATATGGTTCCGTGGGCTCTGTAGCAACACACTAACACACATCAGATGCTCCAACCATCTTCGGCCAACTCGGTCTCTCTGGAAAGACTTCGTCTCTGCTGGCCACTGGCGTCTACGGCATCGTGAACACTCTTTCCACGCTACCAGCCCTGTTCCTTATTGACAAGGTCGGGCGCCGCCCACTCCTCATGTGTGGAGCTCTTGGAACATTCATCTCCCTGGTCATCGTCGGCGGAATCATCGGTGGCTTCGGCTCCACGTTGGTCTCCCACAAAGCAGCTGGCTGGGTCGGAATCGCCTTCATCTACGTCTACGACATCAACTTCTCATACTCGTTCGCCCCGATCGGCTGGGTTCTGCCATCCGAGATCTTCAACCTCGGAAACCGATCCAAGGCCATGTCGATTACCACGAGCGCCACGTGGATGTGCAACTTCATTATTGGTCTGGTTACGCCAGACATGCTGGATATGATCGGATACGGGACGTACATTTTCTTCGCAGTCTTCTGTCTGCTGGCGTTCGGATTTACCTACTTCTGCATCCCGGAGACGCGAGGCAAGAGTCTGGAGGATATGGATGCAGTGTTTGGAGATAATGCCGCGCATGACGAGAAGGCGAGGCTGTTTAATATTGCAGCGGATCTCGGTATTGTCGACCTAGATCGGTACCAATCTGCGAAGGGTGGAGACGAGAAGCCGGTTGTTGAGCAAGTCTAAAATAAGAGGTCTTTATGGACCGAGAATGTCAATAATACATAGGCATAATTTTGCAGACATTTGGTCTTACTCTTGCAGAGTAATGCATATATGCTATGCCAGTTGTAGCGTGCGTGCCCCCTACAGTCGTAGTTCTCTTTTATTGAAATGCATGCATTCCCAAGCATGAGAGCAACGCCGACTCGGAACGGTCACTTCCCACTCCTCGCTCCTCTGAGTCAAGAGAAGTCCTGAATTTTGGCTGGCAGTGTCCTTTTCCGGATATCCATTACTATTAAGAACATCCCGGCTTTTGTTGTATTCAATTGGCAATTCTCCTGGGGCGTTGAGAAGTGTATTTGAGCCGCTTGACCACGTCAACCGCACGCGAGATACGAAAAGAGACATCATGATTCTCAAACCTGGCTTGAGCTTCGAAAAGCAATTTGTTGAGGTAGCTGGCCGTTGACGCTCTGTCTTTAACACTTCAAGTCCAGGATGAAGAAGAGATTACGTGCTTACGCCTTGAAGTAGCAAACACATGTTGGTGACACTGGTGGTGGCTATTAGGGCTTTCCTACCCTAACATTCCCTACGGGAATCAATCTGATCGACGATACCGGCTGATGGAGGGGCTCAAAGCAAGAGGCCCTTGTGCATCATCTTTTCCCCTATTTCCAGCATCTGCATTAGATACCTGAAACTGGTGGAATTGTCGTTCTTCTACCAACGTGCGGTGAAATGACCCACTTTACAAGGCAATTCGCAGCCGCGTAGTCTTCACCTGCCTCTTCGACTTCTGTGATACTGTGTGTACTAGTGGCCCTTCTTCCATTCAGCCAGGATCGCATAGACACGTGGCTGATGTTGCCGAGTATCATGACCACAAAAGTCTCGGTCGGGCAGTTTCGAAACCACATCTCTAGTATGCAGTAAATATTTACACCCGGCTCTTCCTTGCTGCTCCTCGGTGACTACCTGCGGACTTTTGTCCACCTGATTCCGCATCGCCCCATGCCGCCAGACGGCTCAAATTGGGAGGTAGTTGATAGCTGGCCCCTTCTCCAAGGCTCTGACCTGCCCAGGCACTCTGCCAAATGGCGCCCTGCTCAATGGCAGCCCGCCATGAACGTGATGGCTTTATCTCTTTTCAGGAATTGTACAGTATCTCGACGGCCGTTTTGCGTCCCTGCCAACTGGCCCCACGAAGGTCCTGTATGGGCTACTGAGGCGCTTGACCCACGCCGTGGTCAACCATCGACGGGCACGCGAACATTAATCTCCTCCTTAGTAATGCTTTCCAAAATTACCGCAGCCGCCTCTCGCGTGAGCACAGGGCAGCTCAGCCTCGACCCTTTCATCGCCAACTTCTCCTTGATCATCCTGTCCTTAGCTGACTGATCAGGCTCACTATCCAGGGGCTCTGTATCAAAGCCACAACCCAACTTCTCCTAGCGGCGGGTAAACATGAACTGCACCGACTCCCTGGCATTCTGTGTTGTCCAGACACTGTCTTTTCCTCCCTTCCTCCACTCATCGCCCGTCGCGTCCTCGCCGCCACCGCGCGTGGCCTCGCCCATGATGACCTCGAGGTCGCGCTTCTGACTGCTGAGCCAGTCGCGTACAAAGTTCGCAGGGTCTTGGGCCAGGCTTTTGAAGAAGCTGTGTTTGGCCTTGGAGTCGGAGATGGCCTGGATGATGATCGCAAGTTGCTCATCGAGGACTTTAACCTGGCTGAGCATGTTTGCGTATTGAGGATCGCGTAAGAACTGCTCCAATCTGGCATGGTGCGGGTCGTCTACGGCGACGCGGACGTCATAGACTGTGGGTTGCGGGCTCTTGTGGAACTCTTCATCCACACGGACGGTGTAGGCAAGCTTGACTGGCGGGAGGGGTTGGAGGTGAGGAGTGATGTACTCCTGCAGGGCTGGTATGTGGCCTGTGTCCCTTTGGACGACCTAGGCGAGCATGTCAGTATCTAGGAGCAGTGGTGGTGGCGGATGGAACGCTCGTCACCTACCTTCCTCAACAGCTCATCGCAACGGAAATTCCGCTTTTCCTCGTCCTCTTGCAGGCCCATCAATTTGATGTACTCCCACAAGCCCATGACAACCTCGGAGCGTGTTGCAGCTTCCATATCCACCACATCCGATAGCGCGGGGCTGAGCTCGAACCGCTCGGGCTCCTCATGCCTGAAGAGGTTGATTGTGATATTCATATTCTCGTCGCCATTCTTCTTGAAGGTCAATTCGTCAAAGTCGGCCGCGGCCGGTGGGTTGGCGGAGTTGTTCGGTAACCTATCGGGCTTGTTCCACTCGACGCTCTGCTCGGCACCGTTGCGCATCTTGCTCCGGTCGAAGTCGACCGTCATCTTCTTGAAGAAGTGTGAGAATCGGGGCCGCGGCGGTGCCTTGGCGACTGGTGTCTTGGCCTTGTCGGCGGACGCGTCGGTGTCCATCTTGTCGCCGTCGCCGCCCTCCTTGGCCTCGGCATCCTCCTTCTCGTACTCGTCGTCGTCATCAAGCAGTCGCCCTTCGACTTTCACGCGGAAGCTCGAATCTGCGCTGGTCGAGAAGTCAAAGCTGTCTGCATTGATGCCGTTGCCTTGCCAGACCTGGTCCTCGACGGTGTTTGTGACCCATATTCGCACCGTCTTCCACCTCTTGGCGTTCTTGTTGACAGAGTCTACAATGTCCAGCCTCTTGCGCGTGATGGTCGCGTCCAGCCTCCTCTCGAAGTCCCTGAGCTCCTTGTACCGCTGGACGCCGTCGCTCATGATGCAGTCCTCGACGCCATCGGGCATGGTCTTGTCGGTGGGCTTTTTGGCGCGCAGCTTGGCGCGCTCGACGGCGGCCTGCTGCTGGTGTTGCTTCTCTGCCAGCTGGGCTTGGTTGAGGGGGACATGGGGAGGGTTGTGCAAGCCCTGGTGGTGCTGCATCATAGGACCTGTTGTGGAAGAAGCGCGTCGGTTAGACATGATGCCGGACTTTGCCAAGGCTGGACCAGGGCGGGCTGGGACAGGCAGTTGTTGCTAGGCGTGATGCTTCGTGGACTCGGGCCTGTGGAACGGTTGGGAGGGGGCAGGATGGGGTGTTGTGCTGGCCGTGGTTGGGCGGCGGCGGTGGTGAAGGGGGAGCAGCAAGCACGAGGCACAAGGGAAGCAGTGTATCGGTGTATGAGGAGTGTGATGAGCAGGACAAGGACATGCCACGTGCGACGGCGACTGCGACGGCGAAAATGCAAAACTCGGATTAAGATTCACTGACGTACCAATTCCTCCGCGTCGTGGAGCAGGGACATGCGGCGACCTCTGGGGAACATTTTGTGGGAACGGGCGGTATTGCGCCTGCATCTTGCTTCGATTTGCGTTTGCGACGGGGATCGAATCGTGCTGGACCCGCTTCTTGTCGTGGCTTTCCGATTGATTGAAAAGAATCGGCCTCTGGAAAGGGGGCACCTCGCTCCGTGTTGCCGGGTTCAGTGAATCTGACGCGACTTGGCCTGGATGGACTATCGCATTTGACGTGGCAGAGGATGATCGGACTTTGAGAGACGTCTTTTGGATTTGTGGAGTGCAACCAGACAGACAGCCAGATAACCACCAGCCAGGCGACAGGCTGCACAACCAGGCTAGGCCACAGGCACTAGGCTGGGTACAGCAATACGGTGCAGAACACCCACCAGGCCATCAGCCCACCTACACCACACCCACAGCTACCACACTACAGCAGGGTACATGTCCAGGTGTCTTTCCTTTGCCACATCCAGTGGTCCGTGCGCACGTGCTCAACTGTTTCCGTGCCTCCCTTCCCCTCTAGGTGCCTACGGAGTGGTCTTGATAACTCCTACCGTTGTGCCTGCCCAAGGTGCCTAGTAGGAAACACAGCTATTGACCTGATGTTGAAGGAAGAGCATCTTGGATTTCACACACAGTCGGACGTTGTTGCTACAAGAGTCCAACAAGCATCCGACCCACACCCGGACCAGATTGGCGGCGGCAAGCAGGCGTCTACCCATCGTAGCGGTGTAGTGACCGTTGTCGTCGTCCTCAGCGCCTTTGCAATTGGCACCTGCCTGCAATCGTGATCCTCCCGCATACACGGCACGTTGAGCACAGGCTAGCGGAGCATCAGACTCAGCCAGGAAAGGTCAGCCAGCTCCAGTTGGAAGCTGCCACATCTCATCACGAGGCGGCGCGGCACACATTTGACAGAATGTCAACAAATCTCCTGATTTCTTTTCTTAATCCCAGGCTCTGCCTCTCCCTCTGCCTTGCTCTGCAATCCCCGAGCCCCAGCCTGTCCCTCCTGCGGCTTGCCCACTCTCCTGCCACCCCCTTCACGGCCGTTCAGGCCTGACCTACGCTCAACAAATGCCGATTAGAAGCTTAGGTGTAATACAAAGGACACCTGCGTCCTCCTCTGCCCCAATAAGGCCCTCTTTCCCTCCTGCGTCCCAAACAAAAGGAATTGTATGTGTGGCTCGACGATTTTTCAAATTGAATGCAGGAAAAAGGTTTGGTTGTGGTAGAGGCTGTGATAACGATGATGATGACGATAATGACGACGATGATTCTTCCATGGCAAAACGCGGGTTCTGGTTTCTCCTCTGCTGTCTGCCGAGATCCCGAATCAAACACGTGCCCGCGCAACGCCCTCTTGCCCGCTTGCGCCAGAAAATGCCAAATACCCTTTGCCCTGACCGCCTCTCGTGTACGCGAGTATATGATGAATGGTGATGGAAAAAGATTGGTGCGTGGTCCATGATGCGCTGTGCGAGGCTACAAATCAAATGTGAGCCCGCCCATGTATACTGCCCATGTGTAGCGTATTATGGTAATGTTTGGGTGGGTGTGCTCAGAACGCCGCTGTGCCTAACCCGTTCTTGGATTGCCTCTTGCTGAAACGGTTCCTCTTCGCCTGTGACTCCTCCAGGCTGGCCTGACTCTTACTCAACTGGTTGCGACCCGACCTATCGGCAATGCTGAATCCTCCTTCTGGATATGGCACCTGTCGTGACAGAGTGCTCGCGGGGCTGGGTGACATGGACGACGACATTTCTCCAAAACCATTGTCGCTGTTGTAGCCAGACAGATCTTGAGACATTGCAAGGTCCTTGGCTCTTTCGAGCGCCTCTATCCACTCGTCTACCGTGCCGGCGTCAAGCTGCGAAGACTTGGGCTGCTCGAACTGGTAATGGGTGCCGTTCTGACATCAAGTTAGCATATAAATATTCAGCACGAGAGAAAGAAGAGGGGAAAGCAAACACTCCTCATGAGGAAGACATACCGCGTCAATGCACCAGACGACCTGCCCCTTTACATCTATCTGAGTCCGCCACACACAATCGGGTGCGATGAGTGAAATCTCCTGCTTAGCCTTTTTCTCTTCGCCCCCGGCAGGAGCCAGCACAATGCGACCACTAGATGTGACCATGACCAGTCTTTGCTTTTTCTTCATCGTGCTCCCGCCGAAGAATCGCGAAAATTTGTTGCTTTGGCCATGCTCTCCCTTGCCGTGTGGGCTGTTGGGAATTGGAGATGATATGACCAGGAGGTCGCCCAGTTTCAATATCCTCTCGTTGTTTCGCGTCAGCACCGGCGACCATTCGATGTCAAGTTGTGTGGGTGGCGGAAGTTCGGTAATTATCCTGGCGGGCCTGCTGCCACTGCCATTCTGGGACTGTAAGCCTCTGCTGGACGGCGGGTTTTGGTTCGAGCCGGACGAGGAACCGTTCAATTGGATGATCTGCGGCTCCTGCGCCGGTGGTATGTGTGGTCGAAGTCGAGGGGCCTTCGTCCTCCACAGTCCCTTCCCAAAACTGTGCCCATCGAAGAATTCGTGGTTCTTGATATGCTCGATGGTCAGTCGTCTTCCCGGATCTAGAACCAAACATCGCTCGACGAGGTCGCGTGCCGCTGGCGGAAAGCCCGAAGGAAAATCGTATTCAAGACCAACGATCTTCTGGAAAGTCAAGTACTCCGTGCCGCCCTTGAATGGCGGACGCCCAGCAAGCAGCTGGTAAACAATGCAGCCGAATGCCCAGACGTCGCTCGCCTTGCCCGCAGTCTTCTCCGTAAGAAGCTCCGGGCTGACATATTCGGCGGTCCCGACAAATGAGGCTGCTCGTGAACTTCCTTCTGCCGGAGGCGCGTTCTCAGGCGGCGGCCTGGGATCCCTGGGGTCCGGCAACAACTTCGCCGTTCCGAAGTCGGTTATTTTAACATGCATGTTGTCGTCCAGTAGCACATTTTCCGGCTTGAGGTCGCGATGGATGACCCCTCTCGAGTGCATGTACTCAATGGCGTCAAGAATTTGGGCCCCATAAAACCGTGTGCACTCCTCATCAAATGTGTGTGTCCGTTTCAGCACCCCCAACAGCTCTCCCCCGTTGCAAAGGTCCAGGACGTAGTAGAGCGAGGTCTCATCTTGGAATGTATAGTATAGCCGAACGATGCCCGGATGCTCCGTTAACCGATTCAAAGTGTTCTTTTCGATGTTCACGTATTTGATCTTCTTCTCTTTGATGATATGCTTCTTCTCGAGTACTTTGATGGCGTATTCCTTTAGTGACTGTCGGTCTGTGGCCAGGTAGACGGTACTGTATGATCCCTCGCCCAGGACCTTGCCGAACGAGAAGTCACGAACACCCTTCTTGACGGATCGCAGAACTGTCTTTCCCTGCGCATCGACCTCTCTCCTGATGCCGACTGCCGCGCCTTTCTCTTGCCATTCCTCGCTGTTGCCCGGTTGGGGCAAGTCTGTTCCGAAATTGTTACTGTTCGGTTGGGCCATTGGCACTCCTGCCGTGGAGACGAAGCCGCCCCCTCGCCCCTTGGAGCTTTTCCTCGGCGGCAATGCCGCGCCGCCGGCACCCGGGGGGAGCGTGCGCCGTACTTCAGGGTTGTACGACCGCTCCCGATAACTCGGGGATCGCTGAGGTATTTGGCCAGCGTAGGGTACTCGCATCGATCTCGAGTTGCTCCGGGTGGGGAGATCAAACATGGACGCTCTGGACCCCTCCGGCCTCAGGGAGTTGTTGTAAGAGCTCGGTCCAGGTTCGGCGTTGTGGGAGACAGAAAGGGGGTTGGACAGAGGCCCGGAGAGCGGTCGAGAGGAAGTCTGGTACTGTCGTTCGGGGCCGTCCATTGGTGATGTTTGAGGAGGGAGGTGTTGAGGGGGGAGTGACTGCGCGATAGGAGGCAGTGCTGGACCGTCTGGAGTCGATTGCGCGTAGTCGGGGATGGCAGCGGGTGGTAGGTTCGATAGGGGTTCCGGACTGCGGTGAATCTGGCTGCCGCTGGGATCGTGGGACTGACCCTCGTGGAGGTTACGCGAGAGACGTTTCGAGGCTTGTTGCGGTTCGTCTAGGGGGTGTGAGAGGGAAGGGCTGTGGTGGTTGTCGTCTGCGGTGGTAGCTTGCTCGCGGGTAGGACTGGGCTCGTTGTCGGAATCATCTGAAAGATTGGCGATTCGCAGACCGCCCAGGGCCCTGGACAGGCTTATGTCGCCATTCATGGTGACTGGCGTGGTCAGGCTGATCGAAAGGGCCGGGCTGTGGGATGGTGGCGGGCAACTTGGCCGTGTCGACCTATGGGTCGTTCGGGCAGGGAGGAGGGCGCTGTCGCTGGTGCCGGTGCCCGTGGCTGGTAGCAGGCACGCTGCACTTCCTTGGAACCGATGGGACTCTGGCCTGGCCCTGCTTGGATGCTGCCCGTAACCACGACCACGATTAGAGCCTCAGATCGAGCCAAAAAGGACGTAGCTGTACCATGGGAGGGCGGGCATCAGGGCGCTGCGCCGTATAGGGAAAGGCAGGGTAGGATTGGGTCGATGCTCATTCACGGTGGAAGCAGGGCAGCTGGCGTGGCGTACGGTGCAGTAGTCGGGGCGGGTGTCCGTGTCGAAGTCGGCAATGCTGCTTGATTGCCTAGGTGTCCACCTGTCCCGTCTTGGAGAGCGCCCCGTCCATGAGTAATGCGGGTCTGTTGATCACACAAAGAGGCTGAGAGGGCTGGTCAGGACTCAGGATCGGTAGATAGGTACTGTAGCTGTTCGACGGCTTGCTGTCAGGGGAGCCAGGGGATTGGGCCAGAGGAGGACTGCACTATGCTGTGCTCCGCTCCGCTTTGCTGTGCTGTGCTGTACAATAGGCAGTCTACGGGGTACACGGTAGAAGGGCGGCAGCTAGGTAGGTAGGTAATGTGGGAGCCGGAATGGGGTCGCTTGCTCCTTTGGTCAGGGCAGATTGAAGGTGAACTGAAGAGGTAAAGATCCCATGGTTAGCTGCAAGGGGCAAGCCATTCTCTCCTGTCCACCCTACCGTTTTGGCGTTGACGTGCTGTAAACTGCCCGTTTCTGCCTGTTAGTGGCCAGGTACGGGGTGATATTGCGCCGGTGAAAGAGCCAGCTCGATTCAAAACACAGCACACTCTTCCTGGGGGGAAAGATCCCACGATCGCCCCCGATCCGAGCTTATCACTTATACCTCCCACGGGCATATTGCGACACCGAGTCGCACGCTGTCGGTGTTGCAGCTTGCAGCTCCCGGCCTACAAACAGGCAAGGTTGGTTGCAGTACCTCCGCACAGCAGCTAACAGCAACCAAAACGTCCGAGCATAAACAAGACGGGCACAGTTGGCAGATTTGTCTACACATCCACACGCACGCCCCTTATTATTTGTGCTTTGCGCAATCACCGCCCGTCCACTTGCTCGCATGCATATTGGGCAGGCCAAATAACGCCCTTGCAGCTGGTGAGAACGACCACGGGCAGCGAACCTGATGTCCTGGGTACCCACGCAGTCAGCGCTTCTACCCCAAGCATTCAGAGAACGCCATATGATACGAAGGATTACCGGGGTCTGTATATTGGCCGTTTAAGTAGTTCAGTGAATTCGATCGTGTCGATGGGCAGTTCAATATCACTGATGTTGGCTAATTTCAATGTTCTCCCCGGGTCTGATGATCCAAAATTGCACCATCACCGGCGGACCTCGTACCAATTTGATCACAGCTCTACCTGCGTGCCTAATAATAGCCCACGGGCATGCCTTGCCACGGCTCTTCCTCAACACCGAAGGGTTGGGGCGCTCTTTCCTCGCGACAACGCTTAGGGACCTGGCATGCCTTCCAAGTTCACTAAGCACCATGGAGTGCTTGCTCCGAGTCTTCGCTCGGAATCGGGAGGCTCAACCCATGATACCTGCATGACCTCTAGCACTCACTTGACATGCATGACACCATTACTCACTCTATGCCTCGCTTTTACCGTTGAGAGCTGGCCCTCTCTTGTTACATCACAACTATCACCGACGTGGTGTTCCAGGCTAATTATTCCCGTCCCAAGATGATTCGTCTCCAGCCAACACCCATTACCCTGACCATGTCCGAGGTCAAGGAGTTGGAAAACCGTCGACGTTATCGTAGATATCTTCAAAGGGAGGAAAACCCAACGTCGGAGGAGACAGTTCATCGGAAGAGCAGTCCGAGCCTGGAGCACCAAGCGCCCCGGGGGACGCTCACTGCCTCTCAAAATCGAGGGTCGTCTGCCTCGCCAAAGCCCAGCAATGCCGACCCAGTGCCATCCTTAGAGGGGATCATAGGCGAACAAACCGGCGAATTCGAAGACAACGAGGCCACGCCAACGATCCAACAGCAGACTACAGCGCTGAGGATGTCTACACATCAGCCCCAGGTCACTCGCGGCTCTCTCGACTCCCTCGACCTCCTGGCTTTGCCCTCGTCTCCTGGGATGCTCTTCTCAACGCGGCCTCGCAGACCTCGGACTTTTCAGAGCCCTTCGGAATGCGACAGGCCACTCATTGGACCAATCTCTGGATCAACACAGAAGGGTTCCTCGCCCACGGAGACAGAAACTTTGAAAACGAGTGCCATCTCCGGTGCTGATAACCGACAGACCCCGACCAGGACGGCCATGGGGGCCGTGATATCCAGAGACACTGATCCAACGAGTAGCCCGAAGTCTGGCCTGATGGACTTGCGCCTATCTTCCACACAGGCTTCGAGTAGGGCCTCGACTGAGAGAGCGTGGACGCAGACCCTCGTAGGTAGCGTCCAGTAACTTGGACTATGCACCAACCTAGGGTCAGCAATGCTCTGACGCTATTGTAGGCAATCCGAACCCGACCATCTTTCGGCGCCGAATCATCATCTGGAATCGTTGCACCGTCCGGAACACTGGAACGCCACCATCGTCGGTCGTCTTGTATCGTCTCTCCCGAGCCGGAACATGACGGTGCCCCTGGACCCTCGGTAAGAACGGGACAGGGCACCGTGCTGCAAGAACAAGACTAATTCATGGCGTGCCTGCAGAATCCAAGCAGCCCTCAGAGGGCTGCCAGATCGGTCGCACGTCTGAATCAGATTTGTCCAAGAGCTGGTCACCTATCGGCCATATCTACAAGCGAGGCGCCTGCTGCGAGAGGGAGTCCGTCGCCAGATCGCCCAGCTCTGCCGCCCCGAGATCTTACGACCCCTAGACGTAGTATACTGGTGTATGATGACCTGCTTTCGCCAACGCGTCAGCCTCAGACTCCAGAGCAATTGCCAGAGTCCCAGCACCAGAGTAGACTCCGGGGTTCATACACGGCCCCGATAAGCCGGCTTAGATCTTCTCAAGCCCCGGGACGCAGTCCAGCGACAGCCCGAAGACTCCGTCACCGCAGAGTACCAAGCCCCATGGGCATCAGGACACCGGGATTTGAAGGTCTCTACGGCGGGCACGAGAACGAGGATGATGCTGCTCTGTTTGAGGAGGCATCGCAGGCAGCGGAGCCCGAGTCTCCTGTGTCCAGTCTCAGGCGCGTTGACTGAGACGGAATTGCCGATCGAGCCCAGCTTACGTCATGAGGCACAACAAGGGCACTTGCAGGCTGTGACAAGAAAGCCGGTGTAGTAGAATGAGACAACGCATCTTTTATTATGGGGAGACTGAGTGCGTCCAGAACTCTGGCAGGGAAACAAAACCAACAATGGCTATACGCCGCCTATTTGAGCGTTGTTCAGGGGCAGGAACATGGAATCCGACTAACTGCCTTCTCTGAGCTCCAAGATGGAACGTACGACAGCATCAAATAAGACAAAGTTTTGAACCTTCTCAAGTCCAAAGTAGCAGCCATGAACGAACATACATGATTCGCATCCAGCATGGGAAGCTAGGTGATGCACGGTCAAGTTGCCCCCCTTGCTCTTGTTGAACTGCTTTGTATTCGGTATAGTAGTCTGCTTGAGAGCATGGGGATTTATCCCGAGCCAAGGGCTTTCAGTATGGCCAGCAGCAGGGGAAGTCTCTCGAGTCATGTCAGCAGGTAACAATTCCGTACAGAAAACCAAGCAGCATGCTGTGGCGCCACGGACTGTAACCCTTGACGATTAGCATGATGGTCGAAGGCGGTGGTGGCTGCTTATTGCATGGGATCAGACCAGTGTGCAAAGCCTGCACAATAATTATGCCGAAACCAGTTGCACAGTCCATACCTTCCTTGGCTTGTGCCGGCTGGTCAGTCAGCAGGCAAACAGCACGACCGGCACGTAGGGTCGCAAAGGGGACGCAAGCAGGTCGCCTGGCCGCCTCTTACCCGTGGACGGGACTGAATCAGGTCTGGCTTTTGTGGAGCACACTGCTGCAGGCCCGAGTGCCTTGAATCCGAGGTAGCAAAGGAGGATAAAGAGATGGCTGGGGTTAATCCAGCGCGATACCCGAACGGGACGTGCTGACTGGGCATGCTGCCGTTGCAACCACGGTTAAGGGTGGCCCGGCAATGTTGGCGCCTGAGGCAACAGTGCAGCGACTTGGGGCGGACAAAATCTGCCGATGGGTGCAGGAGGAAGTCATCAGTCAGGCAAGCCAGTCAGTCAGTCAGTCATTCAGTCAGTGCTTTGGTTGCGTCTGTCCGTCTGTCTTGGCAGAGGGTCAGGATTGGGTCGGAGATGGCCAGCCGCTAGTCCCTTTCCATCAGCAGATCGGCCTCGGAAGAAATCAACCGCGCAATGAGATCAGGGTCTCCTCTCCGGCTGTTCGCCTGCCTGCCAGCCTGCCTGCTGGTTGATGGGCCAGTGGGCTCGCTGGCTCGTTGCGCCATCGGCACCGAGAGTCTGAGACTTGGCCAGCTGGGGCTAGCCGCATTGGGCATGTGAACGGCAGCTGGGGGCCTTTCCAACCTGGAAAGCTTTCCTGGGGTCTTGCACGCTCAGGCCCTTGATCCCCGTAGGCCCGCCTCGCGAATGAGAAGGGAGCTCGCCGTCTGACGCCTTCCCTGCATTTTTGTGAGGTGCAGACTAAGATTCGGCCATTCCTCTTTGGGGAGTCAGCGGGCAGACAGGCAGGACGAGGCAGGTTCCTGGCCCTGGTCCCTGCCCTTCCTGACCCGGAGCTGCTGGTGCTCTGCTGCCGCCGCTTGCTGCTGTGCGCAGTGCGCTCGCTACACACTCAGACACTGCGCTGCGCAGCGCTTCGCTTCTTGGGAACCTCGCAGCTCTACACAGTACGGTACCCTCACCCTCAGCTCGCCCATCATCCTCCTTCTCCTCCTCCCCACACTGGACAATCGCAGCGCCAACCTTGGACCCCGTGTCTCGTCTCGCCTTCTTTTCTCCCATCCTTCTTATCTCGTGCCCTTCCCTTCCATCACTTCCCTCTCCTTCCGACTTTCCTTCCCACCCACCTCACTACACCTTCCTCCCCCCAACATCACCACGCATAAATACCTTTTGCGCCCTCCTTCCCTTCCTCCCTCAACCTTCTCCCTCGCCCATCTTCTCTTGTCTCGTCTTTATGCCGTGCCAGTAGTCGTCGTCGACGCACTCGTCAGCCTCATCTCCCCTGGTTGTCGTCCACACCAGTCAGCCTTTCCAAGAGCTGCTCCTTCTCTTCCTCCTACTCGTCGACAGCCTCGTCCTGTACTTCACCGGCCACCCTTTTGGTCCTCGACACGTCTCGGCCATCCTCTTTTCGCGCCAGGACCACGCGTCCGGGACCCAATTCATTGACAGCCGACTTCTGACTGTAGTACAGATCAGGATATCCGGCTCGCGACTGATAACTTTTCTCTAGAAAACTCTCTTGACTTGAGCTGCTCACCTGCGTTCTCGCAGATCACCATGTCGTACTTTGACCGCACTGCGTCGCCAGTCATGGGCCTTTCCCCCCAACCTGCCCATCAGCTGTCCTTTGGCAGACCTGTCTTTTCGCATCAGTCTCAGTCGCTCGGCCATCCAGTCTCATGTTCCACTCGTCCCATCCTTCGATCCAGTTCGACTTTCGCCGGCCGCAAACGCTCCAGAGACGAGGCAGCAGCCAACCTCGACGACCCGGAGAAGGTGGTCCCAGCTCCTAAAGTCGAAGAGCCTGAAGACGAGTGGGAGTATGGCCCCGGCATGGTTCTCATCAAGAAGACCACCCCCTACACTACCGACGCTGGCAGCCAATCCGGTACCTGGCTTGAGGAGAAGGCTGCTCAAGAGCATGCTCGCAAACTTGAGGAGGCCACAATCGCCCAGAAGAAGCTCTCTCAAGAACGTTCTTCCCTGCGGAGCAACAAGTCGCAGCGTCTTGGCCTCGCAAACGACCCTGTCCCCTCAAACCACATCGCACAAAGCAACGGGAACAACTCTGGCCGCGATACCTCGCCTGACGCGCCCAAACAACCGGTCGTCGACGACTTCACCATGCATCTCGGCATTGGGTGGGCTCGTCTCAGTGACGACGAGCACATTCAAGCAGCCGCTCGTGGCTGGGCTCGCTACATTGACAACCACTTCCCTGTCACTGGCGCCAGGATTCTCCTGCAAAAGTCCCAAGAGGCCTACCTTGTTCAAGCCCGCGAGGGCTTCTTTCTCTTTGCCGAAAACCTGCGTGAGGGCCGACTTGTCAGCTCGGATCCCGAGCGTGCCTTCCTCAACCTCAAGTCATGCCCTGCCGTCTTCGATGGCCCCATGATGGCTGCCGTCGAGTCTCCTCGACCTCAATTCCAAGACACCCACAACTCGACGTGGAACACTGCCTCGACCTCTCAACGACTTCCTACTGTTCCCGACATGGACGTGGACATGAACTGAATGACTGCATCACTGGACTGGCGTTGATTTGATTTGCTTGCTTGGGCCTGCTTTTGGGTGGTGTTGGGGTTCGGGCTGCGCCAATACTGGTGACGGCTTTGCGCTGCATTGTTGGTTCTCCAATCCAACAGGTCGGCTCAACCGGGGGACAAAAAGGTAACGGTGATTTACGGACGGCGTTGCCACTGGAAATTTGCTTTCGCACATACCGCGCACATGTACTATTAGTCAAAACAATCATCCATGCCTAAATTGAAGAAGAGCATTTGAAGTCAAAAAGTTTTTTAATCCGCGATAGGACGCCGAATTGATTGGGCGCTGTGGTCGACGGAGCCGCATGTTTGCGGGAGTTCGTGACTGGGTGGAACTGGGCGACAGTGGAGAAACAGCCGAAGCTTTGGCAGCTGGCAGGCCAATTGACAGCCGTGGAGTTTGGCTATCACGCGTTTGATTTGGTGCTGCTGGCTGACCTCGTCGATCTCGGTGGTCGTCCGGGGTTGATCCTGCAAGCCAGCCCTCTTCTTGTCTCCTGGTCACACAATGTCAATTGTCTTGGCTAAATGTGAGCTCTCAACAGTCTGATAGCTGATAATCTGAGATGAGATGGTCTTGGATGTCAGCCCGGGAACGAGAGCGTTGAGTTGATTGATGACTCGCAGCTGATGGAGCCACGGGCAGTCTGGCAGCCAGTCGTGGGTGGACTCGATAGTAGCAGCAGCAGCCGCCTCTCCGGAGTCAGCGATTGCTCGAGTTTGGGCCGGCCGAGTCTGGGGTCGGTCGATAGGCTGAGAGGTGCTGCAGGGGGGCAGAAAATCCTGGACTACAACGTCCAGTCCGAGGCGAGTGCTTGCAGCCTGGCAGCTTGCTCACATGGTGCATGCTTTGGGAAATCTCAAACATGGGGAAAATCATGGATCCCTCGCGGTTGCGGTGTGCATGGAGCCGAGCCGGGCCAAATTGTTTGGTGGGCAATGCACGTCGCTGTCCTGCAGGAGAAACAGACTTGGACGGCCTCATGGCAAAACAAGTGGCAGACGCGCATGAGAACGCGGCGAGACAGACCGTCTGTCCCTGGGAGAGGGGGAGGGTGGCATGGCAAAATGGAGAATAGAAAAAAAAGCTTTCACAAAGACAAGGCGAGAAAGACTGTCTACTCGGGCACCGCTACCTTTATGCTGGTGCTTCGAAATTCGAGTTGTCTTGTCCTGTTGATCCCAAAGCGAGGCTTGATCTTAATGCCCACCTTCCTGCCTCACTCACTCTCTATCTGTGTCTCGTCCATACTCTCTCTTGTTCCTGTTCCTCTTCCGCCTCTGCCTCTGCCTCTGCCTTATTACCTTGAGTTGAAGAGTCACTGAGTCGTCCCGCCACACTTGATACCCTGAGATCGACTTGGACTCCATCATCCTAATTCTAATTGAACGAACACTGCCGATCCCCGAATCCGACGCCCAATTGTGCTGAAGCCACCAGCTCAGAAGCTGGGGGAGGAAAGTCGAAAAGGCCGCCAAAAGCCATCCGGCAGCCCAGCCACCGCCAGCACATGCCCGTGTCAGGGCGTGCCTGAATGATACCCAGCTGTGGCGACCGACAGGCACAGCCTCACGAGTTTTCCTATCCGCCAGTCAGACAGCCCGCCAGTCAGACATTCGGCGATCTCCACCTCCAGCCCAGCTGCACACCCCCAAGAAGGCAGACCAGGCCGGCTCCTGAGCTGCAAGCGGCTGGCCCGTGACGGGACGGATACACATTGCATGCCTAGGTAGACTAGCCCATAGCCTGCCTGTGTGTGTGGTGTGTATAGGTGTGTGAGATTGGTGCTCCGTAGCCCAATAGGCCGTGCCCAAGGCCGTAGTCTATCTGGGTAGTGTGTATGGTCAGTCGATGCTTTTTCCGTTTTCAGGTCCGCAGGTTGCTGGTAGAAGACCTCTCTTCTCCAGCTTGTGTTTATCCCCTTCCCGACCCCGTCTTCCGTGGGCAGGCTCTGCTGAATGTTGCGCTCCTTGTGTAATGTTATGAAACAGAAGATGTTGATGCCATCGCGCAGCACATCGCATGCCTTGTCTGCTGGTGACCTGACCGACCCCTCCTTTATGACATCCTACCAGCCTACCTACTTTCCCACCTAACTCCTACTGATAACTGTTAGTACACCCCAACAGCAGACAATCCCTCACCTCCAGCCACACCGCGATCGCCCGCCCCAGACCCTCAACGGCGCCCATTTTATTTACCCATCTCATCCGAGGGGCACTGGGCACTGGCACTGGCACGGGCACGACCTGACCCATTCCAGAGGCGCTCTATCGCCTGCGGCCACTCTCCCAAGGCGCGGCCATGGTCTCGCAGCCCGACCACTCCTCCACGTCCGGCTCTGGGGGCACCATCACCGTGCGCGGCCCCAGCTCTGTCGTCGGCACCAGCTCCACCACCGGGGCGCGGCACCGATCCTCTCGACGCCACCACTACAACAGGTCCTATGCCGGTGGCACCTCCTACGTCCCACAGAACGAGTTCCCCTGGTTCTCCCACTCCGGTGATGTCGAGATCGTCGTCAAGGTCCCGTCTGGCCACGAGAACCGCTACCTGCTGCACCGGCACACCCTGACGAGGTGTAGCGGTTTCTTCGAGGCGAGCACCAGTGAGCCGTGGTCTAAGGCAGTGGATGTGCCCGACCTGCCTGCACTGCCTGCACCGGGGCGAAATGGCGCCGCGTCAGGAGGAGAACTGGCGAGGATAGGCGAGGACAACGGTAGCGCCGAGAGGGGAAGCACTGTGTCGCGAGCGAACATAGGCACACCGAGGAAGAGGTGGAGGTACGAGCTCGACTACGGGAAGGGAGGCGACGACATACCCATGCTGGTGCAGAAGGAGGAGAGCAGCAACAACAACAACACGTCTGCCGCGACGGGCCGCCTGATGGGGCCGCCAACCACGTCCATCTTCGGCGGGACCTCGAGCAGCAGCAGCGCCGTTGGCCGGACAAAACACTCCCACGGCCAGTCGTCCTCGCGCGACTTCTTTCGATCCGTCGCGAATCTCAGCCTTCCCTCGCCCACGCACAACCAATATCCGTTACCGACGAATACCTCCTCGAACCTGCCGCCGCCGCCACCCGACGACCAAGACACCCTCCGCGACTATGACAACCTCTTCCGCATAATGTACAATTTCTCGCCCGTCCTCGATGGGATAAATATTGCCGATGCATACGTCCAATGCAAATCGCTGCTCACCATAGCCGACCAGTACGATGCGCTATCCGTTGTCGGGCCAAGGGTAGATCACCACCTATTACAGTTCCAGAGCCGGCTGTGGAAACAAATCGCCAAATACCCCATCAGCTACCTTCGGCTGGGGCATCTGGCAAGAAGCAAGATTATCTTTCAGGAGGCTCTAATCCACGTTGTCGGCCAGTGGCCTGCCGGGGAGCGCAGCCTGAGGAACACCTTACCCGAGTCAGTCCTGGATATTATCGAGGACAAGGTCGACGAGCTGGAAGAAACCGTCGCCAGGGTTGAGGGCCGCCTTTTCAGACTCAATCTGACCACGAGGTCTGGGGAACGAGTGACGCCCGCGACGGGCTACCTTGACTGGTTAGCCGTTAGTTTCTTCAGGCAATGGCTGGCAGACAACACCACGCCCGGGCCAGTCACACCACCGCCCCAAAGCTACCGGAGAGCGATAGCACAAAACGGCGGAGGGCGGACGCGCAACAACTCAGGACCTAACAGCAACGGCAACACAGCACTCATCCCCGCGTCAGCCGTGCAGCCGGTGATCCCCCTAGTGCCGCCGCTGGCCTCGCTAGGCCGCACGTATCGCACGCTGGGCGGCATGACGGGGGCCAGCGCGCCGGGCTACCTGACGCACGACGAGTGCAAGCGCTTCCTCAAGCTGACGCCCGAGATGTACAGCCGCGACAACCTGCGGCGGTTCGAGAAGCGCGTGGACGAGCTCAAGGCGATGGCGCGCGAGGTCGTCCGGCCGCTGATGGGCAGCGGCCTCGAGCTCGACTTGGGCGGCGGCAGCCGCGCCGCCGAGGGCATCGGGTACCTCACCTGCACGCGGGTCAGCGACCGGGATCTGCCGTGGGCTGTTGATGATTGATTGATGGGTTGATGATAAATGGATGACTTGAAGGCGGGATGGATGCGCGATATGACGAAATGAGAGGGAAGGAAATGTTTGAGCGAGAGCGAGCCGAGCACGCTCGTATGGAATGAGCGACTAAGCGATATTGATGACAATGGTTTATGCATTTACGGCGACTGGCCGGTGATGACGAGGAGGAGGAGACTGTCAATATCTATGGTTGATGCATTTGGAAGAGCTGGTACAAAGGGCAAAGGGCAATCAAGTCCGCGGGCGTCGTCGGCGGTCGGATTTGTCTTATTTCTCTCCTCGTTGGGCATTTCGGGGCGGCATTTACTTACCCCTTCCCTCTTCTCCACAATCATTTGCTTTGGGTCTGGCTGGCACTTGATTGTCCCTTTTCCTTTTCCTGTTTTTACGATATATCATGGACATTGATGACCCAACCTACTGTAACGAACCTCTTCATCACGCGCCACGCACCCACATACATAGCTAGCTTACTTACCCTTCACGTACTATACCTAGGATACCCGTCAATCAGGAATACAAACACATAAAATAACCGGCATTCCGTCTTTATCACAGCATGCATTGGAGATGGGCAAATAGCTGTCGTGGACACATCATCGTGATTGAGGCTACTCATGGAGAGCTTCTATGCTCCTTGAACATGCTAACCAGGCTACTTGGTCTGTCCAATCTAATCTTCCCCCGTCAAATCCAAGATCGGGATTTCGCTCTGCCTCCACACCCGGAGGCCACCGGGCCCCCGGGGCCGGTCGGGAGGGACGAGCGAGTCCTCGCGGACCATGCGGTCGGCCTCCTCCCGTGTGACCTTCACCTCTGTAAAGTACCCGAGCCCCGCGTCGCTCGTCCTGGGCATGTAGACCCTGGTCATCGCCGGGGACGACGACGACAATGATATAGCGGAATTGGCGGCATGGACGCTTCTTGACGGCGCCGGTGGATTTCTGCTCTGAGATCTCAGATCAGGCGTGATGGAACGACTCGAGCGCCGGGAGCACGGCGCCGGGACATCGTGGGCCGCTCCCATTGACTTCCTCTTCGAGTAGAGGGCGTGCAGCTCTTCGAACTCTTCGTCCGAGTCCGAATCGGGCGGTGGCGGCGGCTTTGCCGTGTGCTTGATGTTGCTCTTGCCCAGAGTCTCGGACAGCCTGCCGAAGTTCTTGATCGACGCCTGGGCCGCGGTGGGAGGAGCCCGGCTTGGGCGGGTTGGTCGCCTTGAGTGCTTCTCCGATCTGGTCTTTGTTGCACCCGTGCTCCTCTGCGTGCGCTTAGCAGCTGGGTTTCTAGGTGAGTTGTCGGACGGGCAGTTATGCTTCCGTGGGCCTAAGCTTGTTTCCTCTGTCCCAGTATCTGCCGTAGGACTGCGACCGGCAATGAAGAAGTCACCGTGCGGGTGGACATTCTGGGAGTCATTCGAGATGGGTGACATTGGGTATGGTGGAGGTATGAGATCGTCGGCCGTCTTTCGGGATGCCGGAGAGGTGATTATTGGCGAGTGTCTCGTTTCAACAGGGCTGGATGAGATGATTATGGGCTCTGATACTGTCATCCTTGTTCTGGAGGCCTTCGGTGTTGCTTCTGAGCTTGCAATTGTCCAGGGATTAGTGTCTAATGACGGCTCTGCCGTCTTCTCTCTGGTTTGGTTGGTTTTGGAGGATTTGTGTCGCTTGTCTTTCAACGCTTGGCTTTGTCTAGGCTCTCTTTGCTCCGCAGTCGTTGCAATCGAGCTTGTAGAACGCACGAGAGGCTGTGTCGACCGTGGTGGAGGGGAGGATGACAAGAGTGGCGCCGATAACTCAGGCTTCTGTGACTGTGCTGTGGGCTTCGTGCTCTTGACGTATTGATCAAGAGCGCCCGTTAGCATGTCCGATGCCTTCTTCCGAGGTTTCTTGGCTGGTGCTTTCCTGGTCCCTTTCGCCATCTGTTTCGCCCTTTGCTTTCCTTCCCAGTCTTCCACTGCAAGCGGCACACCTAGTTTTGCCACTGTCTCTGGGACCCAGACGAGGTCAGGCTGGAGTGGATCGAAAACCTTCTTCGGTCCTGCTTCCGCATCCCCGATCTGCTCGTCAACCTCGTCGTCGCTGTTGAGTGCCAGGCCAGATCTCCCGTACGTGGATGTAACTTCGTCCTCTTCGGCATCCAGGTCTACACCAACGACGTCGTTTGGAATGTAGGAAATGCGTAACTCTGGTGTGCCACCTGTACTGAAGTGGGTTCGTCGTATATTGATCGATCTGACCAGCTTTGCCTCTATGCACTCGCGGACGTCCGGGTCGTCGGATTCCAGTTGTTTGTTGCTTAGATCCATCAAGGCTTGGTTCAGTAAGCCCGGTGCCAGGACTCGAATAAACTTGACTGCGCCAATCTTGCAGACCCAGTCAAATGTCTCAGCCGTGAAGGCTCGCAGGCCAGCAATATCAACCTCCCTCCTCGATGGAAGTTCCCTCTTCAATCCTTCGATCGTCTCAGCCTGTGATACCACCGGATGGGTGTAATACCTTAATACCTCCATGCTTGGGAATTCGTCCGGTATCGTCATGGCCTTGTGTTTGACGCGAAAGAACTTGCTTTCATTGGTCCGAAGCTCCCTCATCAAGTCCTCTCTCCACTTCCTCAGCGACTCCTGGTCAGATCTCTTGATCCGGCACAGCCTCTTCCCGAACCCAGCTTTGGCTGCCTCGCACGCAACCTTGACACCGCAGCCTGGCACGCCCTCGGGGAGGTAATCGCCCCCACTCATCAACGCAACAAGCACCATTCCCTCCCTGTCGAGCCCGGTCTCACCCTGCCCCAGCTCACGAGCGTCGTAGACAGACACGTGCGTGGGCGTTTTTGCAGTTCGCGTGCCTTCCGAGGACCAGTTACGCAGGGTGACTGTGCAGCCGAACATGATGGTATCGACATCCTCAGACAACACCGCATCCACAACCCCTTGCTGTTGAAGAAGAGCGCACTCGGCCTCGGCCTCGCCAGGGGCATCATGGATGTGGAATCCGAAAAGCTTCACCAGGCGCTTGGCCATTGCGACGGACACGCTGTCACCGGGACCGCGAGAGCGTTTGTTGCGCTTGAACACGGGCTTGTTGGGCCCGTCAAAGACAAGAACGGGGACAATTGGCAGAGACAGCAGGCGGACCAGGCGGTAGAAGAGGGTGCGTATCGCCGGGTTTGCGCCGCCCCGGGCGGCCTGGGCTTGGAATGACCATATCGCAAAGTCGATAGCGATGCGCAGTGGCCGCCCAGTCTGCTCGAGGTGATCAATCGCGAGCTTGCATAGTGACACCCGCTTGCCCACGCCGATCTCTTTGTAAATGCTGGGTATTCTTGTCAGCCACAGCGTGCACGATACTTGCCTGCAGGTGCAGCAGCAGGGGCGGGAGGACCGTCAACAAACCCTTTGATACCCATATTGGATGCAATGCCGTAGTAGCAGAATCGAATTGAAGTCAAGCCATAGCGATCTCGAGCAAATTCCGTGGGGGTTTGGACTGCGTGAACTGCCAGATTCCACACAAAGGCCCGTAGTCGTCACGATTCCAAAGTGGTGAAATGCACTAATGGACCCGAGTTAGGCGACTGTTGACATTTTACCTCTTTGGGCCGGAGCGACAGGGGTTGTGCATGTTTCCACAGAGACGCAGCGGCAAACGACGTGCGGCTCACAGTGCAGCACATTGAGCCGCAACCGCTTTAATGACTTCCGGCGTGACGGCACTTATCTCTTCGCAACTTCGCGGGCAATTGCTCTCCCTGCCCCAGACTACCTCCCGACCGACTCCATCCTGTCGCCATGGCCGCCCCGGGAGCAACAACCCTCCCGCACCGCGCCGTGTCTAGCATCCGCGGCGGTGCAGCGCCCTCCGGCGACGCGGCCTCGTCGTCCAACCCGCGCACGCCCATCCGCTCGATCCCGTCGATCCCGTCCCAGTTCAACTCGCCCTCCTCACTCCGCGCAGAGGACGAGGTCCTGATCCTCGAGTTTGGCGCCCGCAGGCTGCGCGCCGGCTTCGCGGGCGACGCGGTGCCCAAGGCGCTGGTGGCGTTCACACCGGCGCAGGCGCGGCGCGTCGGGGACCTGCGCGCGTGGGAGGTCGGGCACGTGGACGACTGGGCGAAGGGGAGCAAGTGGGGTGAGGAGCACGAGCTGTGGAGGAATGATGTGAGGGGCCTGGACCTGGGCCTGGTCGGGGACCGCATGGAGAGGGGGCTGAGGGAGGCTTTCAACAAGTACGGCGACGCGTCCCATATATGTCCTTTGGTGCTCGAATCGCCATGGCTAATTGCTGGTCTACATAGATATCTCCTAATTGACTCTCGTCCGCGGAGAATGGTCGCTGTCCTACCGTCCGGCGCGCCCTTACCGCTATTAGCCACTGCGCTGGATACACTATTCAACAGATTTCATGCCCCAGCCGTGTCGCTACTGTCCTCGCCCGTCGCCTGTGCGATTTCCGCTGGTGTGCGCTCGGCGCTGGTCATTGATCTGGGCTGGTCTGAGACGGTCGTGACCGGCGTCTATGAGTACAGAGAAGTGCAAAGCAGCACCAGTGTTCGTGCTGGCAAGCTGTTGGTCGACAATACACATAAGCTTCTGGCAACTGCTCTCGGAAAGGCACCGTCTCCTGAGCAGGATGATTCCGAAAAGAAAGCCGAGCATATTGTGTCCTTCGAGGAGTGCGAGGATATCGCCAGCCGGCTGGTGTGGTGCAAGCATTCCCGTGGCCCGTTGTCGACGAGCCAACCACCGCAGGAGGGCTTGCCTACAGTCACCGAACAAGACGAGTCTGAATCAAGTAACCCACCAACCGGCGGCAGCCCGTCTAGTACTACAGTCCCCTTGAAATCGACGAACCCACCAAAGAGGCTCGACTTGACCTACGATCAGCTCGCCACCCCGTCTGAGGACACATTCTTTGCTTCTGAGCAGCCTCACCATACCTTCGACGATGAGGAGCTGCCCATCCCCCTCCTCATCTACCGCAGCCTCCTGAAGCTCCCCATGGACGTCCGGGCCCTATGCATGGCCCGAATTATTTTCACTGGCGGTTGCTCCAGCGTCCTCGGCCTGCGCGGACGGATCTTTGACGAAGTGAACCACCTCATTGAGAGCCACGGATGGGATCCTGTGCATGGGAAGGGTGTGGAGGCTTACAAGACCAACCCAAAGCTACGGCGCGGGAGCAGACAGGCGGGCGATGGTGGACCTACGGATGCCGAGGGCACCGGCGACGGCGGAGGAGGCGGCGGAGGGGGTCATGAGGTCGATGGTATGTGGGTCGACGCGCCCAAACAAGAGAGGGAGCCGGAGCTGGACCCGATTGATGACCAGTTGCGGAAAGGAAGGCAAGAGAAGCCCAGGCTGCAAGGGCAGTTGCGGGCAATCGAGTCCCTAGGTGCGTGGAGCGGCGCGAGCCTGCTAAACCTACTTAAGATACCTGCCTTGGCGACGGTGGAGCGCGAGACCTGGAGGGAGCAAGGGATCGCAGGGGCATCGCGACCGACCGAGGTGGATCACAAGGTTGCCCAGCGCCAGAGCATGGGTGCCGGCGGATTGATGCGCAACACAAATGCCAACTGGACACTGGGAGTTTGGGGATATCTGTAACCGGTGGACGGAAACCCTTGACCGATGGATGTCTTGCCTTAGGGCCAGTGTTCGAATGCCAAAGCTTGGTGGTTTCTACCAGTACACGGCGGAAGGCTTCCCTCCCTATCCTCCAAATGCATGAAGTGAGATGGGTGGCACTTGCAAATCCATCACAACGTTCAAGGACACATAGCCGAAACATGGTCAACAGAGGCAGGTGCAGATTTTATGGAAGGGCAGTGGCTTACTTGTTGTTGCTCCATGTGGCTGGTGTCAACTCTCTTAGTGGAGACAAAAGCTGCCGTCCGTGATAGAGGGATATTGGCCTGTCATTTCGGCCTGAGAGAGGCAGAGAGAAAAGGAGAGAGGCTGACTACAAAAAGAAGGTGGGTGTCCAGTGAAGGAAAGTCAAGTCAAGTCAAGTGCAGTCAAGCCTCAGCTGGCAGGGAGGGATACTTTCTGTTCATGGACACTGGTCCCCCGATTCCTGACATTGGAAGGAGCCACCGCCATGGTTCAAAGACACTGCCCTTCCTGACTGCCCACCGGGATAGAAATTCGTGAGAAGCTCTTGCCTTCGCTGTATCAAAGTGAGTAACAAGAGTCAAACTCAGATCCGGACCCTGCGATTCCTTGTTGACAACTTCAAACCTTGCCCATCCCTTTCCTCTCCCAGGACCCACGACAACCCTCACCAACCTGCCACTCGTTTTTTGATCGTGTCTGTTCCGGACGACCACTGTTTATTGATACTGTTCGCTCTTTGCTCCCAGTCCACCCATCCAAGGCGCCACGCTCCTTGATCTTCCTCCACCTCCCGCCTACCACAGAAAACACCAACCTCGGATGACCTCAGGGCCAAAAGCCGGTGACAACAACACTGCTGGCCCATTGCAGCTTGAAAGGCAGCTCCTCACCTCAGCAAACGTTTTCATCTCATCTGCCCAGAGTCGTTCCAGCTTGCCTGCCGCCTGGTTTTGCTGTCACCAACCTGACAACTTCATAGGTAAGGCATCCATTACTGCAACATCACCACGTCTTGTGTTCAAGCTCTGATCCTGCCACTTTGCACTACTTTTTCACTGCCTTTCCATCCCCGTCCAATTGTTTCAGCATCCCTTCGTGTATGATCGTCCCTGGAGATGCCTACTTCCAACACTCGCAAGAAAGCGAGGAGGCTCCTCAAAGAGCTGTGGGAGCTGCAAACAGAGGATGTTCCCATGACCGCCTCCACACTGCTCAAGATCAAGTATCTACTGGGAAGCACCACACGATGCAATCGCATTGATGTCGTCTCGCCCAAGTTTCTTGCCGACCTCCCCACTTGTCCACTCGAGATCACAGACAGCAGGCTTCCACAATTCATCCCAACATCGCACTTCGTTCGTTGCCAGCTTGAGGATCAGAAACTGACAGGCTCCCGCAGCCACCACTGTCAGCAGGATCCGATCGCCCTCCCATCAATTCTCGCCTTTCTTGACCTTGTCTGCTCGTCCAAAGAAACTCCCAGAAAGTCCTCACATGCCACACAGTTCCGCTGGCATTGCTCTCTGACGCATCGGACCCACGTCATTTTCGCCTTCATCGACTTCAAAATGAAGTCCAGGGTGTACAGCATTGAGGAGCTGCTCAACCTTAGAGCCTCTGCTTCCTCAGATGTGCTTGTGGGCGTTTCACAGGGAAACGAACTTGGTATTTCAAGTCCTTCTTATGCTCCAGGCCTATTCAGTCGCCCATTAACCTTGGGCCCTACAGTTGAGATGGTTCGCAACAAGTCTCGTGTCAATTCCGTCAGCTCTCGCAGCTACAACTCAAACTCGCTCAAGCGCATCGACAAGAAGAAGACCGTGGATGATTCCTCCACTGCCTCCGAGGAAGTCGTTTTCAAGGGAAACATGAGCCGCCGACCCATCAAGCAGGACTCTGCGACCGCCAACAGCGCTGACAACACTAATATGCCTTCAACCGCATCTGTCCCTACCATCCCTGACCAGTCTGTTGCTGCAGCTGTTGCTCCTGTACCAGATCCCACTCAGCTCATGGAGTGGAAGTATCGTGGTCGCAGCGGGGCCGAGGTCATGGTCAACGAGCCTCTGCCAGCTCCCACGGGCCTCATTGCCCAGCACAGCGAGGGTTTCCAACGTTTCTACAAGGCAGTTGTGTCTCCCACTCACGTTCGTGTGACTGCTGGAGGACGCATTGTTCCCAACACACGCAACCCTGCCTCTCCAACCGCGAAGCGTCCCAAGGACACAGAGAGCGTCACGAACGACGAAAAGGCGGAGCCTGCTCCCGCATCAGCGTCTGCGCCGAAGCAGCCTGCAGCAATCATGGGAATGCCTCAACCTATGCCATTCTTCTATCCTGGCTATCCCGGTATGCCACCTATGCATCCAATGACTGGCATGCCAATGCCCATGATGCCGCCAGGTTTCCCCTTCCCGATGCCAGTGCCTGCCGCGCCTGCTGCTAACAGCGCCGAGGAGGCTGCCCGCAAGGAGAATCAGAACAAGAAGGCCGAAGAGCACAAAGCTGCTTCTGAGCTCCAGTCTGGCAAGCCCAGCATCAAGCTCTCACCTCCGGACCAGTTCGACCACACCAAGCCGTTCATGTACAACGGCCAGCAGTGGATGTTCCCAATGTTTCCAGCTCCCTACCCGGGCTTCCTTGGAATGCCGCCGCCGGGATATGCTGGCCATATGCCTGGACCGCCCATGATGATGCCACCTCAAATGCCAATGGGCCCTATGATGGGCCCTATGGGCCCGATGCCACCGATGGGATCAATGGGTCCTGTAGGACATCCTCCATCCGCAGGTGCTTCCACCATGACTACTGCTGCGCCATCGTCCTCCCGTCAATCCACTCCTCAGCCCCCCTCCAAGCCGCCGATATCTTCCATCCGCCCGAGCCAGATCACGAGGAAGCAAATTGACGGTCTTCGGGCCAGCCTCAAGTACCATGAGGATCAGTTGCAGTACAACAAGCACCAGATCGACGAAACCGACATGGAACGCAAGATCGAGCTGCTCAACCATGACATTGAACGCTTTGAGAAGGTTTTCCAGGCTCAGACGGGATTCGAAGAGAAGCACTACCCCAAGACTGACAAGGACAAGGACGAGGCGGCCTCATCAAGTGGCCGCAGCTCGGTGCCTTCATCCAAGACACAGTCTCAGTCAGAGGAAAGCAAAGAAAGCAAAGAGAGCAAGGCGACTACGATGACCAATACCTCTCACTCTCACTCTCAGCCAAAGCTGAGAAAAAAGGATCGGTCTCGTGACTCGGTCGGCATCAACTCAAACAAGAGCAGCACCGCATCGTACAGCCTGGAAGACTCTGCTCAAGATCGCGTTTTAGCGTCCATGCAAGCTGGAAAGAAATCCAGCCTGCCCAGCGGAGCAGCTCGTGCGCCTGTATTCCAACCGCGCTCAGTTTCGACCTTGTCTTGCCCTGTGCCCAGCAACAACGGACAGGCCTGGAAGACAGCCAAAGTTGAGGGAGGCATAACTCAGGAACAGCTCGAAGCGGCCGAGAAGAAACTCATTGCTGCAGGTTCCAAGGCTTGGGTTGTGCCCCAGGAGGTCAATGGGGATTCCGGTCAGCCTTCTCATCGTGTATCTCCACGCGGGCACGACAGCCTCGGTGTTCCCTACTTGGTCGGAACACTGCCACGGGGTGTCAACCCCTACGCCGGCCATCGCTTCGAGTACGAGTACAGCCGCAAGTTGACGGACGAGGAGCTTCAAGCTCGCCACGTCTACTTCGGAAAGGCGCCTCGATCTGTTAGCCAAGGCTTGCCCAAGTATGACGGCAGGAACTTTTACCCACCCTCGCCGGCTAAGCACATCACTCCAAACGAATCGCCCAGTGTCCGGCGCGCCCGGGTCCCAATCGGTGCGCCTGAAATTGACTACGGCTTTGCTGCACCCGACGGCAGAGAAATTGACCCATTCGGTGCCGGAACTCCCAACGACACCCTCCCGAAGGGCGTCGGGGCCCTTGTCAGCAGTAGAGCTTCCTCGGTGAAGTCTGCTCAGTCATTCAGCAGCCAGGCTGACGACCACGCTGAAGAGTTCAAGAAGGCCTTGGAGGAGTCCAAGAAGCTGCAGGACACGGATGTCTCCCGCGAGTCTGTTTCCGAGGCCAGTGTGAATGAGACAAGGTCGCTCGATTTTAGTGATGCACGATCCAATGGCACCAGGTACGGTTCATTCCCTTAATAACCCGCTTCTGTCTAACGTTGCTCTCTTGCAGCTCGAAGCTCTGGCAGAGCATGGTGAAGAGAGGCTTTACCGCCAGTGACGTTCTTCCTAGTACTGTCACTTCGACAACGGCTCAAGGTTACCTGCCTCATTTCACTGGCAATGCCTCAGCCTCGCTCAGTCCCACGCTTTCTGGCACGGTCACTTCTCCCATCCGCGATTCATCTGCCAAGGACACTGACACCAATGCCAACGGCTCGACATTCATGGCTCCGAAGAGTGGCGAGAATGCCCCGCCTGTTCCTTCCGACCGCATCTCCATCTCGGACACTATCCGCAACATGGTCGGCATGAAGTCGCCCGCTTGGGCTCACTGATTCCGTGACCCCAAATCTCAGCCTCTCCAATGATTGGCAAATACATCATACCAGCTGCCAGAACTGTCACGACCATCATTATCCACCGTGATACAACTCTGCTGATTGTTCGTACGCGCGACGGCAACTGCCTGTCCATGGCGACATCACCCATTATCTTTATCATGTCTTGCAACACCCGAGAAGCTGTTTGACGTCGCTGTTGCGCAACAAAGCTGTCGGGAGCTATCATATGTTACCCAGGAAGTATTTCCTCGCATGATTGTATTTCATTTTGTCCAGGGTATCAGTTCGTGTGCTTCTGTGGAAGGGGAAAGAGAACATCTCGCTTAGATTTCAACATCGAGGCAAGTTCTCTCGGGCTGCCGACTGGCATGTATTAGGCTGGGTATTGAGGCGACGCAACCGCTGGCCAACATCACTCGGCATCTTATGGAGAAGATGATCACGACGCAGGATGCCACTGTTCTATTCACTTGCCCACGACTTTGGAGGAAACATCTCATAGGCAGAACAGAGACACCCTCTGATATTAGACCATAGGGCTGGCTAGTACAGCAAATGTACTATGACATGCTATCAACCTAGACTGCTTGATTGTGACAAGCCGCCTAGTGACGCTTAGCTTCTTGGTTAGACTCAAGGCTTCCTGGCAGCTATGTATTTCCCATTCGGTAAGTACTGGGCAAAAGCATCCTTGAAGAGCGAAAATGACCCCCGGGGGGGGGGGGAGGAACATCCGCCGAACTATTTCATGTTCAGCAGTTGGGACCGTGGCCTGGCACATGTCTCTGGGTGAAAAGACGCATGTCTTCGCTCACCCACGTCTTGGCGCCTTTGCTCAGTGCAGTCACAGGTGCAGCGTCTGCGATGGATAGGATGGCCAAATGGTCTTTGGCGGCTCGAGAAGAAGCTGTGTCTTGCACTTGACGGCGTCGGGTAAATAAGGGCCTATGTGCAAGCTCTGGACACACGTCCCTCTTCAGCGAGCAAAGAGGCATCACGAAACGAGTCGAGAGATTTGCAGAGTACAGCTGCCATGATTGACTAGAGATTCATCGGAGAACCGCCTTGATTTGAAATTTCATTTACGGGCCTTGACAAGTCCAGAGGCTGCGGCAAGAAAATGTGCCTCACCATCAAACCCCCAACACAACCGAAAAGCAAAGCCTTCTAATTGAACGAGGTCTGCAGGCGAGAGCAGGAAGCGGTGATTCAAAAGTTGCTCCCGCTGGGTTTGCTCTTCGCCACGCGTATACCACACCGACCATAAGGAGAGGTTGATGTGGAGATTTAAGTGGCGGTCACATTGTGATATCATGTTCAGCAGACAGTTTATCGTACGTACGGTGGCACCTACCTGGATTCTACAAGACGTCTTGAATATTCTAGACCTGTTGGTCTAAAAGGACGATCTTGGGCGTTCGAGTTGATCTGCTGGGTTAGCATGGTGCACGGTGGTATAGCAATGCATAGCAGCTGCCCGCTATTGAACGAGCAGTCCGCGGGAGTCTGCTCGTCCATAACAAGGCAAGCTGTGACTTCGGGAGACCTCCCATGGAACACTTCACATCGCAGCAGATGAGAGCTGGAAGTCTGTGAAATGGCCATTGAGCGCAGAGGCTCTGACTTGTGTGTATTGATCTCTGCTACCGATCCGCGCCGCATCCCTCGTAACGTAGAACAGCCGTATAGACGCCGAAACTGTGACCCGGTCGAGCATGCATCGGGGCTCAGCAATCACAGTCGCCGGCCGCCGAGGCATGTCGTGGTATCCATCAAAACGTCGCAGCAGAACTTTTCCGATCCTCCTCCCCACAAGCGGTGAATGGTCATTTGGGTTGGTCTCTTTTTGTTTGGGTGGTTCGTAGCCTCGGGCGGGTAAGTCGCTTATTTGGCGGCGGCCTTGCCCTTGGAACCAGCCTCGCGGCCGGCCTTGATGCGCTCCAGGATGGACTCGCGGTCCTTGTCGAGCTTCAACTTGGTGATGACGACGTTGGAGGGGTGGATGCCCAGAGGGACGGACTGGCCCGAGACCTTCTCGCGGGTGACACGCTCGACGTGGATCACGTACTTGAGACGGTACACGGAGGTGACCTTGCCCTCCTTGTCCTTGTTGGAGCCGCGGACGATCTGGACCTCGTCATCCTTGCGGATGGGGATGCTGCGGACCTGTTTTGACAGACGAGGTCAGCAAGAGCGGTCGGAGGCGAGGTGGGTTGAGAGCGGGGCTGTAGACCTACGTTGTACTTCTCACGGAGCTCCTTGCTAAGAGGGGCGCTCATGATGTTGCGACGAACGCTGGAGGGGGCCTCGAAGTGCGCCTTGCGCGACTTGCGGCGGGAGGAGTGGAGGGCTGTACGAGGAGGGCCATCGTTAGTTTTTCAATCGTCCCAGTTGGAGCTGCATCATGCTGTTGTATGCGGTTGCACACATACTGGAGTTGACCTTGGCCATTTTGATGGATTTTTGCCGCGAGGATTGGGGTGATCTGGTTGACTTGTCGCTGCCGAAGAGAGGAATGGGGAGGGAGAGACCAAAGTAGAGGAAATTTTGAGCTTGTTCGGGTCTGGGCGCACACCTACGGATGCTCCACCACCGACGTTGCAAAATGTGGATCGGAGCTTTCGGCGCAGTCTTTCCGTGACGCTCGGACCATATGCAAAGGCGGTCAAGAAACGGACACGCAGGCGGCAGAATTCTCTGCCGCCGAGTACTTAAACCCAGCCACCCGCCCTCTCCCTTCCTCCTCTTTTCTCTTTTTCTCTTCTTCATACTTACCTTGTACGTTGAAACCAAGCATGAAGAAAAAAATCCTAGGAACAAGAAGCTAACATCATCACAGGTCTGAACTGCGGTGGATCAAGAATCACTGTAGTTAGGTTGGAAAGCCTGCATAGCACATCGTGGCGCTGACCAGTCTGGTTTGTCCTTCGGGGCCGACCTGGGCGGAATTTTTGATATCCCACAGCCTGCCTGACTGTTTTTTTTCATTGTGCTCGGTCGCTTGCGACCGACATGAAGAAGAGACGCTTCTCGGCAGGTTCGCAACACATTTGGGGGTATCCTTGCCACGGATCCCTGGTTGTTGCCCGGCGAATACTGCAATAAGCATAGGTGCGCGTCTCGGGACGCCTACCATCAGAAGCAGCCTCGCTGTCAATGCTTAGTTATTTCTAGCCAGCATGGCTGTTGAGAAAGGCCTAGATGAACCTGTGTTCGCAGCTGAACCGCACAGGCGCAAGTAATCGATTGTTGGCTACCTATGTTTGTGCAGAGAAGAGGCCTGCCAGCAGGTGTGGGTCTGTTGTGATGGCGGCGCTAGTGGCTTGCCAGCCGGCCCTGCCTGAACATCCCTTACAGCAGGCGACCTTGGGCGATGGCTCGCTCCGTACTGTACTACCAGAACCCAGGGGACTCGTCTACTGTGGGGGATGCCATATGATTGATTGTACACCCATTCGCAGTGCCTCCCACATGGCTGGTTTGCACTATCGATAGACCCCCGAACACGCCTGCCGGGCCAGCTCAAGTGCCGTGTTCAAACCCTTGCCGTGATCTTCCCAGTCCCTTGACCTGGGATGTTTTTCCCTTGGGATATCCTCCCTTGAGATACTGGTACCCTCTTTTGGACAACCTCCTTTGGGATAACCCCGTCTGGGACATCCAGATACTCTCTTTCAGAATTCTCTCCCTCAAACTTGTCTCACTCCTTCCACTAGCTTAGGGCAAACGCACATTTTTCGACTGGGTCCTCATTTCTCTTGGGCTCTCATCAAAGTCGCCCAATTGAGCGAGTTCGGCATCCAATTTACGTCAATTCTTCAGGAGAAAGCTCTCCATGTCTACCCCTCTGGTGACGATGTGCAATTTGTGTCTACCAAGGGCCAGAGGTTCTACATCCATGTCCGCTGGTGGTACAGGGAACGACTACCGCTGGACACACGTCTACGGCGACGATCTGTCCGAAGGCAACCTGGCCAGATCCCTGGGGAAGGCGTTCCTCAACGATGCGACGTGCGGTGGGATTAGCTTGCGAACTCCATATAGCTGTCCCCTGGTTACAAGATGTTCTATCACGCGTGGGTGAGTCAAAGAAAAAAGGAAGAAGGAACGACTCAGCCGGTGAGCCTGGTTTACAGTCACACAGTCGACTTGTCAACTAGTAGTAGACTCAGCAGTAAGCTCAGCAATAGACTCTGCCTGTGGACTCTGCCCGTAGACTGCCCGCTTGTCGACTGCCTGGTGGACGTGCTGGCAGACTGGCCGCCTCTCTGCTGGTAGACTGCCTAAGAGACTGCCTGATCACACTCTCGTGAGCTTCCATTCACTGTCACTGCTGGTTTTCAGCTTGCTTCATTACCAATTTTTCTCAGGACCGGAGTTGCTTGCGGCTGATTCAATGGTGTCATGTAAGTGTTGTCAGCAATGTCCGGTGTGATCAATAGGAGGCGGGGCGATTTGTTGAATCCAAGATTGATATGTGCATACAAAGAGTCTTGTCCAATGACGATAAGCCGATTAGTTATCGAACAGATATTTTCTTACCACGACACTTGTGCAGGAAGGACCTATGCGTCTAGGATAGCCGAGCGGGATACCAACATAAATATGGGCTGTCTACTTGGTGGGCCCCGAATCTCGGTGAATTTATGAGGGAATCCTCCCGAGCATTATCGAGGCCTTTGGAAGCGTAAGCAATTTGGAGCCTCGATGGTTGACTGTAGACACTACTATCAAACATATGGAGTAAATTGAGAACAGAAATGAGCAGTCGTCAAATGGTTTGAAGCATTTGTTAATAAACATTACCTAGTGTCAAAGCATTGCACTATGAGTTGCTCTGGCAATAATATCATGGTTTCTTGAGTGCCATGGAGCCTCAATGTCCGTTGTAATGCTGCCCTTCTACATCTTCGTGGCAAGTCATTGCAATAGTGGACAAATATGCTACTGAATTTGTGTCCCAAAGTATCAAGTAGATCTGGGTTATTATTTGGCCGGCCAGTAAGCACTAGCACAGATTCTAAAAGTTCATTGGTCTCCCAATCAATAGCACGCTCTGTGTGAAGCAATCTACATCTGATTGGACTTCTCAAATATAACAGGAGGAGCTCATCACTGGCAGCTGTAAGGATGCCAACCGCACAAGATGAAAACTGCACAAAGGCCTTCCGATAAGCGAAAAACTGCCCAATTTACTATCCGATGTACCGTTACCGCTTCTGCTCAATCTATTCCCATGCCCTTCACCTTGGGCCGAAACACTGGGGGATGCCTTCTAGGAAGGGCTTCTACCCCATCGACCGACTGCAAATAAACAAACAACTCATCTTCCACACAGCCCGGCGACGTGTACTTTATGGGTTCAGTGCTGCATTTCTCAATGCGATACGCGGTGTCGCAGCATTGACAATTATATGCGGAACCTTGCATCACTCGACTATTGTCACGGGTGGCTGTCTCCGACAACAACTGCAGCACTTTACTGTGAGTCTTGGCTTTACTCACCAGCATCGGCATCCTCTTCTCGTGGAATCAAGCCAAGATAGACCTGCTTATTCCAGGCCTTGGCCTGTTTGTCCATGTCACGAGTCTTGCAGCCTCTAAACTCTTGCCTATCGACAGGGAGGAGATTTGGGCAGAGCTCATCACCATCGTAGCTGTGACCGTCCTTGTCCCCGAGATTGGCTCTGTCGGCGAGGAGAGGCTGGAATCGGTTCTTTGGCGGGTATGACGGCCCATGGTTCTTCAACCGACTTTTAACCTCTTTAGCTTCAGCACGCTCAGCTTTAGGATGGTAGAACTGTGACTGATCGTGCTGTGGAACCGAGTCCTGATCCATAGTGTGGTGCTGTGTAGACATACTGTTCAAGATTCAGTGATCTGGTGAGGTCGCAAACAATCCGGTAGTGGTTACTTGGAATAGGGTAGCGAAGTAAATTTGGAGACGTCGTGTATGGATGGTTACAACGTCGATTTGGCCAGAAACGGTGATGTGTGTGGGAAAAATTTGCAGCAGAGTAGATGAGTTTATTGGGGTATTTATAATGGATGGTCTGGTCCAAATCCCTCAGAAGTCCTCACACATTGAGGTATTGGCAATGGGGACTGAGTGGCGTTGAAAAGGAGCCCCTTGATCAAGGGTTGACAATGTAGCTCCTCAATAAGGCCAACGGTTTGTTGGTCCAAGTGGTCCTCTTGCATGCTAGGCCAGTCATTTCAACAACAATAGCATTATTTCAGAGCCTGAGGAGTCCCACTTCTTTATTGTTATTGTTATGTGCAGTTACAGGATTGGCATTATGTTGCCGTGATCCTGCTGTTGGGAGAAAAGACAGAAAGTCACAATGCCCAGGTGCCAAACCGAGCAAGACCTTGTAACATTGTGCATGCCTTTTTAATGTCTATTCATATGAGTCCTGCTATTGTCTGCGCCCTTTTTTGGAAAGCATGTGGTCCAGATAATGGCCAGGTGATCGCAAGGGCTCGGTGTTTTGAACCTGATTGAGGCTCTAGTTGCGGCTCTCGCAAAGGGACGCGACGTGCCGCCCCGTGCGGCCTAGAACATCAGCGGCCTATTTTCCCATCAGGTGCACCTTGTTCTGGTTGAAATGGAAAGGATGTCAATTTAAGCGACCTATTGATTGCCCTGGGAGGGTGTGCATTATGCAGCCAGTCTCACCACCAGCCATCAGAGCGATCACGAAATCGAATAGAGTCCGAAAGTTGGCCAGCATTAGTAGACGCTGCCCCGCGAGAACCCAGCTCTGAAGACTGCGATTTATTCATGGTCTCTCAAGGTTTAGTGTCAGCTCAGCTCATGCTTCTCAAGGTCTTTGCAACTGACTGGGCCAGAGGGGTGTCAGGATTCCAGCGCACGTAGTAATGACGTGCCCCGAGAACACTGCTTAATTTGTCACTTCTAGTAGTATATCATGACCGTAAGGTTGATCGGAGACCAATTCTCATCGATCAAAACACACCTGTCAAGTTGGATCAATAGCAGCTCACATCAAAAGATCCCCTTTACATCTTTGTCCGCGTCAGCCTCAGCCTCAGCACCACGCTTGCCGTGCTACCGCTCCACGGTCGAGCCATCATAAAGACTGTAAGAAGAAGAAACGCACAGAGGGTGCTGTTAGGTTTTTATTTGACTTAAATCGTGAAGATTGAGCAAGTGGCTAGAATAGTCTTTCCTTGCGGTAGGTGTGTTTGACAATTTGGTTTTTCTACTTAAATCCTATGCTCCCCTCACGCCAACTATTGCAAGGATCCACAGTTACAACCTGGTCTGCCAAATGTTGTGTACTAATCACCTCAAAGACCGACTTCACAATCCGTACAGCTCGCCGTGGGAAATACGCCGCTGTGCTCGGTCTCATCTCAATCTCGACCTCACGCTAGGTCGTCCAGGCCACATGAGTTTAAGACGACCGTCCCCTCAGTACTATTGATCAGCAGTCTACTCGAAGTCCTCGGCTTCATCATAAGCAATGTCCTCACTTTCAAGGTGCTGGCAGACTCCACTGGAGATGGCCTTGTTGTCACGCTTGATGCGAAGATCCACGTCCCTGTCTTTGCAACCACGGTGCTCCTGACCATGGGGCAACAGCTTGTCTAGGAGTCTGTGGTCGTCATACTCATGGGCGTGGATATCGCCAGGGGCCGCCGGGTCCGCAATTTGCGTCGTGTTCCTGGACTTGTGTAGATAAATGGGTTCCTTGGACTCCGGGCGGGTCTTCTTACCCTTTCTTTTCTGCTTCTCACGCATGTTGCGCCGGGTTTCAGCGTGGCTGAAATGGAGGCGCTGGCCGTGGACCGGTGCCGATGTTTTACTCGGCATGTTGTATAGTAAGGAGTGTGCGCGATTTTTTGGCTTCACGTACAGCTCTTCTCGTGGTATCGAAGAATTGCAACACTAATGTGACTAAATCCCTGTAGCTTGCCCGTGATTCAAGTGGACTTGGGTGTGCCAAGACAGTTTCTGGACATCGCAACGAGGGAGAGTCGCTGTGTCTTATATGTCCGTGGAACAACACACTTAAGGCCCGCCAAGAACGGGAAAGTAGCATATGGAGGTGGGCGAAACAAATATTATTGTCAAAGGACAATGCATTAATAAGGTGATTGTATCATTGACTTTGAGGGCTTGGTGCCGCCATGTTCACCGCCTGGTCTGTGAAGACAATTACCACGATTGTTCTCTGAAACACTGCCTCCTTGTTGATTCATCATTCTTGTATTTTCTTTCTCGTCATTGTGGAAGCCAATACTAATGAGGGAGCAGTCCGAGCTTCAGATGTTGTAGGCAAAATGATTAGAAAGGGAGGATAGGTGGACAACGAGCGCGCAGGTAGGCTTTAGCAAGTAATTCACGCAACATTACTCGTCACAATCAGCGCATTGAAGACAATAGTAGATCCTAGTAGGCTCCATTTGAGAACCAATTCAGTCATTGTCTTAAGATAGCCTATGGGGGTTCAATCTCTGTCTAAATCGGCGCCGGGGTTACCAAAGCACTTTGTGTAACTTGAGTGCTCAACACGTACGAAAGGCTCGACCCAAGCTGGTCCTGTATCAAAGAGTTTTGAGACGAGCTAATTTTTGACTGGCTTGTCATGACACGATTAGTATCTAGCTCAATCGGTGTTGATGCAGGCATTATCTGCTGTTCGATCTAGCCAGACCATCTAATCTCGATCCGCCCCGACGTACGGAGCCAGTATTCACATGTTTGTTCCGCGATGAAAGCTAAGTCAAAGACCTCTAGGATTTCAAGAAAAGGATTCCACCAGATAGGCTCCAGAAAATTCCGCTCATGCGCCGCCAGGGGGATCTATCCTCATTTCACGAGCCCTTACGAGGCGTTCCTTCAGCTGCTTCATCCGCTCTGCGGTGTCCTGGGTGAGACTATTGTTGGCCGAATCAACCTGACCCAGACCTCCGCTGATCTTCACGCGCTTGAGATCCCGAACATCACCCTATACTTGTATTTAGAAACAAGATGTGTACAGATTAAAAACGAGACCACGACCACTTAGAAACAAGACAAGACTCATCAGAGAATACAGATTGCTTTGACTTACCTCCGTGGAATCTTGCTGCGCGTCGTGGTTGCTGCTCCTTCTCTTCTTGGAAAATGTATCTGATGATAAGTTCGCGTCTGCCACGGCCTTCGGGCTCGAGTCCCGTCGTGCCATGTCAAATAGAAGCCTCATAATGTACCAGGAATCGTTTCCTCCGATGTGAAGCGGTACTCCTTGGTCGATCTTGATGTTGAGATTTCGGAGACCGTCTTCCAATTTGACGCCCTTGTTCTTCAATAGAAAAGTCTTGCAGATATCCTGGACATCTAGAACAACTGTCTCCTTCGGAGTTCGCCAGCCAGCATCGTTGTCGAGGTACTTGAGGTCGTTGCTCACGTCAAAGCCCACTAGCAACAATTTATGTCCCTTCGACTGCGCTTCATTGCAGACGTCGTGGAGAATGGGATATAGATCGGCAGACTTGATTACGTGTTCGGAAATGCCGAACCCGAAAGGCCTGGGGTATTCTTTGTTGCGGAAGTTAGTGTTGACAACTATGTTCTGGCAAATAGGCTCCTCTTCCTTCTCCCGTATTGTCAGGCCGAGCTCGCAAATTCTCGCATCTCTGTGCTCGCAATCGCTGCAAACGAAGACGATCGGCTCCATGTCGGCCTTTTGCCAAATCTCTCGCATGATGGCAGCTGTTGTTCATCCACAAAGCCCAGCTGCCTTCTGAGGGGTCTTCAGGTTTCCACATAGTGCGCAAGGGAACGTGCGTCAGGCGACTGTGAGGCAATGTTGCGAGACAATGTGTTGATTGGAAGGGTGGGCCTCCGAGTTCTTCCAAGAGCAGGAATCAGTCGACTGGTAGTCACCTAGTAGTAGGCATAGGAGACGCCCCAGTGAATGCTAGCCTAGATTGACAGCATCGAGGGTAGATGATTCGCAAACGAAAGTGTCGTGCTTGGCCAATCCAGATGAAGTGATAGTCGAGGAGAAGGGTGGCAAAGCGTGCGGTCGAAAGGTTGGGCGAAGAGGTGGCGCCAGGTTGTCAAGTCGAAGGTTGAAAGAGGAAGCTTGGAAGATAGCCATGGAGATGTGGAGGCTGAGGTGCGATTTCGACAGGAAGCGGCCAATTCGGTAAATTCACGTACAACAGAATTAGAAAGAGTGAATATACGTGGGCATTTGCAGGCGGTCTCCGGAGACCCGACACACTTGAATACAGAGGAAAAATGAATGCACCCACCCTCTGTGTGGAATCTTGCTTATAAGGCCAGGGTTACAACTGACACTGCAGAAGAGACCCCAACTGGTGAAGTTACTTAGGCTACGTCCAGATGTTTGACCCTCTCTTGTGGGAGGACCTCTAAAATAGCTCCTGTATGACAACGTTCTATAGGATAACCTCCACTGGGATAACCTCCTCTGGGACAACCCCTCTACCATAATTTCCTCCCAGATAACCTCCTCCGGATGATCTCTTCTGTTGTAGCCTCTTCTATCGTGATGGATGAATGGACTATTGAAAGAATGGCTGTAATCTCATCTACCCCGATCATCGCTACTACCCTTTCTCCTGGTAAACATAATACAAGTTCCAAGATGAGGATACACTGGATCTTTATATTTCTATGGCTCCTCTAATGCGTGATACCGCTGATGCGCAGAAATTGCGAACACGGGCAGGTAGTGTCCGCACCTCGGACATGCCTGGCTTCCATCCTCGTCACCCCAGGCTTCCGATCCAGACTCGGATGCATAGCCGTCCCCAACATCCAGGTCATCACCGTCCACCACCGTCAGACTCAAGCCTGACTTTTCGCTAGCTTCTCCCATTTTTGAAGCCTGATTCACTTTTGGCGGCACCTCGCTCCCGTCGTCGTATACCCTGAACTCGCGCAGAACCTCATCCTGCCTCTTGAACATCCGCGAGATGTCTCTCCCGCTCCCGGCTGCTTCCTCGGTTGCCGTGAGGGTCATGTTTGCTACGCAGATGTTGATCATGCCGATGTTCCACCCCTCAGCCTTGTCTGGGTTTAGCTGGAAGAACATCGGGAACAACGCCTCTTTTACGAGCCTCCCGACGATAGTTTGATGGTTGACGTCGTGGAAGACGAATGACGGAAGTGGCTGGCTTCGACTGGCTCTGCCCCAGTTGTAAGGCGTGCCCTCGTTGGGCGACGACTTCGGACGGGTTGACAATCGGAGGGTCTTAGGGTGGGCCAGCCACTTCGTACGCCTGGCACCCTCTACTGACGCCGCGGAGTCTTTGTCTGGTTCACCGACTTCGGTCAGGTCAACATGCATGCGCCGCAATAGAGACGCCGCAAGCTTTAGTAGCTCGCGTTCAACCTCTGCAGACGTGTTTAGCCCGCCCTTCGGGCCAGGATAAGTGTCCTCAATCGAGATCTGTGTTGGGATGAGGCTCGCTGCCTTGACGTCCGTGTCGTCAACGCCGTGCAGAAGAGCCCATACCTTCTCCCCTATGCCTTTCTCGGCCCCGGGACGACTGCCCAGTAACTTTTCTAGCATGTGGGGAGAGACCTCTTGTCGATTTCTGAACTCTCCTACTGTCACGGCGGACCCGTTGACGAAAGTGTCCGTGTCCGCGTCTCTTCCAAGAAAGTAGCTCTCCAGCGTGTGTGTTATCCTGCCTCCTATTCCGGGAACTTCACGGAGGCCGTACGAGTCCATGAACTTGAGGACCTCATCTTCATGAAGCGACAGCAGCGTCGTCTGATTTCTCGGCTTGTTCACAGTGCCTGCCAACTTGCTCAGCACCTTGTTGGTTGAGATGCCACATGCCGATGTGTAGCCCTCTTCTTCTACCTTCAGGCGAATATATCTTGCCAGGTGTGACGAAAGAACAAGTTTGACGAAAAGAAGGTTGTCATGATTATCCTCCCCATGGCCATCGCCAGCAACACAGCCCGCGATGGCAGTAGCGTCGAAGCTAAAGCCCTTCTCAGGGTTGTCCCGTGACAGGCAGAAGAACGAATCCGGCAACGCGTTCCGGTTCAGTAGACCGACGTTGAACTCGACCAGGTCGGTGACATCCAGAAAGACCTCATCCAGTCCCAGGCGCTCAACCTTCTTGTTCCATGAGTACGACCTCAAAAGGCCGTGCAGCTTCTTGGACACGTCTCGGAACGCAGACAGGTCCTCGCCATCAGCAAGGACCAGGTCCGGGCAAATCCTCTTGGCATCAGAGATGAGCTGCAGCTTCTTGACACCGCGCCTCCGGGCCTCGTAGTTGCATGTCGCCAGGATGCTCTTCTGCTTGATGCCAAGCGGGAGCGACCTCAGCGCAGGCTGGGCATTCTCAACAACCTGTGCGTAGAAGCAGTCGTAATCCTGACGGGAGTCAGCGCAACGTCCTGTGGCGAGATTGTATGCGGGTGGATCCTCACGAAATGCAGGATGATCCTATCTTGCTTCCTTCGAGGTGATCTCCTCTTCACCGCATGCTCCATCGTGTCCTGTCGTATCCGAGCCTGATCCCGAGCCCCATGACGCTGCGATGTCCAGCAGGTAGCAAGACACCCGGATCGACAGGAAATAGGAGCTGATCTGCGGGGATGATCTCAGGACAACGCAGACTGCTGGCTGTTGATGGAACGGGGACGCGTCGACTTTGACGCGGTTGAAGTGAATGTGGGGCGGCCCTGTGAGCTCCAGCTCCTTTGCTGACTCATCACCGCGGCTACTTCATAGCAAGGCATGAGTCTTGCCTCCCTCCCTCTTAACGTTTAATACCTTCTCTTCTGGGCTCGGAAAGGAAGTGAACCCGTAAGTGGCCCCCGATTGGAGAAACAAATGTAACATCGTGCAACCAGGCTCGGATCGCTTCAAAGATGAGCACAACCATGCGTCTCGGAAGCTTAGCAATCCCACACGATGAGATGAAGTGAGAGCGTCCCAGAAAGAGGACTGAGACTCCAAACCACACTCGGCATCTTTGTTGACGGATTGGCAGTCCGGAAGCTTAGAGGGCTTTCTGAATTCCGTATGCTGATGTTGTTAAGGCTTCAAAAGCTGAAATATACCCGCCTGGCTATAAACTACATCCATTTGTTGGATGGCCAAGGTTGAACACTGAGCCGGATGGGCCCATCCGAGTCTAGACTGGATATACTACCGCAGGGAAAGGCATGAACACATGAGGCACGCACATAGGGATGCAAGGAGACTTTTCACTGCCGGCCCGTGAAGCTCAGTCCGGACTGCAAGGCAATGACGCCGTGCGGCTATAACCAAATTAGGCTGTAACACTAATTATCCCTGGCTGTGCAAACTGCTTAGAATAATTACAAGTTGAGTTTCTAGGCAAAGTTTTCTTGGGGCTGTAGCTTATTCAGATGGTTTTCCCTACACTGTCGACTCTTCAAACAGTCTACTCATTCCCATAAAACCTCAACTAGGAGCACTGTCACCTCCAATTTCCGAAGCTGTAGACTTGGCCCCATCCGTTGACACTGGCATTGGCACGGGTCCTCCTGGCGAGTTTTCGTTGCCCGCAGTCAAGACCTCGACGCCGGACTCCGTGACAAGAAAGGTGTGCTCTATTCGTGTTCATATCAGTTTTCGGCCACGGATTCGAAAATTTATTGTACGTACCAAATTGAGCAGTCCACTTGCCATCAACTGTCGTATTCGTCCAGTCGTCCGGCCAGTAAACCTCGCGGGGTTTCCCCAGCGTAAGTATCGGTTCGATAGTGAAAGTCATGCCGGGCTTGCACACCCCGACTGCCTTGTTCTTGGCATAGTGTGGTATCCAGGGCGGGGGGTGGAACTCGGTGTTGATGCCGTGGCCGCCCCAAGTAGTGACTACGTTGCAGCCTCTGGACCGGGCGTGCTTCTCGATGACCTTGCCAAACTCGCGTATCGGAGTGCCAGGCTTTATAAGTTCGAGGGCCTTGTCCAGGCACTCCCGGGTGGTTTCAACCACCCGGACCGCGTCTGGGTTGGCTTTAGCTCGGTCGCCAATATAGTACGTTTCGTTCAGGTCGGCGTGATAACCGCCGTGGTACAGAGAAATGTCGAGATTGAGGATATCGCCATCAAGAAGGACCCGCTGATCAGGTATCCCATGACAGATGACCTCGTTTGGTGAAGTGCACAGTGATTTCGGAAAGTGATTGTAGTTCAATGGAGATGGATACGCCTGGTATGGTTAGTAACAAGCATTCTCATTTGAAGGAGGAATGTGTTTGTGCTCACATCTCGTTCCACACAGGCTCTGTGGCACACCTCGTCAAGGTAGTCTGTGGTGATGCCTGGCTTGAGCTCCGCAGCGGTGACGTCCAGAACTTCTCGAGCCAGTCGACAAGCCTTGCGCATCGCATCCTGACCCTTGGCGTCCAGAACATCAACCTTAAATCTATTGAGGCGATTCTCGCGCTCTGGTATTCCCGTCTCGGCCCAGTCAGGGTGCTTTATGGACTTGGGGAGGGTGCGCCTGGGCGAAAGAGGGTAGACGGGTCGCACAGAACCGGTAAAGGGAAATGTTGGGAATGGATTGTGTAATCGGGTGACTAGATCTGATCAGAATCAAGGCCCAGGTACATGATGTTGCTGGTGCTATATTTTGCCCTACCTTGGGCTGGCTTGTGGGTGGTTTTATGTTGGCTCTGGGCCGGGCGATCGAGTCAGCTTGGAGCGTGGTTGGGATGCAGGGGACATTTGAACAAACCCAGTTCCTCTTGAAGCAGTCCTGGGAGCAGAAGTAGCTGTCCTTGACGCCCGTCTTTAGACATGTCGGGCATTGCAGATTACCGGCATCATTTGCACAGTCTGCTCCTAGACACTTCCGAGTGTTTGGTGTGTTGTCGGCCATGGGGGTTGTTGCCCAGCGTGGGCATGGGTAGAGTTTAGTTAGGGCAAAGACACAACGAATGGCAGTGAGACGATTAACGGATCTTGACTATTGAACTATGCTTCTGGAGTTGAATGCCAAAGCCATTGATAAATACAATATTAGCTGGAGTTGAAGAGCCTTGGGTGGTCCATGTGTGCCGTGCTAGCCAATCACCGCCCGCGCCCTTTTGTCTTGTACCACAGTAAGTGCGGGTCCATGAACAGGACAGGGCGCTTTGCAGCTGTGCTAGACCGTAAGCAGAGAAGCGTGAGAGAAGAGGCCTGCTGGTTGTACAGTCATCGAAGATCGTCGAGTACAACGGTTGCCCGTCCACAGTCTGCAATCATGCCTTGACACTTGAGATCTGATGGAACAGATCCATGGACTTGTGAATGCTCGAAACAGTCAATCCCCTTGTGACCAGGAAGTGAGGCAGACAGCAAGAGTATTGTGAGACCTTGTCATCATGACTACGCGTCCCCTCCGGCTTACTTTGCTCGCTGTGTGTGTGTGCCCGTCTTCCGGTAGAGTGTGATTGACTGCCGTCACGGGCTAGCAGATGCATAGTTGCAAGACTAAGAAGTAGGGACGGGACTAGGCAGCTAAGACTCCGCAGTCTGGACCAAATAGCCGCGGCGAATAAGCGTCTGACGCCCGCTTAGTTGCGCCAACATCACCCGCCTGGGTGTTCCGCGTGTTCCGCGTGTTCCGCGTGTTCCGCGTGTTCCGCGGCAAGTGTGCTGGCACTTGATCGATCCTTCAGGACGACGGCGGATCGCTCCTCAGTCAGTCAGTCAGTCAGTCAGTCAGTCAGTCATCATCACCGCCTTTTGCCGTGGACCCCGGCCACCACTGTACAGTATCCTCTGTTCATTCCTGACTGCCCATGCACACACCATGCATCGTGTCGGCTTGAGGTTGGGATCCTTTCGTCCCAACCTTGGAAGCGGAACCCGACAGGGGGGTGAAGCCGGGCGGGGCAGACGGGGCGATGGAGGGCAGGGAGGGTCGAGCCGTCGACTCATTGCTTCGGACGAGACGAAGCAACCCCTCGGGCACGGGAGGGGACACTGGGACAAGATGAGGGAAAAAAAGAAAGGGAAAAGAGGAGCTCACGGGCATCGAGACCCAGCGTGTTAGTAGACGCCATTGTGATCTGGCAGCCAGCAGTGTGCATGTGGAGGCCATGATTGGCGGCTTGCCCGCCCGTCTCTGCATGGGCACGGCGCTTACGCTCGCACTCTGCAGCGACCTAGGCCACATCCAGCCCTGCCCACAGCCAACCACAGCGGCCCTGCCGTCTCGACGACGACGATGCCGATGGGCCGATGATGGGGGCATGGGCCATGGGAAGGGGTGGCAACAGCCGAGGACAGCAGACGAGGTGCTTGTCGGGCCCCAAGGCTGGTGGCTGGTGGCTCCTCTGCCGCGGGGGACTTTGGACTTTGTTGCTCTGCCCCCGGTCGGCCCCTCCCCCCTCCTCGCCTGGGTCTTGGAGTCTTGCTGCGTGTGTGACTACCTAGGTATGTCTCGGCCTCTCCCAACGCGCCTATTGTGTGTGCTTCTCCGTCCAAGTGTGCATTAGCCTGACGGCGCTTCCATCCTTGAAAGACCTCGCATGCTTCTTCTTTTCTTTCTTGTTCTTGTTCTTGTTCTTGTTCTTGTGTCCCCTCACGCGCGAGATTGCCGCCAGTCAGCCAGCCCCCCCCCCTGCTTGTTTCCTGACTGTTTCCAGCACTACATCTGTATATAGCCGCCGCTTCTTCGCTTCTGCATGCGACTCTGTCCCAACACTCGCCCAGAATACTTTGCTGCTGCTCGTTTCCCGCCTCCAGCATTGCTTCAGTCAATTCCACCAACCTCGTCCCAGTCCTGTTCAGTGTCGCGACAGAACCCGGGAGCGACGTCGCTGGGCTGTTACAGAGTCGATGTTGAGCATCCTCGGCAAACGGAGCCTCTAATGTTTCACACGCAAAGTTTCGAATCAATCACACCCTGTTAAACCTGTTCCTGCGTTTCCACTTGCCCTTTCACTGCCACTCCCTCTCCTCGTAATAAAGCCACCCGATCCCGGGCCGTCGCCGCCGAGGCGTTTCGCGTCCGCTTCGACTTTCTCCTCTTCGCATCCAGCATGTCGGCTCACCAGAACCCTCCAAAGAGACCGAGGCTGTCCCTCCAGATCAAGACCATAGCCAATGGCCCCAACCTGAGAGGCTCCAGGACCGTGGCAGCAGCAGTCAACCCGACCTCGCCGACTGCCTTCAACACACTGTCCAATGTCTACGTCACCGCCATCGACAGGGCCACGCCCGTCACGGCCATCAACACCTCGGCCAACCAGTCTCTGAAGATCCAGACACAGGACCTCAACAAGGAGCAGCACCATGGCTCACACACGCCCTACGCTTCCACGTACCTGGACACGCCACTCACGGCCCAACCGCTGTCGCCAGGAGCGATAGCACCAGCCCCAGTGCAATTCCCAAGCACCATGACAGCCACTCCGCCCCTGTCGTCCGGGCCCGTCGACGACAGCGACCCCAAGCCATTTTCCTTCTCGGCCGAGGACACAGCCGGCACACCGGCAGGGGGAGCCTCAGGCCCTTCCTGGGCACAAGGCGGCTTCCCCCCGTCGTCCGCCTCGACGCCGACGGGGACCTCACGGCGGCGGGCCACGCTGCCCCTCAGCGTCGCGAACTCCTCCGGGCTGTCCCTCCCCTACGTGCGCAACCGCTCCCTGCACAGCATCCTGCGGAACTCGCCGCTGCCGCCGCCGACGGCCAAGACGCCCATCTCGCCGCCGCCAGTCGCTGCGCCTCGCCGAGAAGGCCGCCCGCCGCGTGGGCTACGGGAGCCCCATCGAGCAGGAGATCACCACCAACGAGTACGTGAGGTCGCACATCGACCTGCTGGCCGACGAGGTCTCGCCGCGGTCGGCGACCTCCCCCTTTGGCGTCACCACCCCGGGCACCGCGGCCGCGGGCGCCTCCGCCGGGGTGTCGTCGCCAATGGACCAGATGGTCCTCGACACGACCATGGCCTACACGGGCGACGAGACCCGCGACGGCGGCCAGACCCCGGGCCCCTTTGAGGAGATGAGACGACGCATGGCCGGGCTGGTGACCAGGACGCCTACTTCGCCGACAGTACCGTCGACGTCGTCGCCATCCGGCGGCATCAGGAAAAAGAGGAAGACCAGGGAGACCAAGAGGCGCTGGGTGTGGACCATCGGCACGCAGGACGACGATGCCGATGATCGGGAGGTGGGCGGCGCCATCGCCGCCATTCGGGCGGCCGCCAGGGCGCAGGCGCAAGCCGAGGGTCAGCCCAGAAGCACCACGGACGGCGGTGCTGCTCCTGCTCCTGCCGCCGCCATGGCCCCGCCGCCGGTCGTCGTGGAGCCGGTGGCACCGTCGCCGATGGAGATCCCGACGCCCAGCATCGAGACGTTCGACGAGGCGGCGGCCGAGGACGTGGTCATGTCCGAGTCCGACGCAGAGGCAGAGGCAGAGGCTGAGGCAGAGGCTGAGGCTGAGGCTGAAGCCGCAGAGGGCAGCGGCGGCGCGCTGGCCGTGAGCACCGACATGGAGGTCGACCTGGTGACACCGACAGTGGCGCGGAGGAACAACGCCCACCTGAGGTCGGTGAGGCAGGACTCAGAATGTCTCTTCAACTCGGAGACGGGGAGCCGGCGGGACACGCCGATCCCTGCGGATCTGATCTCGCACGCGGACTAGGGCTGGAGAGGTAGATAGTGTATATGACTTGATGTCACAGAGGCAGCATCGACAATTTGGGCAGAGAGTGCAGATACGCAGACGTTTGTGTACATGACGAAACTTGATTTCAATGGCATGTCCCGGTAGTTGGTTCATCGGCAATTCATTCAGCATATAGCAAGCGAGCATCACTGCGTTGGGATGGAAAATTCTGGTAATTTCATGGCGAGTCTGGGGAAATTCAATGGGAGATCAGGTTGCAAATGACCTGGGGAGAACATGTTCCCACGAGTTTACGATCTAACACAAATATGAAGTGCACGTTGATGATCCGAGTCGATCTTTTCATTTCAGTCTTGATTCCTGCGATCTTGTAGACCAGTGCAGTCAGCCCTTGTTTCCGAGGGTCATAATGCTGAGGCTCGAGAGGGACGACCAATATCAGATCGGTGCCCATGTTGGGCTAACGCAAGCTTTTGGCAAATCCACTCTCCGTCTCACCACAGCCGTCCTGAATAGCCAAATAAGCAACATACCATAAGCTTTCATTCCTCAAAATTTCAGCGCGGCTCTAATACGTTGAAATGCTATCAATGCGCCTAGTTTCCCGATCCGCGTCACATCGCATCTCGCTACATGATTTTTGACTGCTCACAGTCCAGGTGGAGGGGGCATCTGCAGTACGGGTCAATACTGTTCACATTAACCAGGTATAGGAAGTGGGACATACTGCGTTGTAGCCAGCCACGCCCGGGGGAGACCCTGAGGGTGGAGGAGGCGGTGCGGGATTGGATGGTGGAGGCGGCGGAGGAGGCTGATTGTCTGGCGGAGGGGGCGGTGGAGATGCTGAGGCACCCTGCGCACCAGGCGCACCCGGCGCACCGGGGCCTTGCTGCTGCTGTTGGGCTTGCGCTGCGGCCATATACTGCTGGTAGTACTGCACGTACGCAGCGTAGCCACCGTAAGCCGCGTAAGGGTCCGCGCCAGGATTCTGGGCGTAGTACTGGGCGTACTGCGCCGTGTAGTCGGCGGCCGATGGTGTGCTATTAGCACCGGGGGCCGGCGATGCTGACGAGGCCTGAGCTCTCGGGGAGTTGTTGTAGTTGTTATTGTACCCGTGGTCCCTGCTGCCCTGTCTGTCGCCGTACCGGTCTCCATGCCTGTCCCCGCCGTATCGATCGCCGCCGCCATAACGATCCCCACCTCCGTGCCGGTCGCCGCCGTTGTAACGATCGCCGCCATAGTGTCCGCCGCCGCCGTAGCTCTGACGTGGGGGCCGGCTCTTGAACTCCTCGTACTGCTCCTTCACGTTGCTCAATAAATCCTCGCAAAGCTCTTTGGCTTGTTGAACCATCTTGGGGTCGGGACCGGCAACGTGGAGGTACATGTCCTCTTCGGCCTCACGCCCAGTAGAGTTCTCAATGTAGCCAGATCCGCGCCCCTTGATCTGCACACGGCATCCTGTCTCTTGTTGGATATGCTTCACATATGCGCCTCCATGGCCGACTACCTGCGCACGGAGGTTGAAGCCAGGGACAGGGTCAAGGTCGATAGGGATCTTCTCCTCAGGCCATTTCCGCTGATGAGGGGGGTCAGCGAACACACGAGGTCCAGTATGGGTAACCTGCAGCATACTCTACCGTACTCATCCCGTTCAACCTGCTCTTGCTCTCGGCGGAAACGGCGCTCGTCAACGAGTTGGGGGAGCTCTTGCTTCATCATCTCTTCGATCTTAGCAACGGCCTGCTCGAGTCCGTCCTTCGAAGTGCTCGTGACGTGAAGGTAAAGAGGGGGGTTCTGGATCCATCGGTTAGCCACCATGCCCAACACTGCACCGGAGCGTGCGTCTCTTACTGCTGCGGTAGCCATGCTCTTGTCGGGATAATAGTTCCCTCGGGTGGTGACATCTTGGTGAGAATAAAAGCGTCAACTTCCAGCCTTCAAACGACGAGTTACTGTGATAAAATTAGGTGGTAGGTGGTAGCATACCGGCGCCGGTCTCATCTTTAATCTAGATCAAGCAGGGGAGGTCAGCAGCGGACACAGAGATGGCCTGTATGGAAACTGTCGAGCTTCGAGTAAGCAAGACTGTTCTCGCATACGGTGGCAGGGTGGGTGAGGGATTGATGCAGCTGTGTCTGACTGTGTATCAGCAGGAATGACCAAGACAAGTATTTACCATTTTCTGTGTGGACCCCTTGGTCAAGAGGTATCGGTTGCGCAGGTCGTTGACTTCGATGTCCTTGATGTAGTCGCCATCCGCGATGTACATGTCGCCGTTGATCTGGTGCGCGGCAGCTGCAGGGCCCGAGGTGCTGCCCGTGGAGGCCTCGGAGCGGATTGGAGGGACGTCGACATGCTGGATGCCCTTGCGCGCCTGGAGTTGAGCATTGATCTTGGCCGCGGCGGCAGCTACGGTCAAATTAGCACGCTGGCGAGAATGATAACTCACGGAACGGGAATATGGTTTCCCAGAGTCTTCTTACCTGCAGCGGCTGCTGGGTCCACTGGGGATTTCGTGGGAGATGCGCCAATGTCTCGGTCCTTGGACAATGGGCTCCTGTCGCGAACCGAGTCGTCCTTGCGAGCCGAGGGAGACCGAGAACGCCGGTCGAATCTGGAGGCCCTTCGAGGTTCAGGCTCCTTTTGGTCGAAGCGGGATCGCTTGGCGGTTCTTCGTTCGGAGTCATCCATTGTGGGCGACTGGATTGACGGCAACCATGTGGGTAGCCGATGCTGTTCTGGAAGAAAAGTGGTCGTAAGGTCGGAACTGGGTTTGGAACGTTGGAAGGCTGGGATCTTTTTTCGTGCAAGGCTCGGCCTGGTGGAGAAAACCGCAGCTAGCAAGTTCTAGAACCACCCCACCTGTGAGGCAAGACAAGAAGTAAAGACCTCCTCCTTCACCCCGGTCTCACTCATTAATTCATTCGTCCTATAGAGACGTGGATGTCAGGCCAAGTGGAGTCAGTGACGTTCCAGTTGTTACACAGGGTATGTTAAGTTTACGGACGCAGTTCATTGTCTTCAGATGTTCTCAGCTAAGAAACCAACGCAGTGCCCTGTGCCCTGGTGTTTGTTAGTCAATACTGAGATCAGTGTCGCGTAACAGCAACCGGCTTCTTGCATCTCAACCTGTTCTGTTCCGAATTCCTCCTCGGGATACCAAAAAGGTCGCTGTTTTTCGTCAGAACTCAAATCTCACACATTGCAATGGCCCGAACGCGTCAGGGAGCTGCTGCTTCCACCAAAAGCAGTACCTCGGACAATTCAACAGCCAGGGAGGTGAAGCAAGCTCCGACAAAAAAGAGAGGCGCGTCTGACTCAAAGGCCCAACAAAAAGTGCCAGCGAAGAAGCGCAAGAGGTCTCCCGAGCCGTCGAACGACAATCCTGAGCCTTCAGAGCCGCAAGAGGCCGAAGAACAGCAGCCTCTTCCACGCCTGACCACCCCGGACCTTGAATTTGACTGGGACAGGAGTAAACTCAAGGACCCGCGCCCTACCCCTGGGCGGGAAAGACGTCCACGGTACGACGAACATGACATACCTTCTGAGCTGGCTGCTCGTCGCCCACCGTCTCCGGAGAAGCCAAAGGGGCGCCTGAATGCCATGCAGAAAGACGCCTTATACAAGGAGAAAGCACGCAAGGATCCAGCTGCAATTTTCCACGATCTCCATGTTTGTTACGACAGGGGGCCTAATGGCCCTCCGACTTATGACACGGCTGGGTTCCGACTGGATTACGACAAAGTCGTGGAGTGGTTCAAACCTGTGCCGTACAACAAGCAGCGGATGTTAAAAGGTATGGAGAAGAGGGTTGCCAAAGCGAAGACCTTGGACGAGCATACCATTGAGGCCTTCTTCGAGGATCCTGAGAGAGCCAAGGACAAACTATCTGGAAACCCCATTTTGGAAAGTCTAGTGAGGGATACCATCTCGAAAGACCTCGGGGTCCCTCTTCACAAAATTGACCATGCGGACATCGGTAGGTGGGTGCAGAAGGGTTTTAAGAAGCACAAGGTGGAGGGTTGGGTGACCTATTCGGACGAAGACAAGAAGAGGGATCTGAAGATGATGAGTGGATCAAGATTGCGGGCGTAGCTGTACCACCACGGGCTCCGCCGTTAGTCTGATTATCGGAGTGCCTGGACGTTAGATGCAATGAGCAGGCGGCAGAGGGATCACGAAACCTTGAAACGAGAAGTGGAAGCCTAGGGGCAGACATGCCGGTAGACGGAGACTGCGCAAAACACAGACTGGAACAAGTTGCACAATTGAGACCAGGCTCATGCTGTTACGCGTTGGGCTCAGCAGGTGACTATTGGCATACCAGCCATATTCCCTTGTCAAAATTCAGAATCGTCCAAGAAACAAGGTCAATTGTGACTTGTAGGAGAGACTGCAGATGACACCATACGTTGGCCTTGTGCTGACGAAATATGTCTTTTGATTCAAGATATTTTGTTAATGAACACAGAGACCCATACTGTTGGCTGGGAATGGTCCTTTTCAATTCGCGTCTGACTTCGCGCTCGGTCTTCAGATTGCGCCGGAAACCTGATCCAGAACCTGTTGTCCGAGAGTCCTCCTCCTCCCGGCATCACCGTCTGCTCCCTGGCCCTGGGCGCCTGTCGCAGTCGCGCTTGGCGCATTCTCCCCCTCCAGACGTCTCCTCAGCCCTTCAAACTCCTGGCTTCTCTTTTGTGTCCTCATGCCGACCATCCAGCCGGGTAGCCGCCACGTCGTCACCCTGGTAGGCAACATGTCATTCCTCCACACGTACCCCACAACCCACCCGATCGCCGCACCCAACAGCGAGCCAGGCCACTGGAACAGCGCGAGCTGCATGGCCAGGAAGTACCGGTAGGACTTGTCGCTGAAGGTGAGGCCCGCCGCGTCGTTGCTCGTACTGGGGGAGGAGGCCGTCAAGGCCATGCGGTACTTGTATATGTGCGGGATCATGGCGTGGTACTGCGCTAGGATGGCGAAGATGATCGGGGTCGGACCAGCCGGGAGATAGTTGAACACGCCGCCAGTGAGAGGGCGGAGCAGGAGGATGATGGCGGCGGGGGTGAGGACGCTTGTTAACAAGCCCGAGACGACGAGGAAGGACTGTCGCATTGGTCGATGTCAGCATACACGGCGGAACCTGAAAACTGGATCGATGGGGAAGACAACGTACGGCATATTTTCTCGACCCCCACATCCGCTCAACGACACGCATATTGTAGAGCGTCATAGCGGCGAAAAGCACCTCGGATGAGTTGGTGTAGCAGAGCTGGAATATGAGGGCCCGCCATGGTTGGTGATACTTCCAGATGTGTGTGTCGACTAGGATGTAGAAGTAGTGTTTCAAGTCGAAGAGACTGGCCGCGACGGAGGAGGAAACGAGCCCGACAACGAGCGTTCTCGTCACGGGCGCATTGGTGAAGGACATGTTTTGAGGATAAAGCTGCCAAGGTCGGTCGGTTGCTACCGATGCATTACGGCGGGCAGGGCAGGCTGTCCAAGGGTGGCCTGGCGCTTGTCTTGCTGTGGTCTTGAGGTTGCAAGCATGAAAGTTTAGTGACAACACTCAGGACGAATCAAATGTTGTGTCCAGTTGGGAGTTGTCATTAACAACGGCTTTGGTCTTTACGTGTTAAAGGTGACGCCGGCGGACGGAGCTGGGGGAGGTTGAAGTGGCCAGTATGTCATTCAGCCCAGCGGCTCGTGTCACCCAGCTACCTAGGTACCTAGTACTGTGATCCCTGCCCAGCTGCAAATTCTGGCAGGGATCAGGGCCGAGCCATAGAAAATGGCCGATCCATTTGCTACAGTGGCTGAGGATACTGGGCATTTCCCTTGCCTCCAGTCCGACGTTCAACATCCTGATCTCACTTGTCCGTCCTTTCGTAAGCTCCTGCGTCGTCGTCTTGGCAGGAAGGCGATTTCTGAGTACAGCCTCTTTTCGTTCGTTTATAAGCCCTGGTCACTCCCGCACTGTGATAGAAAGCGTTTGATGAGTGTCGGTCCTACTCTCTGCCGTCTTTGATCCTCTCGTCCACCCAGCTACCACTACCTCTGTCTTGCCATGTCGGACCTGTACCTAGCACATTTTCGGAGCTGGCTTCTGAGCTCACCACCAGCCGAATGGATTCTGCGACAGACGCATGAGCTGCTCATCGGGGCACTCAAGCAGGGTCCAGTGCCTCAGCACGTTGCCTTTGTTATGGACGGTAACAGGCGATATGCCAAGAACCATAAAATTGAGAGTCTGGAAGGACACCATCTAGGGTTTGAGGCCCTGGCTAAGGTATGCAGTCGTTCCCTCTCCAAGACTACGACACGCCATCTAACCAGCTTCCAGATCCTAGAAGTCTGCTACAAGACTGGTGTCAAGGTTGTTACTGTGTATGCGTTTGCAATTGAAAACTTCAACAGACCACAACGTGAGGTTGAGGGCTTGATGTTGCTGGCCAAGACTAAGCTCTCACAACTCATGCAGCATGGAGAGGTCCTGGACAGATATAGTGCCAGGATCAAGATATGCGGAAAGCGAGAGCTGATCCCAAAGGACGTCCTGGAGTACGTGGACAGGGCCGTGGAAAGCACGAGCAAGAATACTGGGTAAGCTTGTGTGGCGAGGGTCATTTCCTTAGGACCGCCAGCTGACTTCAGTCCAGTGCCGTCCTCAACATCTGCTTCCCATACGGATCACGGGAAGAAATGACGCATGCAGTCCGGACAACAGTCCAGGACTACTTGGCAGCTCCGCCACCAAAGAACTCGACTTTCTCTCAAACCCGCATCTCCCAGAGCATCAAGTCCAAGAAACTGGCAAGGCCCGACACTCTGCCATCAATAGATGAGACACCTTCAGCGGCAGAGCAATCTGGACATGACGGTGATGGCCCCGACGATTCCGTCTCGTCCACGGCATCGACGTTGCACCTGCCCGACACGCCTTCCAGGCCGTCCTCATCGCATACTCCGAGATATCCCGACCCCGAGACCATCACCACGGAGACCCTGACAAACCACATGTACACAGCTGGAGATCCACCCCTGGACATGTTTGTTCGTACGAGCGGAGTCGAGAGGCTGAGCGACTTCATGCTGTGGCAGTGCCACCAGGACACTCAACTTTTCTTCCTCAAGTGCATGTGGCCAGACTTCGATCTGTGGCATTTCCTGCCGGTCTTGATCGAGTGGCAGTGGCGACAGAAGCAGAAGGAGAGAGACGAAAAGCCCCGGCGAGGCATCAAGCAGCGTTAATTTCGGACAGATTTCAAGAAATGGCGAGCCGGCGGCGTGTGGCATTAATCCATTTTCCTGCATATTTCTGCGGTCTTTTGACAATGATATCCAGAGAGAGGCGGGGGAGGAAGCGTGGAAGGGAGAGGAAGGGAGATATTCGGATTCAGCACGTTTCATTCTTATAACTACAATTAGATCATGCATTGCGGTCTGTGATGAGGCTCGATTATGGTCGGGTCTCACAACGCGGTCGGACCAGGTCATCGTAGACTACAGTACTGTACGGAAGCAATCCCATGCTTAGGAACTGAGCTTATCTTCCCGCACGACTATCAGTCGCCGCTTCGGTGCCGAAGCTGCGTCACTGCACAAATGGAAACGCCCCCTGTGGCGCTAGAGAGCTCTGAGTGCTCTGGCCCGCCCCAATGCCGGCCGCTCGACACGCCCGGGCTGTTCTTGGTCTTGTTCCCTCCTGGCCCTCTCCTACCGGCTGTTTTCTCTTCCCCTCGACTGCACATGGCCAGAACCCCTCGAGCTACCGGGCCCTCTGTTCTTGGAAGAGAATGGCTGATTGACTGAACCCCTAGACCCGCGTCTTCTATTCTTACTTCTCTCAAGACTCTGCTAGGGAACCGATAAGACGTGCCCACGCTGTCGCAGAGTGGGATCTTCCCTCTCGGCTCAGAATCCGCAGACCACCAGAACTCCCACTGCGACCTCCCACCTCGTCCTCCCCTCCCTCTCTCCTCGCCGCAAGCGACGTCCAACATGAAGACCGCAAAGGTTGTCTCGGGCGAGCCATCGTCTTCCAATCGGAGATCTCAACCCGTTCGCCAGACTCGAACAAATCCTCCCAGATCGAATGCAGGCCTCAACCGCCTCGCCACACGGGACTCACTGTCCAGCGCCAATGCCGCCGAACAGCCTATAGACATTTTCCCAGGCGTAACTCACTTCGCTGATGCTATCACGGCTCTTCCGAAAGAGCTCGTGCGACATTTCACTTTGCTTAAAGAGGTCGACGCCAAGGTCTTTGCCCCGCAAGAACAGCTCTTCCAGTTTGTGCAAGATGCCCTCGACAGTCCACCACCGGGACCAGCAAGATCGCTCAACGATGCCACGAGCTCCGCCGCCCCAGCCTCGGCGCCTATGAGCGCCGCGAACAGTTCCAGCGGAGCGGCACCTCATGGCAATGCTCTACCCGCGTTCTCAGCAAATGGCTCGACGGCGTCAAGCGTCTTTGACGACAGCAATCTGGCGCGCCGCCACCTCTTTCGGTCGACCGCCGTCAAGATACAAGAAATGCTTAATTCGCTAGAGGAGAAGAACCACGTCATATCTACTGCGAACGACGCGCTGCGCAAACAGCTTAACCGCATTGATGACATATGGCCTCACCTCTCGGACGAGTTCAGCGAGGAGGCGAAGTGGGGAAGCGACTCACATTGGGCATATCCAGAGAACAGAGCAGCACGCGCGCTCAATACCCAGGCAGAGCGCACTAGAAGAGAGGGCGCCGCTCACCTGTCCGCTGCCGCTCAGTTCGTCGCAGAGGAGGCCGCCGCGCGTAGTGAGTCGCGAAAGCAAGCCGTGGCCGCCAAGAAGAGCCAGAAGAATCACACGCACGAGTCTGAGCACGACGACCACGATAACAAGAGCAAGGCAGAGACAAGCAACAAGAAGACCCAGAGCAATACGAAACGGAAGACTGCCGCGGCGGCGGCGAATGCCGAGTCGCCTGCCAATGTTGGCTTGGGTATCACCGGTCAGACGCCAGCCAGCAACACACCCGCTCCAAAAAGGCGTAAGGTCGAGAAGCCTCCTCCCAACGGGGGAACTCCCACAGGTTCAATGGCGACAGTCTTGCAGAACGGCAAGAACTCCAAAGCCAAGGCTTCAGAGAGTCCTCGTGCGACGCCAGCACCTGAACAGCCAGCGCCGAAAAAGCGGAAGGCACTGCCCAATTCTACGGGACAGACCAAAAAGAGGCAAGTGTTCATCAGAGCCCCTTCGATCACAATGGGGATGAGAGCTAACATGCCTTCCAAGCAGGGCCGGACCCGCCCAACCGCCATCCGTCGCATCGTCACCCGTCATCGGCGTTTTCCCCGAAACTTCCAAGCCTCCACGGGCCTCACCAGCACCCCCTGCCAACGCTCGTCCAGCTTCTTCGAGAGCCCGTCAAAACTCTACCGCCTCAATTGCAGACAAGCGACCGCCCTCCGTTGCCTCGAACAAGCCAAACGGAAACGTGCCGGCGCCTATCGAGATCCCACCGCCGAGTAATGGCTCTCGCGTCGCTGCCAGTGAGAACGTGAAGACTCAAATGGAGCCACCAAGCGCAGGTCCCAAGACCGAACCTGTAAGACAGCAGAGTGAAAGGGCACCAACGCCGAAATCTGCGGTGCCAGCTACGGGTCCAAAAGAGGGTTCTGCGAAGCCCGCTGAGGAGGTCGAGGCGCGGAAAGAGCCCACTCCAGCAACCGCGCCGCCAACGTTGCAGCAGGTCACTACTACGAAAAGTGGCCGGGCAAGCAAGCCCTCCACGCCCGCAATCGGTAGCTTCCCAGACAATCCTCCCACTAACAGCAACAACAATAACAATAACCCCCGCTCCCGCCCGTCAAGAAATTCAGAAGCCCCCGTGGTGCCCAAGAGGTCCCACAAGAAGGGAGCTTCCGCAGCACACGCGGCAGCGGTTCAAAAGGCCCTGGTGCAGCCCACAGCGGACGAGGACCATACCGTCCCAACGGACGAGAATGACGTGTACGACCCTGACGAGCCGACGTATTGTTACTGCGAGCGAGTATCCTTCGGTCAGATGGTGGGTTGTGACGGCGAGCACTGCACGAGAGAGTGGTTCCATCTGGGATGTGTGGGCTTGAAGGTTGCGCCCGGAAAGAGCGGTAAGTCACTCGTCCTCCTAGTCCCAGCGCTGTTGAAGGAGGAGATCAGCTCTGAGAGAAACAATTTCTGACAACTGGAACAGTGAAATGGTACTGCGACGACTGTAAAAAGCAAGTGGCGGCCAGCGGGAAGAAGGTCAATGGGCGATAACGAGTGGCTGAGGCTAAGCTGCTGCTCGGCAGCATACCGCTGGGCGACCCGACGCTGCGGGGGACCGACCTTGTGAATCACGGAGCAGACCATCAAGACAACTAGAATTGTCCTCAGTACGGAGCAGCCTAGAGAGGATGGTGCCTACATGAGCGCGTTATATGGCGATGGCAATCTCGATGTTTCTGCTTGACGGCCGTTGATGACCCTCGTTTTCGCGATGGTCATTTCCACGCCAGAGATTCCCGTGGAAGTCACGGAATGTACGGAATGACGGTAGGACAGGACGTCCAGGAATCCAGGAATTAGAGCAGCCGGAGATAAAACGGCAGGCTTCCGAGGAAGAAGGTCTAATATATGGGTGACCTCGGGTAGATATTGTATTTGAATCCAAGCCTCTACGGCGGAACCTCAAGAATCGTCACGTTCCACCTGCTTTTTTGAGAGGGAGTTGAAAGCATCGTGTATGCGTACCTGGTGCTCGAGTGGTTACACTCCATGCATTCTGGCCATGGACGTCATCTCATGGCGGATGTTGCCGCACCCGGCTTCTTTAGGGACACTAATTAATCGTACGGAAACAGGCTCCTACAATTTCCAGCATGTCCAGCAATTATTAGGATCCGCACAGCTCCACTTTCATGACCGCTGTGTGTGGAAAACGAAGTGATGCCCCCCCTGGTCACTTTTTAAAAAACCATTTATCTCAATAAATAAATTTCAAGATTTAATAAAATTTTTAGTTTTATAATCTCCTCTTCTCAAGCTTTAGTATAACATCTTTTTCACCTTTTAAATTTAGTTTTGAGAGAGTTGGTATTTTTAAAGGGGTAAATTTAACGTGGAGGGGAGAGCGGGTTTAAAAGGAAGCGGGGGGTGGGAGGGCATCACTTCGTTTTCCACACACAGCGGGATATCCGCAACTAGCGGCATCGACGGGCCCCAAAACCATCCATCCGATCGGGCGTAACGGCTTTACGAGGCTCCGGACGTCTACCACCATATGCAGCACTGCGGCAAGGTACAATGGCCGGAACTAAATACAATTTTATCGCTGAACTCTATACACATACTCTCTGTGCTTCAATACAGGCTGGCTGACTATTTACTGAGGGGGTTGCGGCAGAGACAGTAACGGCAGAACAACGCTTTTTTGGTATCTCGAGGGGTATGAAAAGGCATGACAGACAATCCAGGTTTAAAAGACAAGAAAGACGTATTCTCGCTCGCAATTCCCTTGGGTATCCATATCCATCCCCCGATGCTTTGTTCGTTTTTAAAGAACCCCCATAACACATTCCAAAAAAAATAAAAGATGATTTTGCCCCGAACCAACGTCTTCAGCTAAACTCCGAGATCCAGAAGACAGGAAAATAAAGGACAAGGGAAATGTGATGCTCGCTTTGGGAAGAGTAATTGTCGTGACGATCGTGACCCCCAAATACTTTTTCAGCAAAACTCCCAACGATGACCAAAAGCCATAAGAAATTAAAAAAAAAAAAAGGCGAGATGCAGGTAATTCTCCTGAGTGGCCCCGGCTGAATAAACCAGGTGACAAATGCACGCCTCGTATCTTTACAGCTTGCTGAACATGTAGCTCCCGTACATGCCTCCGACCTCGGCCCTGGCCATGGGCACCTTGCGCATCCCCCAGTTCTCGGCCCCCATCTTCCAGCCCCTGCTGCCGTTATCATGGGGCTGTGCCTGGTCCTGGCCCTGGGCGCCGGGGACGGACGCGCGCACGACCCACGTGCGGCTGCCCAGCTCGCTGACCCGCCATCCCAGGCGGGTCAGCGGGGCGTGGCCCTTGGCCAGCCGGCGGGCGACGTCCTCGGGCACCTCGATGACCTCGAGCGGGACCGTCTGGCCCGTCAGCAGCGCGCAGCCCGAGGTGTTGTACAGCGTCGGGAGGTCGAAGTCGCCGTTCCACATGTCCGAGAGATCGAGGTACCGCAGCGTGTGCGGCTCCCACGCGTCGATGGTCGCCATCACGCGGTCGCCGTCGGCGTCGATTTCGTCCACGTCGACGTCCGGGACGAAGAGGCCGTTGGTGTCGTTCACGCCGAGGCCGCGGCCCAGGGCAAGCTCTTCCAGGTGCTTGGTTAGTGGCCGCATCAGTGGGATGTGGGACTCGTTCATGCTGCTGCCCTTGAGGGAGAGCGACTTGAGCGTCGCGGGCAGGAGCGGCAGGAGCCTCGTGATGGCGTCGGCGTCGAAGGTCTCGTGGACCCGGGCGTCCGTCGCGAGGGACAGCCAGACGAGCGACTGGGTGACGGCCGGGTGTGTTGAGATAAAATTAATTATTGCGTCTGCGGAGAGCTTGTTGCACTTGGCGATGTTGAGGTGGGTGATGCGCGCGGAGCTGGGGAGGGAGGCCAGCGCCGCGTCCGTGACCTGAGTGCCCGCGATGTCAAGATGGGTGAGGTTGGGAAGGTTGGGCAGGAGCGTCTCGAAGACCGCCACAGGAAGCGTCGTACACTTGTGCAGGGAAAGCCTCTTGAGCCCGAGCGGTTCCTTCCACTCAGCCGAGCAGATTGTGCTGGTGAAGGCGTCTCGGAAGGACGCGCACGAGCAGCCGCAGAAGTCCAGAGCCTGGACCCTGTCCAGCTTGAAGAACAGCTTCTGCAGCACCTTAGCATCGAGCTCGTCGTCGATATGCTCCTGGGCCAGGAACTCGTGCAGGTGTGGCGTGAGCTCCAGTGCCTGGAGAAGGGTGTCAGAGGTCAGGTTGCGGGCCTGGGACCGCTCGCTGGCTGTCATGAACAAGGTGGTTGGGTTGAAGTGGCAGAAATCGAACCGCCGCACCAAAGTGCCGAGTGATGGGTGCTCGGTGACATGTGCGAGGAATTTCTGGAAAATCCGCGAGTGCGGGATCGTGATTTGCCGGTAGAGGGTGAGCAAGGTCGCGCCGTGGAGCTTCTTGGACGTGAGCAGGAGGGACATCAGGTCCATGTTCCGCTTCGTAATACCGTTGGGCGGGATGTCCAGAAGCAGAAGGTTGATTATAGAACTGAGCAGCTCCAGAGGCAGGCTCTCAAGCGCAGACTCACCTGTGACCTTGGACGGCCTGCGCTTGACGGGGGCGGGCCTGGGCTCCCAGGCGAGGGTCAGCGACGCGAGGTCGCCAAAGCTCCGGCTCGCCAGCCTCCCACGAACATTGATCTGCTTCCATCCCTTGAAGTCGTCTGCAGGGACCCAGTTGCCGTGCAGCCGGCTGCCAGGCTGAGTGACGGGTGCGAAGAACTGGGCCTGGGAAACCATAGTACCGGGGGACTCGTCGTCGCTTACTGCTTGCTCCTGTTGCAGGGTGTAGCAGGAGACTTTGGAGGAGGTGAAAGTCTGGGCCAAGTCGGTGTCGTCCTCCCTTATAGACGAGAAAGACGTGCGAGAGTTGGCGAGGTTGGGCGAGGGAGGCTTGGAGCTCCCAGGAGAGATTTTGTAGGTGGTGGAGCGGTCCTTGACCTTGGCTGGTGCCGCGGTAGCAGCTGTTGGGACGGCCATAGTGGGACTCTCGGAATAAAAAGTCTCTGGAATGTGGTACGGAGCAAGTAGGATGAGTAGGTACCACCCTCTGGGGCCCTCCGGGGCAGAAAAGGAGAGAGGTAGTCGGTGGACGGTTTCACGTGAGCGTTGATGACCAGGTGAATATTTTTATTAGTCAATGGGAGGAGGATCTTAGGTAAAAGCAATCAAGAGCTTTGCGGGGAAGGATGGTGTATAGTATGGGCTTCGGTGATAGCCTCGTAATATGGTGTTTGAAGGGTGAGGTGAGGTGTGGTGCAAGCAGGCGGTAGTGGTCCTGTATAATAGGGCAAATGGGCAAGTCAGGACGGGGCGAGGCACGGCAAGGCAAGGCAGTGCGAGGCGAGGTAAGGCACAACAAGGCCAGGGGAACGGCGACCGGTGTGTGGGCAAAAGGGTTGCAACCGGCTAGTCTAGCACGAGTTATGACTGGACGGCTGCTGGACAGCAACCAGTAGTAGTAGCAGCCGGTAGCAAGAAGGAGGAGAGACTCTTAAAAAGGGCGAGCAAGTCAGGTGCAGGTACCACGGAGTACAGAGCAGGTAGCGTGACGGACAGAAAGCGGGCTACTGGCGGTAGCAGACTGGGGGCGGACGAGGGAAGGAAAAAAAAAAGGATTTTTGATTACCGTATTATGTATAATTAGGACGGCTAGAGAGGCAAAGAGGCGACAGGGCGGCAGAGACCAGGCGCTGCCATGTTCTCGCACGCCATGGCGCGTTACCTGTGGATTGGGTAATGGAAACAGATGCGGATCCAAGCAGCGAGTATTTCTTTGTCACCTGAACGCCCGAGTCGAGCCTAGCTGTTGCAGGGTCGTCCAAAAGGGCCCCTGTCTCGCATCCTCGCCTGCCCGTGTGACCAGACGCAATCCGGGGATTTGAATTCTGTGAAGTAATGGAAAATGAGCGCTCCCTGCTTGGACAACTGATGTGCGTGTTTGTCGCATGGAGTGGGTGGATGAGGCTGATCGTGTCCAAGCGGCTTGGGGTTGGAGATCAGTGTCGGTAGAGAGAGCATTGATGAGTTGTTGTTGGTTGCTAGGTTCCCGTTGGAGAAGCAGCTCTCTCATCTGGTCCTACACGTGTAGGTCCAGGTCCGCAGTACGTACTCCGTACCTAGGTAATGTGCAGAAAGGCCGACGGCACAACCAGCCAGACGAAATTTCTTTGCACTTTTTTCGCCTCCCCCCCCCCGGGCGTCGCCTTTATTAGCGTTGAATGTGTACATGACGCTACAAGGCACATGGGTACACCATGCTGGCAACAGTGCTACATGTACGTGCACCTGCGTACTTCTGCTGCCATGCGGGGTGTTCGGTAGCAAATGTGAGTGGCCACGGCGCAAGTTGGCGAGAAAGCTTCCAACCAGATGGGACTCTGCGCTCTGATGCTTCTCCTTGTCGAGATCTGCTGCCTGCTTTTGCTTTGCTGCGCTGTGCCGTGCTGAGCTGTTGCTCTGATGCGCTGGCTGCCCAGGTGTCCAGCATCCAGCAAGATGCAACAATAATGACGAGCAATGAGATCAACCCCAAACACCCAACCCAGCCGCTCGATCCCTCACTCCCTCGCTCCGTCCCTCTCCCTCACTTCCATTTGCATACCTCGTAACCTCACATCTCATTACGTCTTTGCAATGCAGCCGGGCATTTCCATGACAAAGCGCAACCTCCAGTTGGTTTCACAGGTAGCAGCATTTCCGGCCACTCTGCCACAGACCACAGCACAGTAGTGTCTGGTGAGCTGCACATGGGTCGACCACCGTAGACTAGTGGCTCGTCATGGCAGCCCAGCAGCCTCGTGGTCCCAGACACGCCAAGCAGACCAGCCGTTGACTTCAGTCTTCTGCACATGCTAGCACCTGGGCCAAGTCCCAGTGCTAGGCCAGGCAGACCCAGATACCGGGGCCGACGGGACAGCAGAGGACACATTTCCAGGTTTTGCCGACGCTCTCAGGTCTCCAGTCATTTCCTACGGTCCCCGGCAGCTGCGATATCGCATCGTCCTCGAACGTCTCCCACGGCTGCTGACATGACCACAGCCTCGCGTGGTCACGCTATGGCACGGGCGTGGCGTGGCTGGCGTGGCCGCTGGCCGCTGGCGCGCGACATCCGCCCTGCGCCATCCGCCTGACACCCGCATCTTCCCGACGCCGTCTCTGGGACCACCCAGGCCACTCCGATGTTAGGAGAACCGCTGCGGCGACACTCTCAGCGATGTCGCACACTCTCGGTACCCAAGCTGTCAGGGCTGTTCCAGGCTCTCCCAAGCTTCTCCTTGGGTCGCAGACAGGAATTATCAGCAGCCGCTAATAATGTCGGTGCAAAGTTTCAAGAAAACGAAGGTGAATTGGCTCCTCCATTCCCATGGGCCGGGGGGAGCCGCAGCCAGCCGCCCCGGCTTGTCTGGCCATTAGGTAACGCTTTGTCGACAAAACCGCACTCCGTCCACGTGCCGTGCCCAAGCCGCAGCAGCAACTCCGTGGCTCGTCAAGGGAGGCCTGCTCCCCGTCCCACTGGTCTCCATCGGGGTCCCGTTCGCCTGCATTCCGTTCCTGGGGTACCGTTCTAGCGCTGAGGCACCCTGGTCCCCCGCATTCCAGCCAAGGGGACTAGGGTCCTGCCTCCCTTGTTGAGACCGTTCTCCTTCTCCTAGCCTCCCGGGGGGCCCTTTCGCCTCGTCATGACCCTGTCTCTTATTTGCGGGCATGGCGCTTGTGTATCGGCCGAGACGGACAGCCTCGTGACACCAGCCCAACGGACACAGGCACCCTGACGGAGAGCACGGTCCGATTGTTCGGCCGATACGCCTGCATCATCCCCAGGACCTCACTTCTGTATCCACCACGTGTTGCTACCAAAGTTTACATGCTTTCTTTCTGCCTTTCTGTTTGTACATGCGAAGTCTGGGTGTCTCAATCTCTGGCAGCCAGTGCACCACAAGGACACGAGGGACACGCCTAGTGCTTGGACCCAGCTGGCTATTCGCAGCTGCTGAGTTTCAACCTGCCTCCAGAAAGTCGAAGCTGAACTGCTGCTGGGCTCATTTCTCTCCTTTTCTTATCTTATCGTCGTTGCGAAATTGGGTTGGATATCTTGCTCCCCATCTCCTCGGGCAATCCGGGAAATGAACGATGCACATTCAGCATCAACTCTCCTTGTGTCTCCACCTTTACCTGAGCTGAATAGAACAACGCTCACATTTTCTGAACTAGGAGTTGGTGCTTCCTCGGCGGCAACCGCCGGCGGTGTGTAATACAGAGACTGATAAGATACCCTCCATCAGGCACCAGAGCCAGGACAGCCTCACGGATATCACACGAAGTCAGCCTTGTGGGTCAGAATCTGTCTGACGTGCATCTGCGAAGGCAACCAGCGCGCTTCCAACTCCTCGGGTCACAGCTCGCCGCACTCACTGCCAATCAAATCCATTTCTCAATGACGAAACTGCCCGTTGGGTCAGCATTGCTTTCAGTCTTTCATACCTGATTTCCTTCACCTGTGATGAGTGAGTGGCGTGATAGGGGGTTGAGGGTCGACGGTCAGATATGAACGCCGTGGCGATGCCCAACTCTGGAAGAGCTAACCCACGATGGTCTCTGCCTGCTTATTGCGCAGCCGCGGCCCTAACTCTTGTTGGAGGCTTCCGATACTGTTGGGAGGCTCAGTCTGCTGCCCCCGGTAGTGATAGTGACCGAATCGTGCAGGGCGACGAGGTGGGAGAGGCAACGATGCAGAGTATCCACAGCATGATGGTCTTCACGGCGCAAGATGGGTGTCGACGGTGAGGATATAAAAGGCTGGTGGATTTCAGGCATCAAGTTGGAATCTGGGAGAACAGATCATTCCCTCACAAGCAGCCTCCTGGATTACAGCTCAACATTTAGACAATCGAATTTTAAGAGCTCTAGAATAGAATTGATCGCCTTTACTTCTTCAACAATTTCTCAACATCAAGATGAAGGTCAGTTATCTGTGTCTCAACCACTCAAGTCTCCTCTCCCTGCTGACAAGCGCACCAGTCCGCCATCATTCTCGCCTTTGTGGCCACTCTGCTTCCTCGTGGGGCCGTTTCAGCTCCTGTCCCTGTCTCCATCGCTGCTGTGGAGCTGGGCCAGTCTGGTTACAACCACTACGTTAGTGCTGCTGCTCGGGATGAGCTCTCCACTGCTGGCCGCTCTGGCTACAACTCGGTGGAGGTGACCGCGCGGGACGCTACTACAGCCGCCGAGACTGACGGTCGCTCTGGGTACAACTCTATTGACGTTTCCACCCGGGCGGTCTCCACTGGTTTTGAGACTGACGGACGATCTGGCTATAACTCCATCGAGATCGCGGAGCGCGACAGCACCACGAATGCTGAGACGGCCGGGCGGTCTGGTTACAACTCTGTGGAAGTCGTCGAGAGGACATTGACTACCGACGCGGAGACAGAGGTTCTGAAGATGAGCGTCCTTGGATTGGGAGGGGGGGTAGGCTTTCGATACGACGAGCCTTGCTCATTCCCGCCATCCTGGAGCCAACGTCTGAACTCGGAGATCTTTAGCACATGGAAGATGACGACTGGACTGAAAGACCCCCGGCCTTACCTCGACAGCCCATCGGACACGCCCGAGTGTGGACACAAACAACGAACACGGAATTTCAACAGTCACAAGAGCTGAGATGGATGCGTCTAAAAGTACCAACACATGGGTCAGAGACAGACCCTGCATGCGACGTGACATGAAATCACCAACAGCGTGTTCAGCCCTACTCCACCTGCAGGATCTCATGCACCTCGTGCATGATCGTGATCGATTGTGCCTCGCTGTGTGCTCGGGATGCCGAGGACTTTTGATATCTGAGTTTTCGAGACAACGTTGGCACTGGAAAGTCGCTGCACGATGATGTTGTGCGGCTGTGCTCGGATTTCGTTAGCTCCTTGTGTGGCACAACTTGAGAAGTTATGGCCACTCGAAATGTAGTACTGCGGTGGCGCTTGGCGGCCGAAAGATGTATTCGTGGTTTCAGCTCTGGACACAATATTCTCTTCTTCTCTTTTAAATCTTGAAACGGTTCCAACGATGCTGGGTCGGAATAGAAGAAATCAACGACACGCAAAGAGGATCCAAATTCAGCTAAACATTATCCTGCCCATTTGTTGTCACAGTGGTAGCAACAACTTTTCCTAGCGGAATTAGTAAAATCAACCTGCTTATCAATTATCATGTTTGATACTTTTTACAATCTTCTTCTAGCAAGAAATATGGAAGTCATTTGTCAAGAGGCCACTAAATACACGCAATCAGCATGGCCAAAAAGGTGGTTACTTCTACAGATCTAGAGCCCACGCGGTGTATTTTGGCGTGCTCCTGTGTCTTCTGCTTTTTGTCTGTATCTGGTCATTTTGCGAAGTGAACGTGTTCGTAGAGAATACCAAGTACTTGGGAAATCGTCAAGCAGACAGATAAATCCTATCCTAATACCTACAGGACTTGATCTACACCAGCTAATTCCATAGAAAGTCATCCCACTCAACTGGGCAAGGTTGGACCACAAAGGTGGTGTTTCAAATCTTTGGAGATTACACTACAGTAGACCTCCGCACACGATAGCTAGCGAATAATCTTTTGTAATCCCTTCGCATGTCACCGAACACCCCCGCTATACATTGTCCTACAAGTGCTTACATGTAAGCATACCAGCGACAGCTTGAAAACATTCCACTGGCACGAAAACGAGTCACAAAATCTCTGTCTCGGTCAACTGAATCTTCAGCAGTGAAACTGTTATCATTTCTGTCCATACAAATGATGGCGGGAATCTGGTGCGCTCCATACGGGACCTTTAATCAACCCCTAGTGCTTGCCATTCAGGGTTTACAAGCCCTTGGTGGAGTATCCAAGTGGCATACCAACGAGGTACTTTTGCTTGCTTGTGACTTTGCCCTGATCGTCAACGCCTTGAGCCCCCAGAATCTGGATGTCCGCATCCTTCTGGAATACCAGCACGATATCAGAACCGCCAAACTCGAAGTGCGAGATCTCGTCACCCTTCTTGATATTCACATTCGGCTGGATGGGGTACTTCTCGCCCTGCTTGGGTTCCCAGGCCAGCTTGACGGAGGAGACCTGGGCCATCCCGATCGGCAGCACCGCAACGTAGCCGAGAAGCTCGTTTTTGATGATGACGCAGCCGCGGGCCTGGAGGAACTGATACCCTGCCTCGTCAGGGGCATCGAGGGTGTCGAAGAGCTGATTCGTATTCCTCTGCTTTTTCGGCTCCTTAGAGACGTAGCTGCGGTGTGGCTTCAGCTTGCCGGTGTCGGGATCCGCCACGACTTGCAGGTAGGCAAGGCCTTGGATGACGTTGGCCTCGACAACCGTGCCGCCCACCGGTGCGTGCTGCCTGTGGTAGTCGAAGGTGTTGAGGAAGGCGTGCATCCAGGTGCCGCCCTTGAAGTGGCTTGCGTACTCGCTTGATTGCAGCAGGTCGCTGATGTTCCACTCCAGGTCCTTGATGTTGACCTGCTCGTTCTGACCGACCGGCCACGCGCCGTCGAAAGTGCTATCGGCAGGGTAGACCACGACCCGGTCGTAGTTGGCGTTGTTTGGGTCGCCCGCGCTGATGGGGCGCATTCCCTTCTTGAGGTGTCGAGCGAAGAGCTGATTGAAGTTGTTCCAGCCGTCTGACGGCACCACGGCTTCGCCGTAGTTGTACTTGGGCGAATCCTGGAAAGATTGGATGGCTTGTTCTGTGATGGATTCATTGGCGTTCATCCAGTCGCCGATCTTGTTTGCGAAATCGACAGTCCACTGGCTCAGGGGAGCCAGAGGTTTGTCCACAGATTCTGGAGTAATCTGCGTTGAGTAGAGAGGGGCATTGAGCGGAGGTTGGTCCAGGATGAAGTAAAACAAGCATAGCGTGTTGTAGATCAATTTGCCGTCGCAAGTCTCAGACGGAACCCATTTCAGCATGCCACTTGCAAATAGCAAAAAGTCTCGGGCACTGAACACACCCCAGTCATTAATCTGAGGGATGCCATGGGATCTTGCGGACTCGACAGCCTGACCCAGTGGATCGATGTTGCCTTCGAAGATTTTCTCCACAAGGCTGTGGGTAATCCATGGGTCAACTTCCGCGGGCAACGGGAATGGGCGGGGGTCCGATGAAGATTTGGATTGTTGAGGCATCGTGATGATGTTCTTTGAGGGCTGGAGTGTCGAAGTGCAAGTCCAAGTAAAAGTGGCCGTCAATTGGGAAGCCAATACTTGAGATAGGAACTATACCGCCACAAGCGCTTTCATCAGCGCTGGAACAATGGGTTCCTTATATACACACCTATTAATGAGTGTGGAACAACGGATGGTGCTAGACTAAAGCTGCAGCACCGGCAGAGGCCCGAGATTGATGAATCAAGGAAGCTGCATCACTCCGGTTCTGCAAAGGTGGCTCAGCTCTCTACGATTGCATGCTCACTTCCGCTCATAGGCACGTTCAGCAAGTTGCAAGGTATCCTTTGTACAACCCTGCACCTCGAGGATCTCCGGGTGTGCAAGCCTACTGCATGAGACTGAGGTGACCTATTGGAAGGACTGCATCGATTCACGAAAACGACCTCTAGTCTGCCTAGGCATATCGAGAATCCTGCAGCCAGCCATGAGCGCCACCTTCTTTCAATCTCCCCGCTTTGATGCGCTCATTGTCACAACAGGCAAGGCGGCGTTTTCAAAATCTCGTCAAGACCATGGACGCTCGTGGATACACTAGTAATCACTCGGGTCGTTCCATGGGGTCTTCCAAGCCTGAAGGAGTTCTCCTGGTGCGGCAAATTCTGGTTTTTGGTATCTCTTGATCATCATGATATGTGCCAGTTCATTGAAATTATGTTTGTCTTTAAGGTAGCATCCTATTGGGCTCAGATAATAAAGCGGAAGAGACGACGCTGGACGGTGATACGGCTGTTGCAGATATCACCTGCGCAGGCCAGCTAAGTCCTTCGTGCCACTCCTCATCGAGGAGACTGTCGATATGTTTCAGAAGCGCGGCAGGCCATCGTCGCAAGTGCCAAAGGCCTGCGTTCAGACTCATGAGGACACCATAGTGCGCCAAAATCACAACAGCCACCGCGTGCCGAGCTGAGCACATGTCCAGAAAAATGGAGTCCACCTCGTTTCCCCATCCCCAAATAAGCTTCGTCTGCCGAGAGTCCCCCGGGTTGTCCATGAGAAAGGCAATACTGGTAAATAGTATTTCGATAGCATGGAGACATGCCTGCTTCTGCTGGCTCTCGCAGTTGCGCTCTACCAGGTCGTGGAGGAGAGCAAGATGTGGAAATCGTTGTTCTAAGTCGTCGACAGGCTCACGTCGGATGGGATTGAATTTCGATACCACCATTGAATCCTCCCAGGGCTGTGATGTAAGATTGTTTTGAACGAAGGCCGTCGTGCTTCTGCCAAGCTTGATTGCGTGTATGAGCTCTGCCACTGGGTCAAAGCCGGCTGGCTCACCATCCCGGCGGACCGGTCGGAGAGTGGGCTCTGCAACAGCGTATAGAGTAGTGAAGGCAGCAAAGCCCAGGAGAGATTTTTGCTGGCACTCCTCGGGCTGCTGCAAGTGCGGGCCCGCTCGAGTTAGAGCGGCATGCTGATGGGCCGTCGCCCGAATACACCATCTTGAACGAGACCGGTCTTGGTCAAAGAGCTGAAGTGCTGCAAGGGCGAGGATGCTGTTCAGCAGACAATGATGAGAAAAGCCCAGCCGGACGAAATCGTATTGGAAAGCCCGGGCTCCATCCGAGTAGTCGGCCGTAACGGGATGCCGGTGCCAGAACTCCAGCAGCTCGAGATCAGCTAGACTGTCCTCGTTGAGCGGCGTTCTCGTCAGAGACGGGGAAGAGAAGCTGCATGCCAGGTTGTAGCGTTCGCAGTTCCGACACTGTGGGTGGACTTCATTGCACTAGAGTGATGTGGCTCAGCCAGTTGATGCTACGGCTGTCGCGGCCGGAGATAACGGGACCAAGACGGCACGTCGCCTTCTTGCCTTGATATGTCTGTCCTTGCACTGCTCGCAGCCCTCGTGAGGCTTGCGATGGGGCTTGCGCTGCCTACCCATGTTGATAGTGATGATGTCGTCTCCACTTTGGAGGTGTTGTTGTCCAGGAAAGGTTCTCGCACGCCGTTCCCATTCGCTTTCGTGTAAATACGGCTCTTATTAGAGTTATATGCACTGACCGAACCCTGCACGAGTGGGTTTCACCGGCCCTGTCCCAAATTGGCGGCTTGGCATGATTGGCTCACCGTATTTATACGACTACCTCCCCGGCATGTAGTTTGGTAAGTACCTGGATAGTCATGACACGCACTACTTCACTTACCTCGCTGGTGATGTTGCACCGTCGTAGCCGGACACATGTGGTGGCTGATGTCTCTGTGGCCATGACGGCCACGGCACTCGGACATAACGAGATCAGAGAAGCCGACAGGTGAAGCAATAGGCATTTTTCAGAGTAGATTATAGAGTAGATATGTAGGAGTTACGCGTGGCTTTCTGTATCGACAAGATTTCAAGCTTCTTTGTTGTCTGTCTGCTACCTCAATCGCTCGACCAACCAATCAATCAATATGCCTCGAGCCGTTCTTATAACCGGAGCAACTGGAAAGCAAGGAGGCGCAGTTGTGAAGAGTCTAGTGCAAGCCAAAGCAGATTTCACAATCCTCGCCATCACCCGCAACCTCAGCTCTCCAGCAGCACAAAAGCTCAAAGCTTCGGCGCCAAATATCTCATTGGTTCAGGGTGGCCTCAGTGACGCACGAGCTATCTTTACAAACGCCAAGAAGGTGGCACCTGGCGCAATCTGGGGCGTCTACAGCATACAAGTACGCCTACCGACCTGAACTGGGCTTTTCGTCTCAGTCGCTGACTCCAGATAATTAGAACCCAATGGAAAAAGGTCAAGCAGTCGATATCGAAGCTCAACAAGGCAAAGCACTCATCGACGCGTCTCTGGCAAACGGAGTGAAACACTTCGTGTACAGTTCCGTGGACCGGGGCGGCGAGAAGAGGTCGTTCGAAAACCCAACACCCGTTCCTCACTTTGCCAGCAAACACAAGGTGGAGCAGTACCTGCTCGAGAAGACGTCTGGCGGCAGCATGGGCTGGACTATACTCCGGCCGGCCGGCTTCATGGACAACTACGTCCCCGGCTCGATGGCCAAGGTCGTCTTCACAGCCTGGAAGGTGGCCATCGACAAGGACCGGCCGCTGCAACTGATCGCCTGTGCCGACATTGGGCACTTTGCCGCCCAGGCTCTGATGAATCCAGACAAGTACCGGGGTCGAGCGATCTCTCTTGCAGGCGACGAGTTGACATTTGACCAAGCCGCTGCTGTGTTCAAGCACAAGATCGGCAGTGGCATGCCGACGACCTATGGCGTGGTTGGGTCTCTTACACTCTGGGTTTTGAAGGATGGCACCATGTTCAAGTGGATGGACAGTGAAGGATTTGGGGCTAATGTTGAGGAGCTGAGAGGAGATTATCCTGGAATGATAGACTTTGGCACTTACTTGGAGAAGTACAGCGGCTACAGCCGTAGTACATGATGAGGCTTGCTCCTTTATACAACATCTAATAGTTGTGGTATGTACAAGTTTGAGGGGTATCAGAAGGGAATGTAAGAGATACTGGTCTTGAGCCCCTATAGAATTCCAAACAAAACCTTACCCAGTAGAGAAAAAGTAAAAGTAACAAAGGTTCCCTCCATGATCCCTGCAAAGCCCGCCACAACTCCATCACGTTGACTCTAGGATCTTTGGTCAGAACCATTTTGTCTACCTGAGCTGCGTCATGCTTTGAATCTTTGCCTTGGATTGACGACCCGTGAGCCACTGGTTATCTTCGTACTAAAAGGCTTGAGTGTCTGCTGGAAAGAATAACACGACGGGATCAGGTGATGTGCTCTCTGTCATTCCCTTCATCAAGGCTCCCTATGAGCATGGGCCACACACTGCCGTTGCTAGGCTTGTGGTCAACGATATCACTGGTGGTCGTCAGTCTCAGAATGGCGCGGGTCAGTCTGGGGCATGTGACGGTGTGCCACTCACTGGTCTGGCTTCCCCAGTTCATCGTCCAGGTATTTCAGTCGTTTTATCCCAGTCGGATGGTTCCCAAAGCGGATGAACTGGATAGCCACCTGGCTCTTGTGAAGGTTACGGCTCTGGAGCTCTGTGATGAGTTGACGAATAGGTCGTTCTGCGCCACAAGTGCCTTCTCTAGCTCCTTCAGGGAGTTCCAGACCTCACTTGTCAAGATGTAGATGCTGATCGGGCGAGATTTATCATTCTTTCCCCAGGTTATCCGCCTTTTCTTCTCGCCCGGTCCAGAGGGCAGCTTGCCAATGACTTTATCAGCTAATGCCTTCAGCGCTCTCTCAATGAAACAGACGGAAGAGGCGCTCTTGTCGAAGTTGCTTTGTACAAACTGAATGAGCTTCTCTGTAGCTTTGTTGTGCTGCATATTTTCAGGATCTGAAGTACATAGCACATCAAGACCGTTCGGGTCAGCAGCCTCGAGGATGTGGGCCAGATTGGCGAACGTTCCAGGACCTGACCCTTGAATTCTCGCATTTACTGTGAATTATCAACGACGAGAATCTACTCGGATGTGTGTTAGTAGATGTTTCTTTGACCATGACCGGGGATTGCCCGTTAGAATCTTGATCGCAGACTCACATGATCTCGTTGCTTCAAGAACGGCATTGCCTGGTCCTCGCCTTGAAGCAACGGACGGAGCTTTGAAGTTTTACTCCGTGCTCTCCATGTAGTCACATCTTCCAAGGAGATGTCCGGGAACGTGGTCCTCTTGTAATCCCTGGATCGTAAACGAGTGACCGTAGTGCGTGAGCTGTTCGTCAAACTCGTTGTCACTTCCTGAGCTGGCCATGGCTGGTCTTGGAGTCGCACGTGCCCAGTTTGGCGTTGAATATGGTCTGGCCTGATCGTATTCGTTGGTGCGTGTGTAGGGATGTCAGGATTAAACCCTTCCATCAGAGATATCGCGGAGTATGTTGAGTGTACGTCATGTCTCCCGTTCCGTTCCGGCAATGTAACTGGCAGCTGCCCGCTCTCCATCCTCTGCAACCCCTGATTTCCGTCGTTATGGTTCCATGGCTCTGCGGGAGTTTTTTGGCTGCGAAAACTGGTGCCTCTGCTAGGAAGCAGCCCAATTGTTGAAATCTCTCCGCGGGTGGTGTCTGGTTCTGTTCTATCGGATCGATGGTTGTGGAAGGTGTGTGGATTCAATATTGAGGTCTTGAGGACGTGCTTTGCGTGTCGTCGATCCCCTCGTGCTGCGAATGACGGAATTCTTGACTTCTGTGGCTAAGAGATGCTGATGATGTCGTTGAGATACAGCGGGACAGACGGTTGTGTGGCCAGTCAGTGGTAGTCCGGATCATGTTTCCTAATTCGCTCGAGAGTACTCGCGCGTCATGCCGCAAGTCTTCATCTACGAGAAGATGGTCTAGCACAAGTCTGACAATTCGAGGGGTGAGTTCGTCTGACCTTCGGCCATTTCTCTGGACAAGATCGAAAACTTCGTCGACTGTCTTCAACCTTGCCTTGCCGTTGTGGAAGCAGTCGCTGCGTCCAAGATCACGCTGCTCTGGAGCAACCTCGTTGTTCTCGTCCCGGCGCCGTTGCTGAGACTCTATGCGACCGCGCCGACCAAAGCAGACCCATGGAGCAGCTTCGATGAGAACACATCCGAGGGACCACATGTCTTGAAGGGGACCCACTACGAAATCAACTTCATGATTCCAGTAAAGCTCAGGTGGGCCTGAATGATGTCAGTTACTATCGAATAACAGAGAGAATGCCCCTAGATCGACTCACAGTAAGTCCGGGTACTCCCACTGTCCAATCCAAGTCTTCCTGAGCTATACGGCGCCGTCTTTCTCGTATGGCTGTTTCCAATGCCACCAATCTTGAAGGTCAAGTCAAACTCGGTGGCAGAGACATCTCCACGTTCAAAAACGAATATGTTCGATGGTTTGAGATCCTGATGAACACTGGTGGGGACAGCTGATCAGTACGTCGTATGCAAGAGCAAAGTTAAGAACATACCAGCTGGCCCCCGTCCTTTTCGGGTATGTGTTGTGGGCGACCAGGAGTCCCTTCGCTACTTGAAGTAGACTTGACTAGAAAGCTTTTGTCTCTTCAAGTGTAATGGGAGGGTCATTCTCCCCGTAAAGCTGCAAAAGAGAGCCTCGCTCGGCGTGCTCGAGCATGATTGTGTACTGTAATCCACTTCCTGGAGCCAACGTCGGACATGATAGCTTCCAATGTATTTGAGGATATTATCGCAAGGCTTGGCGTCGTCGAAAGCATGATAAGCATTGATCTCATTTCGATAGTTTCTCTCGTAGGGAGAATCATGTGACTTGAGCACAATATTGTCACTTGCCTGCAGAGTTCCAGAGTCAGCTGAATGTCGGCGAAACTACGCGGAGAATCGTTGGGAAATTCACCAAATGTGTCTGCGAGGGCGTGTCTGAGGCATGAACCTTCGCGAGCCGGATATTCGCTGGCCTGCCTATGTTCTGGGAGCCGAGATCACCACTAATTGTGAATGGCAGTATTTGATTCGGTTGTAGATCTCTGTTGTACATCCGACTGGGTCCAGGCTGGACCGGGCAAAACATCCATTGGTTCTTGAAGAAGCTTGTCCAGAAGATTTCGCCATCATTGGTGCTGGGAATGAATGCTGGGCGTTCCCGAAATGGCAAGATGTGATCGTCTCTACCGCTTCGCACGAAGTGTTTCAGATATCAGACATATGACCGACCAGTCATGGACATCCAAACAAGGATAGACAATATGCGCAAATACTGATTGCGGATATTCTGGACCTGGTAGTCCAACCCCCCCCCCCCGGGTCAAACACAATTTCTTGGACATGGGCTGTGGTCCAGTATTGGGTCAAACAGTGGATAGTGGCGAACCTGGCGGGTGATCCTTGAGCCTCATGGCCGGTTTCAAGGTTTCTCTCGACATGCTCTTTGAATAGGTCGAAGCTATTCTCTCCGTGGTCTCCTTCTAGCGATGCCATTCCAGGGTAAGATGGAGCAAAGTCGAATCCAGCAACGGTCGAGACTTAATCGCAGTCTTGTGCAGTATCAGCACGAGCTGATATCTTGCTCGAATTCGAGGAGTGTTAGAGGGGTACTGGGGACATGGAAGAAAAAAGGTGGCTGTGTGCTTCAGTGGTAACTCTTGGGTCCCACAGGGCTCACAGAGGTGGGCAGTCCAGGTTGATAGAGAAAGATAAAAAAGGAGGTGCTGACTGACAGCCACAATGACGGGAATCGGCCTCAACCCACTCTATAAGTAGTGTTACACAGCATGTTGTGACGTGCACGCCAGGAACATCTGATTCGATCGAGTCCAAGGAATGACTGGTCAAGGTCGAACCGAGTACTCCTGGGCTCTAAAGCTCAGCCTCTGTAAGCAGAATAACAGTACTGCAAGTTACAGCCAACGCTGGGCTTGGGCAGGGCAGTCAAACCCTACGGCTTGCTAGTTTGTCAACTTCGCCTTGCTCAGACCCTGAGCCACGGCGCGATCGCAGGTCTTGAGCGTTAACAATAAGGCAAATTTCGGTGAGATCTGCCTTGCGTTGGATTAAGGAGTGCTCGCACGCGGACACGCATGCTCACACCCTCTCCCGGGGCAGCTCGAGAGCCTCGAGCCCTGTACATTAGTACCTCCCGAAAACCATGAAGTCATACTTACATCAACAATAAACGTTTGGTGTTTCCTATAAAGAGCGCGAAAACGAAACATAGGCAAACTTGAGGAGTGATAGTGCCACCATCTTTCCGGACGTGAGCACCAGGCACATCCACAATGAGATGGACCAACAGGATCTCAAGTGTTAGCCCTTCCCACACAACGACTCCATTGCGAAGCGACCAATTCTGAAATCAAAGAAAATCTTTCTAAAAGGAGGTAGAAGCTAAAGAAGTACGACCCGTTGAATCGGACAAAGTGACCGGTTCCCTGCCCGGAAGATTTCCTATTGTATAAGTCTTCGCTGCGTCAGAAATTTAACACAAAACTACTCCAAAAATAAAACAGAGATCCGGCTGCTTATACAAAGCTCGTCATGAATGAGTCCTCTCCAAATGCTCACTGCGAAGTCCAAGTGAGGTACAGGAATTAGCAAATGCCTTCCCCCAAAGAAACACCCCTCCGAGGCCCGAGCCTCCTGCGCCTGACTATCGCCATGTACACTGTCCATATCAGCATGACTAGTACTGTCACAGGCACACAGATCTCAATAAACAACAAGAATGCGCCCCGATTGATTTCCCACGATTGGGCATTGTTCTGGGGAGTGTCGATGATAGGGGTACTGAAGAATGTCTGGTTAGATGTCAGAGAATCGGTCGACGACCTCATGCTTGAAGTCACCAGTCTTACCCCTATGAAGGCGCCTGGCAGAAGAACTAGAGTAACGAAGGTGATGACGCTCATGGATGCGGAATCTCTTGCTGTCGCGCGGGCGATTTCGAGCATGCTGTCTGTCACTTTCTCCATCCTCAAGGCGGAATCCTCCATCCTCTCAGAAATTCCGTGCCCACTGAACGTGAAAAGTTTATTTATTTCCATGTTGTATGATTGGAGAATAGTATCATACTAAGATGTTGTCTTAGCTCATTGCACTGGACAGAAGCTTATTACAGGCAATGTTACTCACCAAGCGTTTTCCATCTTCAATGAGCAGGATCAGGGCTTCAATCGTGGCGGTGTCTGCCTCAAGATCTTGCTCGAGACTAGTGACGCGTTAGATGAAATGCTCGAATGATCCATTTGACTCTGAGAAATCCTTGATTGCAGATGGGAATTGAGCGGATCGATATCTTCGTCGGTAATATCCTCGGATGCTTCTCAACACACCGATCTTGAGGCTAATAGCCAATTTTGCTTCCTGCAATTTTCCGGTGAATAAGTTGAGTCTTTGGAACTCAGCAAATGAGAAATCCTTCAGCTTTTTTTCCAGATGGCTCGATATTCTTTTACGCTGGTCGGCTTGAACATCCAGAGGTGGGTTCGTCTCCCGAGTCTTCTCGGCCTCGGCTTCTGGTACTGTCGCGTTCATTGCTTTGCATAGTTTTGTAATTCCAGCCTTTGTCGCGTTGAAAGCTTGCATAGGACCTTCATGTGCTTGTAAAGTGATCTGTCGATGAAGGCTGGGCGGCAAGGGGACGAACTCCCTTCCCCTAAGTCCCAAGTTTCTCGATCTCGTCTTGCTGGTCCTTCCAATTCTTAGCATGGCCTCATGGGCCGAGTTTAGCACAGAACAAAATGAACGAAGGTAAACGAACCTGTGACAGCCGACTTGGAAGCTCCACCGCGTATGTGTCGTCATCTCGTTCCTTGATTGGGTTTCTGTTGGCACTACTGGGGGCAAGGCATACTGGGAGCTCAGCCGTCTCTACCTACCTGAACGTTGATGGCAGTGGTGGGGAATTTCTCCTGGAGGTACCCCTTCAAGGCGTCCTAGGTGAGCCTGTAGCGATATATAATCTGGACAGCCATCCTAGCGAAGCCAATGAACGTTTCAGTATTGCAAGATTTGACTTCGTGTAGCGAGCTTCCAAGAGATTTGGGGGATGTCGAGTACAAGCGCAAGGCTCTGGCGCAGTATGCCTTGCCCACGGGCTTGCAGACCGGGCGTCGTGGCTGCTCATGCAGATGGATCGCAAACGGTTCGCATGGGCCTGGTTGTACAACTCAGTCTCCTCGGAGGAATCAATTCCCGTGAGTGGCCAAACTGGGGCGGCAAGCCTTGGCAGCCACATGTTGTGATGCTGGTTGTAATGGGTGTTGTGAAGTCAAGAGAGCAACCCACACCCCCCGTAAGTGTTGGGGGTGGGGGGAGCCCCATGCGGATCTCTCTTTGCGGGGTTAGGACCTCCGAGGCTGGAATAGGGGTCCATCAGCCACGGAGCTTTTATCGATAAGGAGCATGGCGATGACCTCAGGTCGGTCGACTCGGGGATTCGATCATTGCTGGCAATCCTCAAAAGCTGGCTGTATATTGACACAAACCTCGACATCATACCATAATTAGCTAAGCTCAATGTCATGACCACACAAGAATGAGCCACCAACGCTATGCCTCCCACGATCCTGTCAAGGAACCCCACTCCATCTCCTTGAAAGTCCTCCGGTAGGTAATCCACCGGCACCCTCCAGTTCTCCTTGATGCCAGAGCTAGACTGATACTCTCCAGGCTCTCCCGCCCATCCCTTGTCGCCCAGCACCCCATACCTCCAAGCGCTGCACCGTCAACAACACCTCGCCAACCACCCGTCCCGGCCTCTCTCGCGTACAGCACAACCCACGATACCAACCCCTCGCCCTTCCTCCTCAGCCCCATCCTCAACCTCCCGCCAAGCTTCGGGTCCGCATACGTGGGCGAGACATTCAGCTGCACACTATGCGCCAACCACGAGGCGCCTCCCGCCCCCGACCCGGCAGGCGCCCAGGGGGCCCCACAGCCGCAGACGAAGTACATCCGCGACGTGCGCATAGAGGCGGAGATGAAGACCCCGAACTCGTCAGCCGTCACCAAGCTCGACCTCTCACCCAACACCAGCAACACCACCGCTGCCCCCGCCGATGACCAGGGCAAGCCCGGGGGCGTGGACCTGGAGCCGGGCCGGACGCTGCAGCGGATCGTCAACTTCGACCTCAAGGAGGAGGGCAACCACGTCCTGGGCGTGACGGTGTCGTACTACGAGGCGACCGATACGTCCGGGCGGACGCGCACGTTCCGCAAGCTGTACCAGTTCATCTGCAAGCCCAGCCTGATCGTGCGGACCAAGGCGTCGCCGCTTGCCCCCGCGGTGCCCAAGGCATCAGCGGGCGCACCTCCAACGCCGCCGCCGGAAGGTGTTGGCGAAGAGGTGCCTGCGGGAGGGGAGGAGGGGCTGAGGGGGAGGGGCAAACGGAGGCGATGGGTCCTCGAGGCGCAGCTGGAGAACTGCTCCGAGGACACGACCGAGCTGGAGCGCGTGGTCCTCCAGCTCGAGCCCGGGCTGTCGTACCGCGACTGCAACTGGGAGGCCGGCGGGTCCCCACGGCCGGTGCTGCACCCGGGGGAGGTGGAGCAGGTGTGCTTCGTGATCGAGGAGGTGGGGGAGTCGCCGGACGGCGGGCCCAGGGTGGAGGAGCAGGACGGCAAGATCCTGTTCGGCATCCTGGGCATCGGCTGGAGGACCGAGATGGGCCAGAGGGGCTATCTTGCTACGAACAAGCTGGGGACCAGGCATGTCACATGACAGCCTTGGATGAGACCACGGGCGGCCACTTTGCGCATGAGCGTGACACAGCCTGGTACTCCACCGGTTGTATTGCTCGTTCCAGATCAAAATGGAGTCACAACGCATAGCTGAAGCTTATGTGACAGAATGGCCGAACTCTATCGGCTCTGATCATTGCCATACTACCGGAATCCAGCCTGCCTGAATGCATTTTATTCAACAGATGGCGATCTCCCTTTCCAGCCTTCCAAAGGCCACCTCCCTCTTTTAAAATATCCACCTACTTGTACATGGACACTTCTTAAATGACAATGCCGTTCTCTCAGCCTGGCTCTGATCCAAACAACCCTCTCGTGCAAAGCAACTTGACGGCCTCGGCTCTTCCAAGACCGTGCCCCGTTTCACAGTGACCATGACACAGGTCTCTCCGAGACTGGGCGTTGCCTCCCAGAAACCCCATTCGAGAGGACGGCGCATCAATTTCCTTTCAATAGTTTACAGACGTTGCGAGTTGGTGCCGCAATCGATCAGCCCTTGTTGCTGCTCCCAATCGCCTTCCTTAAAAACCCCTTGCCCCGCGGCTCAGGCTTCGGTGCACCGGCGATGGACCGCGGCTCCTTGATGAGAGATGGGTCAAGCTTATCAGGGATCCTGGTTATGATTGAACGGTAGTCGCCCTGAAATTTCGAGTTGGGAACAGGGACAGCTGCAGTCCTCCATATGTGGTCCGATGTGTCAGCCATGAACCCTGTGAGCTTGGGTTGTCGCGGGGGCGGTAAGCCACCAGAAGCACCGTGGCTCGCTCTGAGGGTCGAAAGTCGTGATAGGCCAGCTGATAACATCGGCCGCCCGCGAGCCTTCTTGGCAATCAAAATCTCATCGAAGAGTCGGTTGTCAGGGTGGCTCGCGGGTTGCCGCTCTCGCTCATGGATGAACTCATTGAAAGCTTTGTTCCGTCAGCACAACTTGCCATTGCGGTGAGGTTGGTTCCCTGAGGTGCTTGCTTACCTTGCGTATCTTTCATCATCGTCGCGTACTCCTGTTGGTCATACGGCAAGCTCCTAATAAAGCCACTCATGTCAAAGGCGTAAAGCTGACCACCTTCCTTCTGCTGCTTGTTCGGTCGGCTCATGTACTTCCTATAGGTATACAGCAGGCTAGCAAGGCAGCGAACAAAGGCGGCGCGAACACGGTCTGCGTGAAAGGCGACAGGGCAGACAAGGCAGACGAAGCCCAAACAGCGATTGTGAGCGAGACAGCCACAACCCTTGCATTTGAATAGTCCATCGCCCTCGGATCGCTCGTCGCAGATGTCGCAAACTGAATCCCGCTCTGCAACGTTCCATTCCATACAGTGTCCTTCTACCCATACCGTCGTGTCCGTATTTTCAACGGGTTGAACAAGCATATTGGGCATCACAGTCGAGGCCGCGATTGTCGATTGTGCATACGAGGACGGTGCATAACCAGTGTGGTATGACGACTGAGAGTCCCCAGAAGTGGATGACACGGACAGGTTTTGTGAGTGGCCATTGAGGACCGGAATGCTGGGCCTGTGAAGTGGAGGGTGCTGTTCCACACCAAAGGACGAACTACGTCGCGATTTGGTATCGAAATGGCCAGAACGCTTCTCCTTCAGAGTGTTCGACGCCGCAAACCCTGAGTCAGTCCGTGACACTGGCGTGGTCGGCATCGGTGGGAAAGTCATGGAGACTGGCGAGACAGAAGAGTTGGGGCTCGTCTTTCCGGATCGTGCTGTCGCCGGCCTGTCAGACCTCGAGTGGTCAGGCTTGGCGTGACAAAAGGCATTGAAAATTGGTTTTCGGATGCTGTTGGGCTGTTCTGGTTCGCCGAATGTAGAGGAGTTCTGGGACACCCATTTGCCCAGTGTGGCAGGCGCAGGTCTGGCGTTGAAGACGCCGTCGTTCTCTGCCGAATAAGCATCATAGGGGAAAGCCTCGATGGCGTAAGGGGGGGCACCAGTAGTAACGCCGTAGCGCAACTTGTGTGGCGCGGCGATTTGCAAAAGGGAGAAAAGCTTTCTGCGATGCTGCCGGGGTAGGCGATGGGGCTGCGACGTGGCGTCGATGGTGTCTCTGTCCAGATCCACAAGAACGTAGTCGTCCTCCGGGAGTTCGATATTGTCGTACCGTCTCTCAATACCCACGATGTACGGGCACGGGGCATCGAGCGCGGAGAGCAGTCTTGCCGGTAACACCGGGATGAAAACGCTAGCCCATTTCAGGGGGTACAGCAAGTTGACAAGAGCATGGCATGCAAGGTGCAGCATCGCCGTGTAAGATGATATAAAAATGATCCGCGATTCGGACATGGCATACTCGAACAAAGCCACGATGTTCTCAAGAGACAGGCATCTGAAAAGGGCGTAGATGTCGATGTTGCGTGAGCCGGGTAGCTCGTTGACTGCCTCCTTACGGCAGTAAAGACGAAGCTCTCTGACGCCAAGCTCGACCTGGGTCTTGGAGCTGATGGGGCTGACTGCTTCGATGCAGAGGTTGACGACGTAGTGTTCAAGCGGCTGCCACCGTCCGACCTTGGGCGAGCTCGGCGGCACCCTCAATACCGCACCGTCGGTCATGGGCACGATGATGGACCGGAGCCAATCCTTCCAAAACGTTATCTTGGTCACATCCCGTCCCAAGATGCCATAAGCCCGAGGTGTCCACAATCCGGTGTCCCCTGCCGTGAGGCCATCGATTTTGGACGCAGCACCATGCCTGAGCGGTCGCAACATCTCGGTCATGAGGCTGATCTTCTCCTCCACGGTGCTGATCTGATCGTCGAGAAGGTCCCTAGCGGGAGAACCAGACGGGATGGTGGGGAGTTTTGCGAGAAGCTGCGAGAGATGCGCACGCTCGGCCGCGAGGCGGGCTCCCAAACTAGCGGCCAGTTCTCTCTCCTCGTCTGACATGTGTTTCTGCCTCCACGATTCGCACTTCTTCTCAACTTGATCAGCGACATCAGCAGTCAACGCGGTCCACACTATCACGGTGATGCCGTAGAGCTTCGAGTTGTCGTCAGAGGTCATGGTGAAGCCGTGCCACGTGGCACGCGGGCGCTCGTCGGATGAGACAACTTGAATATCGTTAGGAAAGGCGAACATGGGCACGTAGTCCGGGAATTTGCCCCTTCGAGTCTTTTCATCTGGTGAGTCTTTGGGATATCTGTCCAATAATTTGGGCTCAAAACGTCGCTTCAGAGGGTGCATGTCCGGGTCCATATTTAGAGGTTCTGGGGGCGGAATGACTGAATTATAATTGCTCAACCGCTTCGTGGTCCGGACGGAGGCTGGAATAATGTTAGCATATGGCCCCGCATCAATGACCAGTTGTGACAATTTTGGACGAGAGCCCTTACCTGGTCGTGCTCGAGGAGGGGCAGTCTGCCTCTTGACGCTGTTCATGTCCCTAAAACTGATCTTGCGTCGGATGCTACCTTTGATGCTCTTCAAGGGACTCATCCTCCCGCTGAGCTCGCCCTCCTCGGCCTTGATTCTCTCCGCGCGCGGGTTGTTCACCATTGGGGGCCGCGCTTGAAGCTTGGCCCCAGCGGTGAAACTCAGGTCATCCAAAAAGATCTCGCGCTCTGCGGCGAACTTCATAAGAGCCTTGTCGAAGTCGAAATCTGGCAGACCAGTGAAACCCACGCCTTGTCCACCACCATTGGTCGCGGACGAGCCCTCGCCAGGGGTGGGCTCTATGGGACTGAAGGGGCTTTCGTCGGTGCCACTGCCACCGTTAATAGGCGGCACTGCCCTTATGGTGGCGCTGCTTCTATTACTCCTGGTGCCCTCATTTTCTTCCCCCAGCGTCTGTATAGAAAAGCGGTTGTTCTCGTTGGAAGGGATCCTGGATATTCGGTTGATTGAACTCCGTCGAGAATGGCGGGCAGTCTCCTTGGTGGGGGTCTGGGAAAGTGTATCGGAAGCCTCGTTCTCAGCATCCTCTCTGATGGTGTCGTTGAGCTGCAGGGAGCTCAGAGGTCGTGGATCGGGGTCATTGTCGTGGTAGGATATGTCTTCTATGCCGGCGATCCAGAAGTAGTCGGCGAGGGGAGCTGAGGAGGCGTCCATGGCCGCTGGTCTGCTACTAGCTAGCTTGCACTTCTCTAAACCACTGCGCTCGCTCCTTCATGGGGTCATTGGTCGGCCAGAGGGTGCGTTATGGTCAGGGCCCCGGATCGGGGCGGGACTTGCACGGCGAGACCAAGTCTTGGACGGGCGACGGTAGCTAGCAGGAGGGCTTGCGACACGCGGCTGCTGGGGCGGGGGCGTGGGCCTGGTGCCCCCTAAGAGAAGGGAGAATGATCTTTGGCACGTACTGCGGCGGATGCAGGCCGAGCTGTAGGGGCTGGGAGACAGTCGTCGCAGGTGGTGTCTCAAGACTGGGAGCTGTGGAAAGCAGCTGGGCGTGGATGGAGGTGAAGGGATGTGTGAGGCGAGGTGGGGGTGGTGTGAGTTTGAGTGCGGGAGGGGAGGCCAGAGGAGACGAGCGCTGCTGAGGTTTCTCGCAGGTGCGCCTCGGATCAATGCCCGGCGACAGGAGCTGTCCAAAGTAAGGGGTGCGCAGCAAACTAGGCGATACTGAGCTGAGGGCCGATTGTGAGGCCGATTGTGAGGCCGAGGGCGAGGACGAGGGTGAACGTGAGGGTCGGCAACAAGAGCAGCAGCAGCAGGGACAGGAGTCAGGGACTGGACTGGGCTGGGCTGGGCTGGCACAGGCACGCCGTTCAAGAACAAACAACAACTGCTGTCAAATGAAGCGTGGAGAGGAAAAAGTAGCAGAGTGGGCGCCGGCTGTCCGTGTCGAGGGTCGAGGAGGGAAAATTCACGGCACGCAGTCCCGTCCGTATTCAGGTCTACCTACGGTCCCAGCAGGAGCAAGAGGAGTTGGACTTGTTGGTCAAGCCGGGCAAGCAAACTGAGGGCGCGCACCTTTTTCTCTGGGCCGTCTGGCAGTCTAGAAAGATGCAAGTCAACCGAGGGGCGGCAGCCATTGGTGGCCAGCGGGGGAGACAGGCCAGTCCCCGGTCCCAGGCCAGTCCAGGGTTCAATGAAATCCCTGTGGGTCTGTTCTCTGGGCTTCGGTCCCTTGAACGGTCCCTGAGGGGCGGTGGGCAAATCGGAGAAGCAACGGTGGGGGTCGGGGGGGTCTGATGAATGCTCCACTCCACGCTAATCGTCCGTGTCTGCTGTGTGCCTGTGTCTGTCTGTCTGTCTGTCTGTCTGTCTGTCTATCTGTCTGTCCGTCCATCCAGAGCGCAGGTCTGGATGTGCAATGAAGTGTAGTGCAGTGCGGTGCGGTTGCGGTGCAGTTCAGTTGGACAATGCGCTGGATCATTGATTCGTACCGGCAACTTCCAGCCCCACCAAACACCACAGCCCGCCGCCGTTCCTGAATGCTTCTGTCCAGGCCACCCAGGGACCCAAGGATACCCGGGTGGGCAAAAAAAGCACGGTTAGAAAGACCTTCGCTGGAAGGCTCATCCTATACACACCAATTCATCCCACCTGCTTGCTTTGTTGAGGTGGTCTGCGCGGCGCAGTCTCGAAACCCAATTCGCTTTACTCCCAGCAGGACCTCGTAGATGACAAGTACTGGGTACCTCCACACATCAGATCCTACATGTGCTTACTTGTACTGTGTAGACTACCTACGTATGGATATTGTATGGATGTGGCCCCAAGTGGGCATCTCAGTCTGCACACCACCAGCCTAATTACCCATGTACCTGGGGCAGGTAATTACGTGTAGTCCCAAGGGCAGCGCTCAATTCAGGGGCAGCAGCGTACACACGGTACTGGTCCAGAGTCTGTTAGACGAGAGATGCACTGCATAGCCTTCAAAGGGGATGTAGTCTAGTCGCTCCTTCTCAGGTACAGTATACGCCCGCCCGCACCCCCATAGGGCAACAAAGGAAGGCAGGGGGCAAGCTTCGTGGGCCGACCTCTCTCCTTCCCTCCTTCTCCCACCCCCCCTGCCTTGCAGTTCTGACAGCTGTTTGTTGTTGGCGATATTCCGTCTCATCCCATCTACGAGGAGCCATAGGAGCCATCTGAGCCAGCGAGATTGGCGTTCGTCCCGTCCCCTCCCTGCTTCTTTTTTTATGATGTGCATCTTGTTCTCATTTCGATCTCTCTCTCTCATTTGCATCTGGACGGTTCCCTTGTTGTGCAGAAGCAAGTACCCTGCTGTGACATGACGCTGGCACGAACCTAGATGTGGGTAGAGATCTTGTCAATGCCCAATTTTCGTGCCCAAGCGACCAGGTCCGGCTTGCCCCAACCTCCATGCATCTCCCCCGTGCAGCCGTGCTGCTGGGCCGTTCCATCTTCATTCTTTTTTCCCCCATTGACAGGGAGCATCCTTTGCCGATGACTCGAAGACACGAGACACCCAGTCCACTGTGCGCTGGTGGCATTCTTCCTCTGCATGTTTTGGTGCTGGGCCGTGTTTCGGGTGCCCACAATCTGGCCAACTTCGACCACTTCCGCGTACCGTGTATGCAATAGCATGCACGCCCTGGTCGTCGATCCATCCCAGCACCACTCCTGCAGCACTCCAGGAATGGCAAGTGAGAGAATGTGATGGTGGGTCCAACAAGCGCCCCAGGCTGCCCAGGTTGGCAACCGCCGCCCCAGAACGGCAGTCGGGCTTGCAGATCACGGTGAGATCTAACTGCAATGCTGCACAAACAAAGAAAGTCCTCAGCTTCCTCCACACCCCGTCGGTCACTCAGTCAGCCAGCCCGCCAGCCAGTCATCCAGCCATCCCAGCCATCCCGAGCACGAAGCCGAGCCTCGGGGAAATCCATTGTACATGGCTGCCATGCGTGGTGGTGATGCGCGTGGGGTGGGCCAAGGTCTCACATGCTAATCCATGCTCATCAATCGTCGCTGTCATCTGTCTGTGATGGCCTCCGGTACGGTACGGTACGGTACGGTATCGTTACATGACAGCTTCTGCTCTGCTGCCCTTTTCAGTACAGCGGAGAAGAGCCTGTGCAGCGGTACGAGTCGCCTTGTTTCATCTGCACGCAACACGCCTTTCAACCTCCGATGGCACGCTGTGCAGCGCGGGTTGCGCGTTTGCTTCTCTTGCCCCCCCCCCACCCCCATGTCCCCGGAGGCCATCTCCCGACACCGCGTCAACCTTTGCGCTAGCTCAGGGGCAACAAGAAGGGGATAAACGACGGGCGCAGGCTCCGGTGCAGGTGCCAGACGCTGCTCCATCACCCGTCAACCACACTTCGCGAACCAGACAATCACTCCATCGTGGCCTTCCTCTGCGCTTCTATTTTGGTACCCATTGCCGGTCACTTTTCATTTTCTCTCATTACAGGAATACGGGGGGTTGTCGCCTGCACTGGCCATTGTCACTGGGGAGCCCTTGATATCGAGATTCCCTCCAAATCCCGGCTTGCCTTTCTCCCAAAGGCCAACCCCTGCCGGAGGTCACCCAATCTGGGTCGTATTGCTGTTATTCTCCGGGCTAGCAAGCCGAGGAAAAGGCACAGACTCGGAGAGGGAAAACGTCTGTGTGCAAATGCGGCTCTCGTGCCAAGGGGAACAGACGGCCATGACCTGCAGCTCTAACCCCTCCTCCGCCACAAGGAATCCTGCATCCGGATAAGGACTCAGTCTGGTCAACAGTACCAGGGTTTCCGTCCTCCCTCCGTTCCATAAGACTATATCTGATATTTGTCCTATATGAACTAAGTTCAGCCTTGTCTCTTGGCAAGCACTTCCTAGTCTATAACCTCAGACGCGAACGGCCCTAGACACCACGAGCGCGTATATCGCACAGCAAATGCCGACGCGTATTCTGGCTAAACTTGCCCTGGGAGAGAGGGAAAAAATCATATAGTGTGATAGTAACTAAAGGGATCACGTTGCGTCGGAAAGCCGCCCACACACCATGGCATAAGACAGCGCGCCGCAACGTTTCCTCGTACATGCAGACATTGCTATGGAGCTCCTAAGACAACGCGGCACACAATCCGGTTTCCGGGATAGCAGAAGTCTCTGCTGCAGCATACTTGTTTGACCAGGCGAGTTGCTTGCCCGGGCAAGCTCTTCCGGTGCCACAACCTCTGCCGCCGGTTTCCCGCTGTTGGTGTCACAGTTTCAGCTGCCCACAGGATAATAGGTGAAGCTCATGTAAGTTGCCAGGCCACCAGCGGCCGGTCAATGCCGTGCTACAAGAGCTCTCCTTCTGTCCTGTGCCGCCAATATATCCCGGATGCTATAGGCCGAGAAGAATTTTTTCCTTCCCCCTTCCCTCCCCATTTAGCCTTTGCGCGAGGCTGAGGGCCCGCATCGCACTGCATGAGGCTCATATACGACCTCGCAGGGGGACACCGGAAAGTTTAATACTCGCACCGATGCGACCCCCGACCCCCGGACCCTCTCCGACCTTTTTTGGTGAGCAGGTGGTTCCCCTTCCCGGATCCCGCATCCGGCTATTGGTAGCTTGACCAAGTTCACATGCTACTTACTGGTGCGCTTTTTCCCTTCTTTTTGTCTAGTGCGAGACCGGCCGCACGTGTTACACGGTACCGGGCAGCCATGGAGACTTTTTGTTGGTTGCAAAGTGACGCCACGAACAACCGCCGCGCGACGTTGTTCCCTTGCTTGTTGACCATCCGCGACGATTCCCCCACACCCCTCCCCCTGACCGGAAATCCTCATGTTGCGCATTTCATCAGTACGACATAACAATCCATCGGGGCTCGGCTGCTGCCGGGCGTCGAAACCATACAATAATTATCTTGGGACGGACTCAACCCCCCTGTGGTGGGGTGGGTTGAATTATGAACACTGCAGCTCTTGGGGGGGGGGGTGTGTGGACGATAGACTGATCTAGACCCGTCCCTTTCTCACCTCCATTTTCTATCACCTTCTTTCTATCTCGTCCAGGTTCGAGGCACCAGACCGGGGCTGTCGGGTCACCGCCCGCCGCGTGCGCATACGGGGACGTATTTATATCTTATATCACCGTGGCCACCGGCGCAGGGTCAGGGGTCGGAACCGGTCCGGGCCTGTTGGCAACTCCTAATAAAGCAGGCTGGGATTTACCGTTATGACCGACGCGACGCGTGACTCGCGCCGATCTCCCACGTGGAGGAGGCGACTCTTGTCTCTGTTTGTCGTGGGTTGCCAAGCAGAGCAAAGTTGGGGTCGCTTCTTCTCCAGCGGAGATCAGAATTAAAGCTTGTTTCATGGGTGTGTTGACTCATCTTTGACTCGTACTAGTGGGGAGCAAGACCTTGACGGATCGACGGCTTCATGTGCCACTGAGCCACGCTCGTCGTCAGCGTAGGTAACGGAAGATGCCACAGGTGGTGCTCAGTGCCTGTAATGAGGCTCAGTGACGGAAGTAGCAGCCCGGACGCTTTGTTCATGGACTTCGCTGTAGTACCAAGTGATACGGGACTATTCTGAAACTGTGCCGCTGTGAAAATCTCCATGTACTTGTGTGTGAAGGCCGGCTTGATACTCTTCAGAATATCGCCCCTTTGATACACATGTTGAGGTACGTCTGAACGACTTCCTCTATTTCCGGGAGTCTGTCAGCAGACCGTTCGTGACTCAAGAGCTTCCAGGACTCTGGGCCGGCGGTCTGAGCGACAGCCATCTGGGTTCTGGCCCGAAAACCCCAGAATGCCTGAGTAATGCATCTCATCCGTGGGTATCATCATCATCATCCTCACAGAAGGTTTTGTCCTCTCTATTCAAGCCGTGATCCTCGCTCACGACCCTAAATCCACACATCATCCCCTTTCCCATTTCCCCTTTCCCATTTCCAAGCTCAACCCGTCCCGACAGGGCCCGAGCCACCAGGCCCGCCATCCTTGGGTTTCGGCTTGGGCACCTTCTCGTACGCATTCGGGCTGGGCTTCCTCTTCCCCCGCCCGTCGTCGCCTCTCCGCCGGCCGCGCCCGTGCTTGTGCTTGTGACCGCAGTCCTTGCCCGCCTGGTCGCCGTTCACCCGGCGCGAGGGGCCCTCGCCCGAGCCAGAGTCGGAGTCGTCGGACGAGGAGCTGGAAGAGTCGGACGAGGACTCATCGCTCGACTCGTCCACCGCCTTAGGCGCGTGATAGATGCAGCACACTGTTCTCGTTGATTAGCAGATCTGAAACAGGAAGATTCGAGGCGTGCTTTTGCTTCTCACCCTTTGACGACTTCTTGCCCATGCCCTCGTTGTCCACCACGCTCTCCGCCCACTGCACCCGAGGGCCCCGGTTCCTCTGCGCGCCACGCAGCCGTAGGATCGGTGATTGTGTCTGCGCCTGCGTCTGGGTCTGTGACGCCGTGCCCGGCCCTGCGCTCCTCGTCGCCTGCGAGGATCCGCCGGCGCCACTGCCGCCGCCGGATGTCTGTTGATCTGATGAGCCCTGGGCCATGGTGGACTGTAAAATGGAGCGTAGGACGTGTAGGGAAAGTATGAGCGCTACAGTGCACTGTCCAACTTCGCTGGCGAGAGGTGGAGCGCGGCAGCCGGGAGCAGGTCGACCTTGAGGGTGCTGGTTCGGCGCCTCGTCTGGAGGCCCTTGGTCGTTTGCTGATGGGATCTACCAAGAGCAATGGAGGGGTGGGTAGGGGTGGCCGATGGTTCCCAAACAAGGTGCTCGCTCGCTGTGGTTATTCACTAGGTGTGGCGCGGACTGTCGGTGTAGGTCGTTCGTGGTAGGAGGTGGCGATGGTTCCTTAGGAAGCGGCTACTTTTCGGTGTGGTTCGTGCCTGGCGCGGATGTCAAATTACGTCGTGTGACCCTTGGGCTTGGATGCGCTTTGTCAACACCCGCAGTCAGTGAGGGGTGGTGCTGGACCGCTCGGACGTTTTCTGGCCCCCGCGTCATCCCGCTCGCTAGGGCCGGCAGCTACCAGGTCGCTGTCTCGGTGGGGCAGCTAAGCTTGAGGCTCACCATAGGGCCGGTCGCCCGGCCGCTGGCCAGGTCGCATTCCAGTTTTTCAACACCCCATTCCTTTCTCCATACATGACTAGTGGTGGAGTGGTATATTGGCCTGCTGTATTCTATTTTTATGATACGCCGTACCTATTATTCATTCGAGCCTACCATGCCTCGGCAGATCTGGCCCTCCCAGCGTCCTTGTCCCTTCTCTTAGCCCCCGTCATGCTCTTCCGTGGCCGCTTCTTGCTCGTCTCAGCAGTCTTGCGGACCTTATTGTACAGCCATGCATTCAGGGGTGGTCGGCATCCGATGAAGCGGCCCTCTGGAGAGAAGACGTCCACGACTGGCCAGTTGGGCTCCGGTTCACCCGAATCAGCATGCTGAGCATTCTCATCTTCCACGCCTGGATCCGACAGGTCCAATTCCTGGAGAATCTCTTCCCTGCCCGCCTTGATGGCCTTCTTGGAAGACGGCCTGGATTTCGGGAGAGTACTAGGTGGAGGTGCGAACAAGTTCTTCGTCCGGACCTGTGCAGTGATCTCCACCCAGCCACACCCCTCAATGAGGATATCAAGCGACAGGACACGGTATGGGAGACGGTCGACCTTGATTCCAGCGGCGTCTTTCCTGGTGATGGGGCCGGCGCGTTTCTTGGTGACGTCCCACTGTAATTTGAACGATCCGGCATGCTTGATCTTCTCTCCAGTGGCTGGGACAGATATGTTTCCAGCCTTGATACCAGACGTCTGTTCCTGTATCTCGATTGCTTTCTCCGTTGCCGTCAGATGTGGTTCGATGGGCGTAAACGCATAGCCAAGGAATATGAGGTCCGGCGTGCGCGGTGTAATCCTGATGAAGCCGCCGATCAGAAGCGACTGGCCAGGCTTGATGACATGTTGCTCCGGGCTTGCGCGAGCCTTCATGACAAGTGAAGGCCGATGCTCTTCACGGACCCAAGTCTCCAGTTCGCTGCGTTCGAGACCGGGTAAATCGATGAGCTCGCCTTTCCCACCGCCAAAGGGGACCCGAATGGGAGACGCAGTAGTCCCCGGCAATGCCGAAACAACCGGCATACGAGGAAAATTCGTCTCTTCTTGTGGTGGCGGCAACAAAGAGTCTTCGCCAAGATCGTCAATGTCCGGTAGCACAGCATGCCTGACATCCTCCTGGTCGTCGACTAATGGTTCGAGGGCGTGTTCTTTCCGAGGTTGGACAGCCACTGAGATATCGTGCTTGGATTCCTTCCAATCCATCCGGCCTTTCGGGAACACGGCATCAAAGAGCTGGCTCTTGCCGACATTCACCTTGCCCACCATCCACCCAGCACCTCCTCGCTTCCATATGTCCTCCTTGACCTCCTGGGTCCACCAGCTCCGCTTGGCACTCACGCACCTCACATTGCCCAACCTCACATGCCTCGAGTCACGCGGGAGCGCATGTCTCAGGATGTCGACCAGGGTGGGCATCAGCCTGTCCACCTGTTCCTTCTTTGGCGCCAGCAGATCAGATCTGGTTATGATAAAGCTCATTTCGGTCTTCTTCCCCTTGAAGAACTTGCCGGATTGCGAGCGGCGGTTTTTGGTGCGTAGGGGCATCAGGTCGAGCAGCCGGTGAACCTGTGGTAGGAGCGACATGGGGAAATCGGCGGCGTCAAGGACGTGATAGACATGGTTGTACTTGTAAGGCGACTCTTGAATCGTCTCACGGATTGCCTCTATGGTTGGGTGGTAGATAGGAGTCCCGGTGTGGTGGTGGATGAGGTTATGGCAGCGGTCACAGAACGGCACATCAGGCGTCTCGCTGCTCTCGGACTTGGGACGCTTTGGGAGAGCGGCATTCGCGAGGCCAAGGTGCTCCAGTAGATCACCACGGTTCTGCAGGGCGTCTTGAAGAATCTCATCTTCGCTACTTTGGCGCTGTTCTTCATTCAGAAGGCCCAAGTAAGCCTTGACGGCCCTCCTATCTAGGTTGAAATACCCTGGTTCGTCTGGGACCGCCGTCTGCGTGAGAGCACCACAGCCAGCACACTGCACTGGTAGTGCCCGGGCCGGAGTGGGTTGGATGGAGCCCTCATCTTGCTTTGGTCGCCTTGTGGAGTGCAGCTTTCTAGCCTGGCGCAGTGGCAGAAGTCGATGCCCTGGAATACCTGTCGTTGTGGCATGGTCCGACCTATACAAGATTTGGCATCTAGCCGCGGCGGGACAAAGGTATAATGGTAAAGTAGAGCCTTGTGAGGTGCCATGGTCAATGTTGACAAAGCCCCGCAGCAGTCGCGAACACGATATCTGCTTGGCTCGGGGTTTCATTGCGTCAAGGCATCACTGTTCGCAGCGGCGCATAGAGTTAGATGATTGAGGTCTATCCGATTCTGGACCGAGTGAGATCAATCTAGGGCATGATACAAGCCTCCTAGACTTTTTTTTTTTTTTTTGACCCCTGAGCTGCGATAAGTCCTGCCAGCCGCGAGATAAGTCCTGAGCAGGGGTCCGCTGCCGCCGCGGCAGGACCTCAATTGGCCTGGGTCGCATTCGACGACATGAAATTTCGAGATCGACGACCAGCCCGAATCTGTTGACATATGACGGCGACGACGGCGACGACGGCGAAAGCAATCACACGGCGTCCGCCCAACACCCTTCTCCTCCACTGTGACTTTTGAGCCTCACCAAGGCTCCGTTCCGCCGCCCAAGATGTCGAGAATAGGGATGCGAATGAACAAGCTGAAATCTGTAAGTCTTCACCCATGCCGCGTGCTCATGCGACCGACCGGACCAACTGACGCCCCTTATAGCAGGTAAAGATCTCCCGACCGACGATGCCGCACTTTCCAGAGCCCAGCCGAATCCCTCCTGATACTAACCGCCATACGAACAACAGCTTGTCAACGTTAGGAACGGGCCCGGCGCAGCAAAACTCCCCACAAACGTGACCAAGATACACCTAGAGTTCGCCCACAAGTGGAACGACGGACATATGGGCAGCCGCAAGTTCTGGAGGGAAAACCTGCCGCGGTTAAAGTACCACAACCCAGATGTGCCGATGATCGTGAACCGGACGCACGAGCAGACGGGCCCCGCGACGCTGAGCATCTACATGAGCGGCGACGCGCCACAGCAGCCGGCGCAGATAGAAGGCCCCACGGCGCCGCCGCCGAAGCGCGCCGTCGCCACGACCGACGCATGGCGAACCATCGCGAGCTCGAGCACGGGGACAGCGAGTGCGCCGCCGCCGGCCGAGGGGGAGACGGTGGTCACGATCAACATGAAGAACGTGCGGTCGGCCGAGATATTGAAGCAGTTCCTGGAGAAGACGGGCGCGACGGAGGTGGAGCCGTCGCCCGAGGACCAGGAGGAGATGGCGAGGCTGCTGGAGCTGCAGGAGCGCGCCGTGTACGACAAGGAGGTGCAGAAGAGGTACCGCGAGAAGATCCAGTCCGAGAAGAGGTTACTGGAGAGGGCGAGGCAGGAGGCGGATGCGCTCAAGGCGGACAAGTGAAGGCAATCCCCCGGACTTTTCGGGTTCGACGACGGTGAGAGGGCTCGGCCGGTCCATGATACGATAGGTGTCGTATGTAGTCAAAGTGCATGCCTACGCGCTGGAAACAACAATGGCTCTGTACAAAGGCATCGCCCCAAACCTCTTCTGCATGAACCATCGTTCTTGTCCAGTGCTGTGTTTCTATCGTCTCAACAGGTCTCCTCCGTACTTGAATAGAGTGCACAGATAATGAACCATGCCCCCCTCCCCGGGGGCGACTGGGGGACATCCACCGGCTAGTTGATTATTCGATTGGTTGGCCTTTTTCTATTTCTCTTCTTGTTTTTTCTTTGGTCATTTTCCCCTTCTTACAGGGTGACACAGTCTGGAATTGAACCTTGGACAAAGATCACTGCATGCACATTACGGAATCTGAGTTTGATTGTAGACATGTTGCAGCATGTCTGTCTATCTTGCATTTTTGTGTCCTTATCCTTTGGGACAGCTAATACCCAAGAGTTCGCCAAGTAATGCATTACAATCCCTGTCCCACAATGCTCTTTGTGGACAGCCTCGTCTCCTGTGATCCAAGAAAGTCTTAATAGAATAATGCTCCTTCTTATGCATACGTGCCGGGCATTACTTTAGCCCAAAGCCTTCGCTCTCGTGCACAGAATCCCACAACAGCTTCTCTAGCCTCTCCCTCGAATTATACCTCCACAGCTGTAGCGCATTGAAACATGTTCTAGCCGTTGGATATCTGCCATTATCATCACCAAGACACGAAATCCTGATGGTTAGCGACGCAGCGCCCATGGCCGGGATGCGGTCACTGCCTGTGATGAATGCCAATAGCCTTCTCTGGTCTCTTGGGTTCGCACGCTCGAATGACTCCCAGAACCACCTGAGTGTTGGTTCCGTCTGGTCCGGGTTGCTGGTTTTATTTCCCCAATTCTCATACTCCGCCGACACACGCAGCGATGTGATGTCCAATGGCTCATCGGAGCCCCGGACCAGGAGCTCGATCTCCTCTGGTCGAAAGAGCGAGAGAGCATTGCCGCCGCAGACAGTAAAGAAACCACGCTTGAACGGCTCGAATTGGCGGGTCACGGCAGCGTCGAGAAGGTACTTGACATATAAGTCGACATACTCACGGCGGTTGGAATTAGTGACGGGCCGGGTGAGACCACCGGGGCAGAGAGGTACCCGCTCGGTGTAGCCGTACTTCTCGACATCAATGACGAAGTCGAGACAGAAAGTAGACTCGACGTCACCATCAAAATCGAGTAGTTGGCGCAGCCCTTTGGCGAGGCGTGGACGGAACTCCGCCAGGTCGTCAAGGGTATATGCCATGGCTGGCCTGGGCTGGGTCGAAAGACCCGGAGAAGGCGGCGGGGCAGCTGTCAAAAGCTTGCGGAAGGCGAACGGCGGGAATGCAACATCGAGAATGGTGGAGTTGTAGATTGCGAGGCCGAAGACTACGCCTACCAGGAAAAATTGGTCTGACGTCTCGAAAGAGTTGGGGTTGAAGTAACAATACTGCGAGTCTTCGTCATATACGAACATCCCTTGCGCCACTCGTTAGCATCGTGGAAATGTCTGACAGGGACAACTTTGAGGTACATACCATGGTCTGGGTTGAAGACTTCCCTGACAAGCAGCAGAAACCACTCTTTTTTCAAGCCTCCAGCGTCGACTCCTTCTTCGCCTTGGAATACGATACGCAGTCCCTTTTTGATATCCTCGCCGCCGCCGCCAATGACTTCGCTCACCCCTGTCAGGCTGTCCTCGACAAGACAATCGCGTCTCACGTTTAGTGTCAAGTACTGTTCGACGTTTCTCCGACTCAATATGCTATCAAAGAAGGCATCCCTCGCTTTGTTATGCATCTGTCGTTTGGCGTCGTGTTCCATAATTTGTATCTTGGCGCCGATGCTGAGAAGGAACGGAAATTGGCAGAACGAAAACTTGCTTCTCTTGCGTTCCCAAGCCTCAAAGTCAGCGACGAGATCCGAGTCGTCCAGCAGGGTGATGTAGAAGTCACTTGTAGGCACTATTTGGCCCCTCGCTTGAACCTGATCCCTAACGCTTGTGCTGTTCAAGACCTCGTCCTGGGAAGACGGAGTACCTGCGATGTGTCTTCGATGATGCGCGTTGTTGTTTGCGGCGAAAAGGAGACCAATGACACGAGCAGCGGCCTTGGTTTGCCAGTCGTCATGGTACACGATCTTGGGTTGCTCCTTAGGCTTCTTTGATCTGGATTGTCGTGGCTGGCCAACCGCAGCATGAAGGGTCGCTGGGGATCGTCCGGCGGCCATATTCGGGATAAGACCGGCTGTCACGTCAACCTTGACCTCGTGTTTCTTGTCGTGTTGTCGAATTAACCTGTACGCTAGGAAACCTCCCGCAAAGTCCTTCAATTGGATGAAGCGAGACTCTGGCAGCCTTGCAAACCAGGAAATGAGGTGATTGTGGCAGTCAGCCGGTGTGTTAGACAGGAGGCCAAGGATGCGTTTGATGATGGGCGAGTGCTGCCCAGAGACTGGTCCTGAACCACGCAACGGCCCAGATGTGTATGGGCCATTTGTTTGGCTATTTTGTGCATGTGGTAAGCGCCCAGTGAAATTATGAAATGAGGCGTGCAGGAGCGGGTTTGCGGCTATTATGAGCAAGAATCGGAGGTCTTCAGGGCTGCTGACTGGTCTTCCAGGTCTTTTAAGGATATTTTCCGTGACTTTGAGGAGGGTCTTTCGCAGGTGCTCCTGCGCTTCGAGAATGTGGCCCTCGATTTGCTTCAGTTCCGGTTCCGTAGGCTCATCAAACACAAAAGTCTGTGTGAGCCCGTCATAAACATCCGTCCAACGCTCCCCCGCGTTTATGACAGTTTGGTACCAATTGTCTACCTCTGCCCAGTCGATATTAGGGTTCCTGCTTGTAACAGTCGAGTCCTCGTCACTGCGGTATGAAGGGGTCCGGTTGGGTGCCGCTTTCTCCTTCCGGCCAGTCCACCATGAACCATTTTCGGCAAAATCCCCAACCATCAGCATTTTGGGATCAAGTTCGGCTATAGACTGCTCCTGCGATGGAACTTCCTTTGGAGGCTCTGAGGGTCGTCGCCTAGACGGCTGAGGAGCTCGACGATTGGTGTAGCGTGGAGGGCGCAGCATGAAAGACGAGTTGACGCAGGTTAGTGGTGGAGAGAAGCAACTGATGAGATAGTCTTCAAGGGGTCTGAAAAGCCTTTTCCCATCCGGATCCACACATCTGGCGTTCTGATCGATTGAAAGCCTCCCGAAACCTCCCATCTCCGGTCTTGTTTCTGGATACGAGGAGGAGTAGGACCTCTGTGAAAACATGGCCGGTCGTGAGAAATTCACGTGGGCGCTTCGATCCTCGGTACTTCCATTCCCTGGATTCGACGTTCCAGCTTTCGGCATAGTCACCCCGTCCCTACCAAATCCCTGTCGCCCAGCGGTTGTCGTATCGATATTACTTGCGGCTCCGGGCGGCCTGTACGTCTCCAGAGGACGGCTGCCATCCCTCGAGTCCGTCGATGTGCGCCTAGCTGCCAGAGCTGCAACCAAGTAATTCTTCAGGCAGTCTCTCACCATGTGTTTCGTGCCTTCAAGTGATATGGGCGCTAGTAACAATGATTTAGATCCCCTGAAACCTTTGAACACGTGATGGTGCATACACTCACACTTTGAGATGGGGGTGGCGTCCTCTGATGATCTCCTGTAGCCTACAGCATGGTTGTTCGCCTCGACCACACTGTTAATGTCGACGAGGTCGTTGATGGTCATGCAAAGGGTGCACTTGAAGACCTTGAGCCCCTTAGGCCATCTCGACATTGCACCACATGTCATGCAGTTACCCGATGCGAAGTCCTTGTCCGTGGAGGGCCTACCATTTACCTTTGACGGACCCGCAGGCTGCGTAGGCCTTCTCTGCTTGGACCCAGGCCCCAAACCCAGCATCTCGGCATCTGAGTCCGAGTCTGAGTCGAAATCATCGGGGGACGGGTTCTTTTGGGCCATCTTCCTCTTAGAGGAAAACAAAGACGGGAAGGGATGGCTCATGGAGCGGCCATGACTTGATGGCCTTGGGTTGGGCGCGGCACGATGCTCAGCAGGAAGAGTGGGTACCAAATCTGGAGGAACCTGGGAGGCATCCACGAGGTTCGGATCGCTGGGTCGCGAGGAGCTTGGGACCGGCCTGCGCGCCGGCGGTCTAGATAGCTGCTGGCGAACATCCTCAAGCTCTGGCCGTGGCAGTGGTGGCAGTGGGGGCTCTCGCGAGGGCGGAAGCGGCAGAGGGTCGTTGAGTCGAGAGGGCCAGGGCGCCATATTCGTATTGGTGTGTGCGAGGGGGCGGACGTGGTGAAAGGCGGTATCTTGTGAGGCTTGGCATGGCACTGGCTGGCTTTTGAGAGAGCGAGACAGCGTCGGCGAGCATCTAGCCTAGACACTCAAGCTGCCGAAGTGTGCGACGCCTGCTTGTCCGGCTTATCAAGTGCAGGTGGGTAGCAGCTTCCAATGTGTCGACAGCCACACAGAAGTCACCACAATGACGTCGCAAATGGATGGGCCTGTCACAAGGACCCGGCGTGGGTGACACGGCACTCGAGTTGAGACGCGAAGGCCCAGCACAGCACACAGTACGGTACAGCACAGCACAGCCAGCACAGCCTTCGAAGTGGGACGGGCCGATCGGGACGTTGGTCAAGGAACAGGGCCGTGCGTGTACGTGTACGTATGAGTGTGTACGAGCATGAGCAGAGCAGAGCAAAACAAAATAAGTCAGGGCGTCGACGAGAGGTGGTTGCCGTGCAGTGTTGGGCACAGATTGTATCTCTGTCCGCTCAGGGGGTGCGTGCAACTGCGAAGTGCACTGCCCAGACCAAGGCTTGGAAGCTGAAGCTGCTGGAGACGAGGGCGCAGACGCCAGGTCCGAAGCCCTGCAGGTGGTCCGCCTCGAGGACGGCGTGCAAAGAACTGGCGAAGATGCGTGTGCGTGGTCGTGCAGGGCGAGTCGCATACCAGGGGAGGTCTCGCCTGCTTTGCTCTGGTCCAGACAGAGACTTGAGCTGTGATAGTCGACGTCGGGATGCAGGGGACAAACGGACAGCCAGCCAGACTGTCGTTTGACACTGGCAGGCGCGAGCGGAATGGCAAGTGGTACGTGGTACCTGCCTTGAAACAAAGGGTCTCGTACCGAAATGCCGAGCGGCCTTGTAGTGCAGTAGCCCCCATGTCCCCCTTGTTCGACAGGCCTGCAGATCCCCATTGTGCGCTAGCCCAGCTTAGCAGTGGATCCAGATCGCCGGGTTATAAACATGCCAGGGGCAGGGGACCTCTGCTGCGGTACTACACTCCCTCCACCTTGTGACTTGTTGTTAAATAAGATGGATGTGCCCGGCAGCATGTGTCTTGTGCATACAGCTCGTCCACAAGAAGTTCTTGCATCGAAATTGCATTATTTGCATCATGGGCGCTGACCGTATGCTGTGGAGTTTAGCAGGCATTCCCTCCTGCTGTGCGGTCATAGCGGCCATCAATCAAGCAGGCTTGAGTTATAGACGTTCAATACACATAATGCAGCCTTGAGATGCTAGGAGCGGGTCTCTCTCACAGTTACAATAGCCTCACCATCCCACTCCAGTATCTGCTGGAATTGCTGTCCGCCCATCCGCCCATAACCTGCCCAAGAAGTCAACCTGATCAGGGGTTTTGAGGATCAAAAGTATGAGTTCCGCGTCTTTGGAAAGGTAGTTGTAGCATTTCCCACCCACCTAGATGCATTCCTGGCCAGAGAAATCAAGGTGTCCTGGGGAGGTCCAGTTGAATGGCCAAATGTCGTTGGGGAAACTCTTGCTCGCTTCAAGCAGTGGACATCCAACCAAGGTTACAATACAGCATGACCTCGGAACGAATCTAGACTCAGCAACAATGGCCATCTTCACGCCTCACAGCTGTTGACGGCAAAAATAATAATTCTAGGATACTCCATAAGCCCTTGAGCGGGCTGTCACCACCAGAGTCGAACTGCCCAAGGAGTACGCAAATCGAAACATGCTACACCAAATGCCAAAAGTGCATCTATTCCAAATCGTTCGTCCCATGCAAATGTGGCGTTGTACTTGGACCTATCCCGAGATATGCTGTCAGTGCCACCGGCCGACAGTGAGACTAGGTGATCCAACCAACAGCATGCTCAGCGCGTTTGTGGAGGCTGAAACGAGGTAACCTGTGCCAGTATCACCGGATATTTTCGACCTCGGCAAGGACACAACAAGCTTTAAGACTGCACTCAGGTTTTCCTCTGCGACGCCAGTCTATCTGTGGTGTGCCACAACTGGCTCATCCTCAAGCTGAAGCAGCCCGTCGTCCGGCGACCACATGCTACGCTCCGGGGATCCACCCTGTGGCCCAGCCGTGTCCAAAATAACGGTGCCGTCTCCGAGTAAGGCTTGGAGGTTACGATACCTAGGTAGCAGGCGACAATATGAAGGGCTTGCCTATCATGTAGTTTGCATATGTCGTCGACCAATTGCACGAGTTTGACAGCGTCGAGGCAATAATGCATCGAATCCCGACATTCGCTTTCCGATCGACCAATGGATTGAGCACCAAAACCAAATAGCCATTCGCTGGCTGCTGATTAGGTAGAGAAGAGGCCGTCGAGGAGATGGCGTTCTATGAGGGAAGGCTGAGGGGAAGGGTGGACGGAAATTTGGGGTTTTGGCATCGTGCACAGATTCAAAGAGAGCACGACATTGACGAAGCCATCTCTGTCCAAGAGATGAGATGAGAAAAAAAAAAAAAAAGGGGGTGAATAATGTTGCTGATGTCAACGCAACAGGCTAAGGGATATATGGCGACTACCCAGAAAAAGCTCGCTCACTTCCGCGCACTTGTCATCTAACACAGCGACTTAATTCGTGCATCTAAAAACCGGAGACATCTTGCACCAGCTAGCCCGCAAGGAACGAAGAAAACTGGTCCTTGGCCTCGAACTCCGAACTGATGTACTTCAACGTGTCGTTCATCCACGAGTCCTTCTCCGTCCCCTTGCCCACAAGCCTCAGCTTGGTCCCCGACGCGACCTTCTTCCCCGGCTTGAACGTGATGCCGAGAGTGCTGTCGAAGTCGCCCCTCACTATGTTCAGCTGGCCCTTCTCCTCGGCGACTACCTGGCCGTCGGAGTCGACGATGTCGAACATACTAACGCGTGGTCGATCTCAAGCGGGCTAGGGTTGTAGACCTTCATGGTGTTCTTGTCGGCAGTGGTGTCGACGAGGCTGAGCTTGGGGCCCCTCATGCCCTTGATGGTCAGCTTCTTCTTGTACGTCACGTTGCTCTTGAGCGGCCAGCCCATGACCTTGGCCGTGATGTGGCAGTCGCCGTTGTCCAGCACCAGCACGAGCTCCTCGTCCAGCATCAGCGCCTTGACGAACGCGCGGAACGACTCCTGGTTCGTGATCTTGACCTCCTGCTCCTGCACGATCACGTCCGTGCCGCCCGACTTGGTGTTCACCTCGGGCAGCTGGAGCTTGCCCCACGGCTGGTCGTTGAAGACCATGTCGACGATCATTGGCGACATTGTTGCGCCCATGGGCCCAGTGCCTGTTACGCGATTGACGAGGGACATTGTGAGGGTGCTAGAGGTGGGCCGGTTAGTAAACTTACAGTGTCCTACGTTACGTGGTGTTCCTTCAGGTGACTCTTGAGCACCGGTAGTTGTAAGCAATGGAACTTACTCTGGTGTCGCCTTGGTAATTTTGATGTGCTCAACCGTCACTACTGACCGGTTTAGGATCAAGTTCACTATGGAGTCCATTTTGAATAGGGGATGATGCTTTCTCAGGTGAAGATTGCTATGGAAAATAAGGAAGTTTAGGGTATTAGGAGAACGGTCGGCAAGTAATCAGGAATTAGTTTAAGAGTTCTCACGAGGTTCTAGGGAAATGATGAATGTGGTTATCCCACATGCTTAGGGGGACACAAGCTTGGTCTTATATCTGGATGCTTCCGACCTTGGCGCGAAATCTTGAGACGACAGCTCGCTAGTCATTACCTCATTCTCCCAGCCCTGCCCACCTAATCGTTATGCTGAGGATGGAGAAAGCGCATTTCACATGTGGACGCGTGGGTGTCATCAGGGTGCAGTACGGCTGGGTGGCCAGCTTCCCCAGAGGCATGTGCTCTGTGGTCAGGCCCGCTGCCTCGGTACAGGTGAATCGACCTGGTCTTGGCTTGTTGGAGGAAGTGGCTGCTCAAGGGAGAGGATGGCATTGACGAAGCATTGGACGCCTGCAGGGATGTCGGGGCTGGAGAGTCGATGCTACCCCAGCCCCGAAACGAACCTGTTGCTACTTTCCCTTTTAGGAAACCGATGCTACGAAGATCCGAAGACCCACGGGGAAACTGCCACGGCCATACTATTTGGGACGAGTCTACACACATCTCCGGATTGCATCCCGACTTGGTCCCAAAATGCTGCTGTCGGTAGACATATCTCGCAGATCCTGTCACAAAACAGCCATGAGGGCAAAATAACATACACCAGACATAGCTTCGACACGACGTAGAACACACATTTTGCGCCGCACACGACGCCACGAGGTACACGAGACAGAAAGTCCTACCTCAATTCCCAATATCTGCCTTTTTAATTTTCTGGTATATCATTCCCAACCCAACCTGTCACTTTTCCATTGCCCATGTACCCATACTTCGTCAATCATCGATGTGCCTCAAAGACACCTAGCAGTCGCTCAAGTCCGCAAATAGGCTCGCTCAAGCCTCTGATCAAACACCATGCCATGCCGTCTAGTCAAAGACAATAGAGAATATCTAGTCAAAGACAATAGCAGCCTTGATGGCGCTCTTGTTCTTGATGGAGTCAAGAGCCTCCTGGAACTGCTCGAGCTTGAAGGTCTTGTTGACAATGCCCTTGGTCTTGATCTTTCCGGAGTCCAGGTACTCAATGGTGGCAGGGAACATGAACGTCTCGCTGAACGAACCAAGGATGCGAATCTCATCGCCGAAGATCTTGGCTGGTGGCCAGGACACACGGGCCGAGCTGGCATACACTCCATAAACGACGAGGGTGCCGCCGCGGCGGACGTAGTTGATTGCATCCTCGAGCAGCTTAACCGAGCCGGTGGCCTCGACGACAACGTCGAAGCCGTACGGGTTGTTCTTCTTGAGCGCGTCGAACTGGGCTGAAGGGTCTGTGCGGGAAAGCTCGACGTAGTGGTCGGCAGCGTCGAGGCTCTTGGCGAGGTTCATCTTCAGGCCACCGGGGGCGGCAATAGTGACGGAGCAGCCCCCGTTCTGCCTCAGCAGCTGTGCAAGCATGAGGCCGGTGGGGCCGGCGCCGAACATGAGGACAGACGATCCCAGGCGGGGCCGGATCTTGTCGAGACCGTGGCAGGCACATGAGGCAGGCTCGATCAGGGTTGCCTCCACGTCGGTCATGTTGTGGAACTTGAAGATTTGATGTTGAGGGTACGCGCAGTACTCCGCGAAGCCGCCCGGCAGGGTCGTTCCGTGGCCTGACCACTGTGATAAACTGTCAGTGATCAAGATACCAGGACCGAATTGTGGTTAGGTCCCTCTTACGTTCTCACAGAGCAGTGGCTCGCCGCGCTGGCAGTAGAAGCAGTGGCCACAGAGCTCAGAGTTGTCCGCCGCTACGCGGTCGCCGATCTGGAACTTCTTGACATTCTTCACGGTTTTCGTAAGTATGTACTTGGCTTCCCTGAGTTTGGGTCTTGGTAGGCACTCACCTTGCCCACTGCAGCAATAACACCGACGGTCTCGTGGCCAGGGATGAGAGGGAACTTGGCGATGAACTCGCCCTCGTGGATGTGCTACTCAAGCTTAGTTCGACAGCTTCAAGAGGCTACCTCGGAGTTTATGCTGGTGGATGAAGCCACATCAGCAAGAAGGGGAACTCGACAGGTTCTTACCAAGTCCGTTCCGCACACACCACAAGCCTTCACCTTCACGAGAACGTCATCGTCTCGAAGCTCGGGAAGAGGAATCTCCACAATAGAGAAGTTCTCAGGCTTTGAGTACCTGACGCAGTTTGGTCAGCATGAAACTGGGGCTGTCAAGGTCGCTATCGGAGATCGATGCTAGCTTGCATCTCCGACCGAGTCCCGAGAGCCCTCAAGCTACTTATACACTTCTTCAACCGCAAACTGTAATATAAAAAAAGGGGGGGGGGGGCAAACGCACTGCAAAGCCTTCATGGTCTTCGGGAGGTTCGCCATCTTGACTGCTAGACTGGAGATGAGCTTCTTTGAAGTGTGGGTAAACCCAAGAGGTGCTAACTAGAGGCCGGAGTGTGATAGATATAATTCCACGAGCGGTTGAGGCAGGATGAGAAAAGGAAGGAAGGAAGACAGAATCAACAAATTGGACGGCCTCAACACGAGAAAAATATCTACAGTCTCATTCTTGATCCAGCCCCCCCCCCCCAGGTCCTTCCTCCTCCTCATAGCTCCTCACAGCTTGCCCCCATGCGAGCGGGATCCCGCCTGACCGCCCATTCCCGAGCATAATGCCTCCTCCGAAGCAACGAAAAAGTGTCGATGAGACTCTGCCCAGAGCGATCGCCTCACAAGAAAGGCGGGGTTGAATTTGACAGCTGCCCCTCGCTCGAACTATCCATCGCGGTAATTTGCGGGGCCACAGGGGGCCGGATCGTCGTCACGCTGCAGCATTCCAGGCTCCAGGTGGACTGTCGCCCCACCCTGGAGGGCTGTAAGCCCGGGCGCGCCCCCAAAGGCACGCCCAGGGTCAGCCCTGGTCTGGATTGAGTTTCTGCATTTCACGACCCCCCTCATGATGATCAGGCGTTCGCTCGACAGATGTTCGGGTGTTGGGGCGTTGTTGAGATGTAGAGGCTGTCAGATATGTGCTGTGCAGGCACTATTGGCCTGGGCCGGTGAGGCTTTTGAGACAAATCCGGAAATCGCCGGTCAAAGCCCGCACCGTGAGGCCCGTCCGAGGTGTCACGAACCCGGGGAGGTGGGCCGCGTGCAACAAACATACCACCCGGGTTGCTGAACAGAATACCTAGGTGGCGTGGGCGGTTCCTCTCTGGTCGCCTTCGTGTTAGAAACTCGCAAGCCGAGAAGCTAGGTCTCTGCTACCACATGAGTTCTCCAATTCTGGATTCAGGCCCGTGAGGTCGAAGCTTGGGATTGCTCTGGCCTAGGTTCTTGACCAGCCCGGAAGCTACACAAAGCTGAAGCTGCGAGAATTTGCCCAGAACCCACAATGGGAATGGGACATCTCAGCGCAGATCTTGGCATCCTTGCCAGCGGATCAGCTCATTCTACATGTTCGTTGTGTTTGCTCCAAGGCCAGCCCGCCCGGATTACATGATCACAGCTTCTTACCCCGTAAGTGTTAGAACAAGATCCCCACGGGGAACTGTATATCACGCGGTCGGTGCCAAGTGGTCTGATAGACTGAAGTTGAACACCTTGAGCTTTCTGTCCGGCCCGAAATGGTCAATTGTCGCAGTGTTCCAAAGTACAGTTGGGTCGAATTTGGGCGATGATCAACGAGGCAATGGAGAATTACTGCTCTTCTCTCAAAAACCAGCACGGCAGGCTTCCTGTCGGCAAGCGTCTCACTCTCAATGGATCCACGGGCAGATTGGCGAAAATTAAGTTATTCAACTTTGGAGAGGACACATGCATGTCTTCTACCCCTGCGTAGCAACTGCGCCCAACCACCTCCGTAGGTTGTGTTTTCCGGATCCTGCTTGACCGTCGGCATCCGCAGTGCGGACATTGGTCGTCCACCCGAGTTGGAATCACGGGAACTTCCAGATGAGAGGCAATTGTGTTTCTGAACGTCGTGACCTTTTGATTCGTCCGTCACAGCATATCGCACCCGAAACCCAGTCGTGGTAGATGAATCCCTTGATGCTATGTTTTCCGAGGAGATCTAACCTCCTAACTCCAAAAGCAAACAGACTGCACGTCCACCCATCTGCGGGCCGACGTGGCATTGATTCATTTTCGGCCCTTATGTCCTTGTCCATAGAGAAACACCGGGGGCCGAGCGTCCATGCAAACTCCTTTCCCGGGGAACCGGGTCGACTTAAGATGGGGGAGCGGCACCGCGGCCACGGCCGAAACCACCACGGCTAGAATTAAGTTAGTAATTTGGTCCCTGCACATCGTTCGTTCGTCGGGCTCGGGGTGTTCTCACAATTGAGGGTTGAACTCGCCGGGGGCACCACCCTCCTTGCCCTCACCAGCGTCACGTCGTCGGTATCCACCCTCACGGTCACCACGATCGCCACCACGGCCACGGCCACCGAAGGGTCGGCGGCGCTCCTCGTCACCGAGCATGCCACGGGGAGGGGCGTGCGATCGCTGCTGCTTGATGTGGGTGGCGGGGACGATCTCGGCGGGGAGGTGGAGCCACTCGCGGAGGTAGTCGAGACCCTCGGGGGTGAGGGTGTAGTAGTCTAAAGCGAAAAGAACTACGGTCAGTTCCGTATTCTCATTGCACCTCGTCGCGACCCCAAAACATCAAATGCTCGCTCAGTCGGGGTCACCCACAGTACTGCCAAGAGAACTGAGTCTTGACCAGGCCACGGCTGTTCAGGGACTGCATGGCCTTGATGACGTAGAGGTTCTTGACGGGGATCTCGGGGTGCTGCTCGAGGTTGAAGCTGTACAAGACGTATCGTCAGTCCGGGTCCTGTGGTATTCGAGGTTTCCATGTGATGATCCTTACTCCTTCGCGGCCACGAGGACTCCCTCACGGAAGAGGGCCTATCGTGTTAAAAAGTCAGCCATGAATTCTTTCCCAACGCGGCTGAATGTAGTATGGCAATGGCGGTGTCTTTTCGAATTCTCGGTGTCATTGCAATCATCGCAAAAAGTTGGCGTGGCAGTGTGGACCAAGTTTTCGATATCGTTTCGTTGTTTGAATTGCGGATCGCGGAATCGGTCTTCGTTGTTGAGGATTTGGGATGTCGTCTTACCTCGTGGATCGCCTTGCGGTCGGCCTTGGGAATAAGCATGATTGCGATTTATCTGCCGACGACGTGGGTGATGTGTTTGGGTCGGAGGATCGAGACTCAAGGCGAGGTGGGCAGTCGTTGTCGCGATGGGCGGGAATGATTTCTCTGGACGGGTATGGGATGCCAGGTCCCCAGTTGTGCGGCCCTTTTCGAGCAAGTCCCCACTTATTTTTTCGGCAGCGGGACGGCGCTACAAAACTCCGTACTGTTGGAAATTTGGAGACGGAGGGGGGTTGCGACAAGGCTGCTTAGGTAGGCTGCTAGGTGGCTGAATCCGGTTTGGCTCGTGACCCATCAATCAGTCCTCTTGACGCTGGCGCTAGGCAGGCAACCTAATCGCCTAGTCCTCTCTCTACGTACTCACTTCGCGCCGTCATGCGACTGAACATTCAGATCGACGACAACTTTCCACTCAATCTGGTGTCCAACACTCAACACTAATCAAAGCGTGCTCTGCTCGACAACATCCAAAATCGCCCACACTCATTACGCGCACACCTGATAGTACCGAAACCCGCATAGCACATCATGGCTTCCAGTCATATCAATGTGCTCATCACAAGCTTCAGTGGTCTCGGCCTGCCGAAGACGCTGTGCTTGCCTCTGCCACCCTCGGCATCCGCCCGTGACCTGTGGAGCGAGTTGGACGGTCGCATCTCACAGGACCTAGATGACGAAACCTTTGGCTCCCTGGTGCTCACTACGAATGCGAATGTCGGCATTCCTCACCTCGCCCGCCTTCCCATCTCCGCTTTCGCCACACCAGAAGATGACCTTCTTCCCCTCCGTCTCTCATATCCCACCCTCGGCGGAAAGGGTGGCTTCGGCTCGCAACTCCGTGCCGCTGGAGGGCGCATGTCTTCCAAGCGCAAGAAGAACCGGGGTGACGAAAACGGCTCGAGCAGGAACCTCGACGGTCGGAGGCTGCGCACGGTGACAGAGGCGAAGGCGCTGGCTGAGTTCCTCGCCATCAAGCCGGAGATGGAGCAGAAGGAGAAGGAAAAGCGAAGAGAGCGGTGGACAGCCATTGTCGAGGCTGCTGAGCGGCGCGAGGAGGAGATCAAGAACGGCAACAAGGGCCGGCTGGACGGCAAGTGGGTCGAGGACAAGGAGGAGGCCGGCGAGCGGACACGAGATGCTGTCCTCGCTGCTATGAAGTCAGGAAGCTACAAGGACAATCTCCTTGGAACATCGGAAGGATCCTCATCGGCCTCGGCTGAGGCGATGGAGGAAGATTCGGACGACGAGGAGGCAGATGCAGGAGAGGGAAGCTCGGGAGCGACGACACCAGTCTCGGAAAAGGGCAAGGGCAAGGAGCCCGCGAATCCAAAGGGCAGCGCCAAACCCAGGTCGTTCTTTGGTTTCGAGGAAGATGATGAGTTCATGAGTTCTGATGAGGAGGGTGAGGGCGTGGCTGGAAAGAAATAATTGCTACCTTCCAACAACCTGTCGCTGAATTTAATAGCATGGCCAAGGCATTGGACGGCAAATAGCTGGCGTTTGAGGGGATTTTCATACCACTGGCAAAATGAGGAAGAGCGGCGTTCTTGGTTGGAATTACAAAACATTAATGGAGAGCCCCGAGGGGTCCCTTCTGCGCAGCGTCTTTGTTGTTGCAAGAAAATTGAAGCTATTTTAATCCTGTACACACCCCGACAAACATAATGACTGTCTGTGTTAACAATGGCATCTCTCTGGCTCGACTTAATTCCCCCGAGAACTACTCTAAGCTGTGCTCCTGACGTTGGTTTCCCACGTTTTCTACAGACCCCGGCGTTTTGGGAGTACCAGCCTGGCGAACAGCAAGAACACTGAGTATGGCAGTCAAGACATATACAGTACAATCCGTGTGGAAATCAGCCGGTCAACCATGGAATCACAGTCTGGTCTGCTGGTGGCTGTAATCGAGGCCGGAGTGTTGCTAATATGCTAGCCCCGACAGCATCGATACACCACCCTGGTGCAAACATTACAATGGTCCAAGACCAAGAGAAGTAAATTGAAACAAACAATGTCTCCCAAGAGTGCTGCATTACCACAGCCTTAGCCTTTCCACTTGCTTGCGTTCAACATGGTACCAATTTGACCGCAATGAATCTTCATACAGCAAGAACCAGCTCATAAGCAATGCACAAGAACGGCATGGGTCATTCAGACGGTGAGTACTTAATGACGTAGACAATTGTCCGTCCTTCAGCAGTGCATCTGACATCTTTCATCGGGACCCGTGCAACGTGAGTGAATGTTCATTTGTGAACGCCTAGTATGGTCAGAGGGGATTTCGTCCCTATGAACATCGTCTAGTAGAACAGTCGCCGCCGCCATTTCGAGAGATCCCCCTTGTCTATCGTGTCGTGTGATCCGCCATGTATCCATTTCCCTTACTCCAAGCGCGCAGGGAAGTTTCCGGCCTCTTGAAAAGTTGTCAGCATGTGCCCTGACAATAATCAACGCAGGACCTATCATACCTCTCTGCTCATCCCATCGCTGGTACCATCCGCTGGGGCACAGGGATCGGTAGGCCAGCCAGAACTGACGGCAAGGAGCAAAGTCCTCACCCTTGGCGAGGATGCACTTGTGGTAGTCGACGTAGTTCTGCCAGCAGTGCTTGGTCTGGTTCATGTTGGGGAAACGGGCGTCGACACCTGTATGAAGGGGAACTCGTGTTAGGTCATGTCCATCCAGTCCACGCCGGCATGTGACAGTCGCATCGTCGCGGCGTGCATTCGTGGGGTTCAAAGGTTATATCATACCAGCTGGTGTCCACTGTTAGCCTTGCGGGAGAAAATCATACGATGGACATTGACGGGAGAGGGGCGGTTGACATACCAGTGACGAACTTGAAGGGCTTGGTCTCGCGATCGCTGTCCGACATTTTGGCTTTCGTGTATTCTGCGACTGGGTGCGAAAGGGTTTGGGGTGCTCAATGGCTGTCGGAGGATGGATTGGGAGTTCTTCGTGGGCGAGTGATGGAGCTGCGCGGTTCACCGGAACTGTGTCGATGATGATTGGGAAGTTGGCCGGCTCGGGTCAGTTACCTAAGCAAGGCCGCTCGGCAGGCTTGCAAATTGAGTGATTTGACTGGCCGGGTGGAGCTCCAACCTGGGGAAGAAGCAACCGGCTCTGCTTCTGACGGAATTCAACAAGCATCAAAACTGGCCCTTTGACCGAACCGATCCACGAAGCTCCAGCATCCATTCCACGGACCGTACCCATCCAGGTCAATCTCCACTCAACCTTCTAGCCAACATGTATGCCACAAGAGCCATGCGATCTGCCTTCCAGCCCACGCGCCGCTTGATGCGCCCGGTGCCCGTAAGTTGCTCCTCTCCAGCCGTACATGTGGCGTGACATCAGTGGCCTAATCAGCTAATGTGATAATAGAACGAGGAGCAGGCTGGTACGTGATGACTCGAGCGCCGCGAGGCTGTCGCACCGCGTCGACAATGCGCACCTCCGCGGCCTCTCAGCCGAGGACAAGGCTAACACAACCGATCATTCACAGCTCACACCGTCTCGCAACGCCTCCGACGACTCCGCAAGATCCCCGCTGAGTTGATCCCTCTCGGTTCGTCATGATCATTGATTATTGAGGCAGCATTACAAAGGCTCACATATGTCCAGGTGTTGTCGTTGGCTTCGCCGTCATCGCTGCCGGTTACTCGATCACTCGCCACTTGTTCGTCGACAAGACCATCCGCCTCAAGCGCCAGAACCGAGCTGCGGATGCCGCTGCCGAGCAGCACCACTAGAGCGTCGTTGCGATCAGGAAAATCGGCGGGGGCAAAGCATGGTTGGCCGGGCAGACTGTACATTGGCGAGACATAGAGGTGACCAACATCACCAGAACACCCCAGTATTCCGGCTCTGAAACAGCAATATCATTTTGATGCAAAGACCATTTTCAGTACCCATTTCCCATGTTTCCGAACGCCTTCGCAGTGCAGTTATTGTACATTTGGGTATCTTCATGCCTTCCGCTATCCACCTAGGCCGGGCGAGGACCAGCGACGTCCAAACCCTCAAGGCCCTGCATTGGATCCTCAGCTCTCGTTTCTCCAGAGCCTTGGGCTTGCTCTGCTGCCAGCCTATCTTCCTCGCTGACGGCATGTTTTGCAAGCCAGCTCTCCTGTTGAAGTGGTGATGGTCAGCCGCGTAATCAATGAGGTCAAGGTGATGGGAAGGACAACGGACCTGCTCCCAGACTGCCTTTTTGCTCCCCAAGCCCTCGTCAGCGCTCTTGGGTATTTTGGCTGCCGTGACTTTGATAACTCGCCCAAAGAACTCGGACTGATCCATGTTGTCTATTGCCTCCTTTGCGTCGTCTGCATTCTCAAACTCGACGTAGGCGAAGCCGCGATGTGGTTCAGTTGCGCTCGAGTTTGGGTTTTCGTTCTTGGGAAGGGTGACGTCTGCGATGTCGCCGAAGGGTAGGAATGCGTCATGAAGTGTCGCGACTGTGGCTAATGTCGCAAGGCCGCTGACATGGACCGTGGCCTTCCAACGCGCTGTATCCGTCATGTTGAGAGCGGTGTGCTTCTTGCAAGTTCCAGGTCCGGCCGCAAGGCTGGTTCAGGTACGAGCTGTCTAATCCTTGTCTTTTTCCCTGGCGGTCAGGACCCGTATGAAAGTGCCTCCTCCAAAGCAGCACGAATTTATGAGGCGAGAGTTGTAGCGTTGATGTTCCGGCGAGGTTACAAGACTGGGTGGGAAATTGAGGGCTTGAAAGCAGAGGTTATCACGAAGAAACTGCAGACGCCGCATCTAAAGTGCTAGCCTAGGTACATTGCCGCGACCAGAATTTGTACGACAGCTACGTAAGACCTTGGAATGTTTAGAGGGGCACACAGTTCCGAGTGGGCCAATCAGTAGCCGCTCTGTGCCAGCCAGGCCCCCTGTGAGTGCGCCCGCCCAGCGCGATCTGGCCTAACGATTGGTATCAGTGTTAGAGTGGCCTTTATTACGCCCGATGCAACAACCTCCCCCAAGGACACATGCCGATGCTACAACAATAAATCTCTGGCAGACTCTCTTCTGCACCCTCCATTGGCACACCGTCAAACAGTACACACCATCATCTAATGCCCGCCCAGTAGTCTGGCTGAAAGATCAACAGACACCACATTGCGCCTCTGTGAAGAGGCCGCGGTCCCCCGAGTGTAGCGCCTTCTGGCCTCCTTGCCTTCTTCGAATTATCCATTCCTACAAACATGGTACGACTTAGAGAAATCCCTCGCACGGCAGCCCTGGCCTGGTCCTCCGGGCCTGCCAAACCGCTTCTTGTCACCGGCACTCGTGCTGGAGCCGTCGACGATAGCTTCTCCGACGAGGTCAAGCTTGAGCTGTGGGACCTGAACCTGGACGATCAGGCGCAGGGACTCGAGCTACAGCCCATTGCTAGCATCGCCGCAGATTCAAAGTATGTTTTAACCCACAGTTCGTTTGCCCGCAGCAGCTGACCTGATAATGCTAGATTCCACGACCTGGCCTGGGGCCCACCAGACGACACGCACCCTCGAGGCATCATCGCTGGGGGACTTGAGAATGGGTCATTGCATCTTTGGGATGCCGAGAAGCTAATGTCCGGAGCATCAGATGCCGAAATAGCACATACCTCGAAGCACAGCGGCGCGATCAAGTCCCTCCAATTCAACCCGCTGAAGCCCCAAATCATAGCTACCGCGGGCGACAAGGGCGAGCTATGGATTCACGACGTCAACGATATTGAGAACCCGCTGCGCCTTGGGAATGCTGCGGCCCGGTCGGACGATATCGAGTGTGTGGCATGGAACAGAAAAGTCTCACATATTCTGGCAACCGGGGGCTCTGGAGGCTTCGTCACCGTGTGGGACTTGAAGACCAAGAAGGCGTCCCTGACGCTCAACAACAACCGCAAGCGAGTGAGCGCCATAGCATGGGACCCGCAGAACTCGACCAAGCTCCTGACGGCGACCCCTGACGACAGTGCGCCCGTCATTCTCCTCTGGGATCTGAGGAACTCCAATGCGCCAGAGCGGACGTTGCAGGGACATGAGCAGGGAGTGCTGTCTCTGTCGTGGTGTGAACAAGACAGCGATCTGTTGATTTCCTCTGGCAAGGACAACCGAACCGTTGTTTGGAACCCCCAGACTGGTGAGCGCTACGGAGAATTTCCAGAAGTTACGAACTGGACCTTTTTGACTCGGTTCAACCCTCATAACCCCTCGCTGTCGGCTACAGCGTCCTTTGACGGCAAGATTGCCATCCAAACACTTCAGAACACCAATGCTTCGACCGCGCAGACTGCCGCACAAGACAATCTCGACGGCGAGGATTTCTTCACCAGCGCGCAAACACAGCCTCAGGGGTCATCGTTCTCCCTTCCCAAGGCTCCAGTGTGGATGCAGAGACCAATCGGCGCTTCGTTTGGTTTCGGCGGCAAGGTCGTCGTTTTCAGGAAGAATACCGTTGCGAGTGGTCACCCTCGCTCATCAAAGATTTCGATCTCCCAGTTTTCCGTGGATTCCGAAGTTTCCGCCCAGGCCGAGAAGTTTGAGACCGCGGTCCAGAGCGGGGATCTCAAGCAGATCTGTCAGTCGCACTTGGAGCAGGCCAAGACCGATGATGAGAAGGCCGACTGGCTTGTCATGGACACGCTCGTTGCGGAAGATCCTCGTCAGCAAGTCATAAGCCACCTGGGCTTTTCGAAGGACGACCAAGTGACCAATGGCGACGAAGAGAAGGAGACACTGGAGGGTGAGGAAGCAGAAGCACCCAAAGAGAATGGCATCAAGAAGTCCTCGCACAAGAGGATGACGAGCATCTTCGATGGCGCGGATGGCGATGACTTCCTGTCGGGCTTGGCCGCCAACAAGGGCGCCAAGACAGAGGACCCATTCCATCTCCTTAGCGAAGGCAATACTGCCCTGGAGGATCAGGTCACCAAGGCTCTCATGCTCGGCAACTTTGCCAAAGCTGCGGACACCTGTCTGAAGGAAGACCGCATCGCAGATGCTTTCATCATCGCCAACTGTGGTGGAAAGGAGCTCGTGGATAAAGTGCAGGCAGCTTACCTCTCCAACAGGAAGGGTAGCCCCAGCTATCTTCGTCTCCTGAGCTCGGTCATTGCTGGCAACCTCTGGGATGTTGTATACAATGCGGATCTGGCCAACTGGAAGGAGACCATGGCCACGCTGTGCACCTTTGCACAGCCAAACGAGTTTCCCGACCTCTGCGAGGCGCTCGGCGACCGTATTCTTGAATCAGGCTCGCGTAAAGACGCCTCTTTCTGCTACCTGGTCGGCTCAAAACTGGAGAAGGTTGTTTCCATCTGGATCGAAGAGCTCTCGGAGACTGAACAGGCCGAGATGAAGGAGCCTAGCGAGGACTCAACTTTCTCGGTGCATGCCAGATCTCTACAGCAGTTCATTGAGAAGGTCACGATCTTCAGGCAGGTGACCAAGTTCCAGGACTCCGAGACTGGTCTCTCCTCGGACTGGAAGCTATCGGCGTTATACGACAAGTATGTCGAGTATGCAGACATCGTTGCGGCCCACGGCCTCCTGCCTGTGGCTCAGAAGTATCTTGATCTTTTGCCGGCAAGCTACTCTGCAGCAGAAGTTGCCAGGAACCGCGTCAGACTGGCAACTCAGAAGAGCACTGCCCAGACAGCTGCTCGCCAACCAGCGACAGCGTCACGGACAGCTTCTCGGGCCCAGCCTTCTCGGGCACAGCCTGTCGGCTATCAGCCTCCACAGCCTGCCGCCCCGACTGCTGCGAACCCGTATGCTCCGCCCGTACCGGTTCAGAGTCCATCTGCAAACCCGTACGCCCCGCCGGCACCAGTCCAGACGCCATCTGCGAACCCATATGCTCCGCCTTCGACGATACCCGCTGCGAATCCCTATGCGCCGCCTGGAGTTGCTCCAGCGGCCAACCCGTACGCGCCGTCTCCATCCGCGACCTTTGGTCAACCTCAGCAAGGCTACGGGGCGTTTGGGCAACCGCCGATAGCACCACCGCCTATGGCTGGCCCGCCGAGAGCGGGGACACCGGGCTCCAACCCGCCTCTTCTTCGGGCCAAGGACGTGGGTGACTGGAACGATGTGCCGATGGTCACGAAAGTGCCGCCCCGGAAGTCCACACCGCGAACGGCTCCCATCACAGCGCCATTCCCTGGCCAGCCGGGCTCTGGGGTGCCACCACCGCCTCAAAGCCCTTATGGGGCTCCACCTCGTGCCACGCCGACACCTCCTCCTCCGCCACCGAAGGCAGGCCAGGCTGGCCCTCCCCGTGTGACCTCACCCTTGGCAGGACCTCCGCAGGCGCGACCGCCGCCCACGGCCTCGAATGCGTATGCCCCTGCACCAGGCGGAGCCGCGCCACGGACTGCTTCTCCATACGGCGCACCCCCAGCTGGGCCACCGCAGTCAAGTCGATATGCTCCGGCACCAGCTGCCCAGCAATTTTCTCAGCCGCCAGCTGCATCGATGCCTCCTCCTGCTGCTGCCAGCCGGCCGCCACCAGCCAACCCCTATGCAGCGCCCCCGGCCGGGCCAGGCCAGTTCGCGCCGTCACCGTACGCCCCGGCTGCCACACCAACAGGCCAGACGCCCGTGGCGCCGCCACCATCATCATTCGGCCCTCCGCCAACTGCTCAATCAGCCGCGACGCCGCCGCCGCCAAGGTCCGCGCCGTCGCCGGCTGCTGCCCCTCCCAAGGCCAGGCACCCGGCTGGTGACCGTTCACACATCCCAGCCAGTGCCCAAAACATGGTTGATGTCCTCAGCCGCGACATGCAAAGAGTGGCATCGAAGGCGCCGCAGAACTTTGCTCCTCAAGTGAAGGACACCCAGAAGCGGCTGAACCTGCTGTTCGACCATTTGAACAACGAGGAGCTGGTCAAGCCGGACACGATCGCACAGCTCTCCCAGCTGGCTAATGCACTCGAGTCCAAGGACTACGGCCAGGCTCATCAAATCCAGGTGAACATTCATGAGAACAAGACGGAGGAGTGTGGTAATTGGATGGTAAGTTTACATACACGCAATTCGCATGATGACTGGGTCGGTGCGCTAACTACGTTGCAGGTCGGAATCAAGAGGCTGATCAGTATGAGCAAGGCCACACCCTGAAGAGAGAGGGCATTGGTAATATGAGTTGGGCCATAGTCAGGCGGGAAAAGTAGAATAGCCTAGAAAAGAATTGAAGAGACATTAGTATTTCGCCAGGTAACACTCTGTAGTGGCCGTCTTGAGAACTTACCACTGGGCATGCTGATAGAAATGCACCTGTGGCTTTGAACAACTTGTAAAATATCTAACGTTAGATCCGCTCGTTGCGATGGACAAATACAACTGTGAATTCTGAAGTTGCTCGTCCCACATAGGTTCAGTGACCTACGTGGGACCAAGCAGAGGCCACTCAGCTCTGATAAGATAAGCTTTGTTGGCTCGGCTTCCAAAAAGCTCCAGCCCAACGGTCACGTCAGTCCTTCGTCCCACGGCCCAAGCTTTGTCCCTGAACACGCAGACCACACGAACTGGTGGACCAGCATCACCACATCTCCTGAGAAATGACCGAGACAGCAGGACCGAGCCCTGATGAGGCTGCGGCCGCTGCGCGAGCAGCTGAGCAGGCCCGCTTGCGCAAGGAACGCCGCGAGGCAAAGATCAAGGCCGGCGGCAACGCTCGCTTGAACAGGATCACCGGGCTGGGAGGAGGTGTTCAGAGGGGTTCGTCTCTCTGCCAACCCCGTAAAATTCACTCAATCCTGGCTGACATGCCCGACCACAGACCCAATACCAAGCAATCCCCAATCGGCAGCGTCCTCGCCAGCCCCTGCCGCGGCAGCCAAACCAGCGACCGGCGAGGACCAACAACACGGCGACCCGGACGAGGTCGACATATCTGAGCACTACTACGAGCCGCAGAAGACGAACCGGATTCCCTCCCCGTCGCCTGCCGGCAGGGGCAGCGGCGGCCCGAACAGCAACGTGTCGGAGGACCAGCTGCGCCAGATGATGCTCGGCTTCGACCGCCCGGCCACCCCCGGCGCCAACGGCACCGGTCCCGCAAACCCTTTAGATCCGGCGGCCATGTTCGGCGGAGCGAACGGCGAGGAGGATCCCATGATGAAGATGCTGTCGCAGATGCTCGGTGGGGCCGGCGGGATGCCGCCCGGTGTGGGACAGGGCGGCGGCCCGGGCGGCCCCGGCAGCAACCCCTTTGCAGGTGGCAACCCCTTCGCGGGAGGCATGCAGCCGCAGCAGCAGCATCAAGCCGCGGCATTCGACCCCTACTCCGCCTTCTGGCGCTTGGTGCACTTCCTCCTCGCGGCCGGGCTGGGGCTGTACATCGCAACGGTGGCGGGCTTCACGGGCACCAAGATCGAGAGGGAGAGGGGCGCGTTCGCCGCCAGCACCGGCCGCTCTGCCGACGACGACGGGCGCAGGTACTTCTTCTGGACGTTCGCCACCGCCGAGACGATCCTGCTCACGAGCCGGCTCCTCCTGGACCAGGGGCGAGCGCCGCCCCCGGGGATCTTGTGGACTATCTTGGGCTTCATACCGGATGGCAGGATGAAGGGGCTGGTGACTACGGGGCTCAAGTACTCTCGGATCTTCACCACTCTCCGCTCGGATATACTTGTCTGTGTCTTTGTGCTTGGTGTGACTTCTTGGCTGAACTCTTGAGCTGGATATCGCGAGCCCTCGACTTGATTAGGGACTGTTGAGCCCTCACTATCCCACAAAAGACTGAAGACATAATTAATACATATCTGAGCCCTAGGCAGGAATTGCCTCTTGCGCCTTCTCTGTGCTGCGTGATTGATTGTCCCAAGCTCAACACGGCGGGCTCCAATCCCAGAATTGCAGCAACCCGCAAGCATGAAGATCTGATGGATTTCACATGGACTTCCTCTGCTCTGTACTTGATCACATTCATCATGACCTTCGAACGAAATTGACCGAGCCGAGGTTTTTGCAGGTCGTTCGCCCACAGCTCGAACGTTTTGCGGGAAGTTGTACTTGCTAAGACGTAATCAATATGATTTGAATTCTTATAACTGGATAATCTTCGAGGGGCATTGAGTTACGGCTTTGGCAATGTTTCGACTTCCGGATCCGAGATTCAGAAAGAGCAGCCCAATTGTGAGGTTCTGGATTAGTCCAGCAATGCTCCCAAACTTGCTTCTTTGGAGGGTTGTGTTCAAATTCTCTAATTGTGAATGAGCAGGAATATTCCTAGCCTACATCTTAGTTCAGGGAATCTGACATGAAACTTTCGCATGTTGCTTCTGAGAACTTCAAGTTTCAAGTGAGCAAACTCCTATTGCTGAATTGAGTTGTAATTATTGGAAGGTGCGAGGGTCGTATGCCCATACGCTAGCGCTAGCCTATAAATAGGCTCCTTCTAAGCGTTTAATAGCGAGGAAATTTCTCTCCTTAATAATAATAATTAACTATTATTTGCTTTATTGCTTTATTAAGTTATAAGCTTAGCATTGCTTAAAATATCTTAAAACATTAAGAAATATTAATACCCTTATTTTTATAATTATTTTCATACCTAAATTATTAAGATTCCAACATTACTAGCCTTTATCCATATATTATTATTATACCTTATAATAACTATTATGGTTAATAATAACTTATAATAATCCAATACTTTTACCCTATTTAATATTTTAATTACTTACTCCTTTTTTATTTATTTTATTTATATTAATTAATATTAATTACTATAAATAAATAAATATATAAATATTATTTAAAATATGCTTAAAAATATATAAACTTTATTTAAAAAATATTAAATAACTTAACTTTAAGCTTAACTTATTATCTTTTTTAAAGTTAAACTTAAAAGGAAAGAACTTTTTAAATTAAAGGGTAATATAAAATTATAGCTTTTAATTTGCTAGCCTTAGTAAATATATTATAAGCATTAAGAAATAATTAAAAGAAAGTATAACCCTTATAAAATAAAAAAAGCTTAATAATTAAGTCTTTATTATGCTTTTAAGCTTAATATATTTAAGCCTTATAATATTTATTATATTATATAAAAAATCTTTTAATGCTTAAAAAATATTAGCTAATTAATTTAATTATAATATTAGCAACTTAATTATATACCTCTTTTATTAATTAATAAACTTATAATATAAAAATAGCTTTAACTTATAAAGCTATTTAAATACCTTTTAAAACCTTTAAATAAAACTTTATATTAAAACTTTAATATTAAAGCAATTAATTAAAAGGTTAATAAAGTTACTTTTTAAAAGCAATAAGGTTAAAAGCTTTTTTTTCTTAATAATATTGCTAAATATTATAAATAATATTATTAATAACTTAAGCAGCTAAAACTTTATAATATTTTTTAAAATTAAACTTAAGATAATAAATATTATTTTTATATAAAAATTAAATAATTTAAAGCTTATTTTATCTTTATTTAAAAAAGGTTAATATTAAAGGGTATGAAAAAGGTTATAAAGTTTATATTAATAAGTATTAACTTTATATTAAATAATAAAGAATGCACTTAATATTATATATAAAACTTTATATTTATTAATTATTTATATATTAATTATATAAAGCTTATTAAATATAAAGCTAATTAAGAATAAAAAAAAAGCAAGAAATAAGTTATTATAAATTAAATTATAAATAAAGAAGTTATTAAAATTTTTAATAATAATAAGGAAAATATAATAACGCTATATATTAATATTTTAATATATATAATAAAGCTATTAATAATTATAAGTACTTTAATATTATAAATTTTTAATTTTAATGCTTTAAAGTATATAATAAGATATATGGAAAACTTTAGCTTTTTATAATTATATTTAAGTATAATTATTATTATAAGCAGTAATTAACTTATTATAAAAAGCATTAGCTTTATAAAAATCTTTTTATAATTACTAAATAAATTAATTATTAAAAGCATTTTTATTAACATTTTATATAATTATATATTAAGAAATATTTATTTATTTAGCTAAATTATAATTTAAAAAAGGTTTTAATTAAATATATAAGGAAATAATATCTTCTTATTGCCAAAAGATAATAAATCTTATAAGATATTATAAGTAAAATTTTAATATAGAAATTTTAAAATTTAAATAGCAAAAAATAACTTTATAATATTTATAATATATAATAAATTTTATAAAGCTTTTAGCTATAGCAATTTATTAAAACTAACTACTTAATATTTATATAAAAATAAAAACGTTATGCTAAATAAATTAATAAATTTTCATTATAAATTATATTAATTTATAAAGTTTATTAAAAAACGCTTATATTTATTATTAAAATAATAATTTATATAATTATTTAAGTATATTTAATTTAATTTATTAAGTAAATTCTTAATAACATTATTAAAAAATTTTTAATACTTTATTTTATTTATTAATAACTATATTTAATTTTATTAAGTTTACTTTATTACTTAAAAGGATAATATTTTAAATATTATTAAGGAGTTTTTAAACTTAGTTAAAACTTAATTTAATATAAAAATTAAAATATTTAATTTAAATAATAAAGGTAAATATATAAATAAAATAACTATTATAATATTTTAAAAATATAAAATTATTTATAAAAAATTACCTTTTTATTATTATAAGTTAAATAATATGCTTAAAAGGTTTATATATATTATTATTATTAATGCTTATATAATAATTTATAATAAAAACTATTTATTTTTATAGCTTAAAGCAATTTCTTATATAATATATTTGTAAAATTAAAAACTATACTTAACTTTATTATGTTAAATAATGTTATTTAAGGCGCTTTATAAATAAAAGCCTAATATTAAATATTTTTAATTATACTTTTGCCTTATATATCTTTATATACTTATTAAAGCTTATAAATTAAAAATAAAATTATTAAATAAAGTTAAAAAGGCATACTTTATAAGATTTAAGGCTAAAGGTAAAATTATTTTTTATTTATTTATATTACTTTAAAAAGTTATTATAATTATAATATTAAGCTATATTACTTAATTTAATTTAATAATAAAGATTATATAAATAATTAGCTAGTTAAATAAAAATATGCTATTTAAGATAAAGATATTATTAATATTTTAATTAATAAAACTTATTAATAATATAAAATTTATAAATAAACTTATAAATAAATTACTTAAACTTATAAAACTTATTAATAAATTATTTAAACCTATAAAACTTATATAATTATATAATTTTAAGGGTAATAAATTTAGCCTTTATAAAAAGCAAAAGAAAATATAAATATTATTATAAAATATTTTAAAGATTTTAATAACTTAATATTAATTAATGCAAACCTTATATTAAATCTTGCTTAATTAATATTAATTAATGCTAACTACCTTAATTAAATCTTTACTTAAGCATTGCTTATTAATATAATAAATATTAATAATATCCTTAATATATATATATAAGCTATAAAAAGTAATGAAAGAAATGCTTAGCAATAAGCTATTAAAAGGGAACTTAAATTACTCTTAAATATAAGTATATAAATTAAAATACTTATTATTGTAAATTAATATATTATTAATTCTTATTAAGTATATATAAAGAAGTTTAATGCTTTTAATAAGCTTATTTATTATAAAGCTTAACTTATTACTTATAAATATATATAAATCCATGGCATAAATTATAATAATACTTATAACCTTATAACGCGCTATAATAATTTAAAACTAATCATTATTATTGCCGCTATAATAAGTTAATAGCTTTAATAATTTAATATTAAAACGGCATACTTATATAGCTATTTAAAATACAACATTTATATATAATTATTATAAAAATATTAAATATTATTTAATAATTAGCAAGTTGTTTTAAAACTTTTTAATGCCTTATATAAACTTAAATAATTAAGCTGTAAATAATTTAATACTTTTAAAAAAGAATTAATTAAATATTTAATGGAAATGATATTTAACCCTTGCGTTTTTATTAAAAACTAAATTATTATCATTATTTATATTAATAACATTCTTATTACTAAAAATCCCTCTTAAGTTAATAAATTTTATATTAAGCTTATGCAACATTTTAAGTATAAGGATCTTAATCTTTGCAAATACTTACTTAAATTAAAAATTATATAAACTAATAATGTAATGGGCTTGGGCTGGAAGCCCAAGCCTTATAGTGGCTGGCTAGGTAATCCAAGGGAGCTTGGATTATTTGTTATGGGCTGGCCCCAGAGGGGCTGCAGGCTGGCTAGCGCCTTCTTCCATAAGCTGCAAAAGCAGCAACCATTTGCGCCAAAAGGTACGTAATAATCCAAGCTCCCTTGGATTACCTAGCCAGCCTGCAGCCCCTCTGGGGCCAGCCCATAACAAATAATCCAAGCTCTAGGGTCGAGGGTTCGAGTCACGTCTGCCGCAAGTAAATGCGGGCACCCCTTTCGTGAAGAAGATCCCTGGCTTGAAAGGCGATGTCGCGGGTGAGCCTTGGGGGTAATTGTGCGCCACTAGTAGTTGGGGAAGGGGGCTATGTAATGGGCTTGGGCTGGAAGCCCAAGCCTTATAGTGGCTGGCTAGGTAATCCAAGGGAGCTTGGATTATTACGTACCTTTTGGCGCAAATGGTTGCTGCTTTTACAGCTTATGGAAGAAGGCGCTAGCCA